GTATTTAGTAACGTTGTAATATTGCCACGAAAATATAAATAATTTGAATCATTATTAATGCATGTAAGGGTGAAAAAGTAAAATGAATATAAGTAGAGTTTGTATATACATTGCAATTCTTTAGTAAGGCTTCTGTCAACATTATAAGGCAGAAAAATGTATATTGGTTTGGAACAGTCTTTTAGACTGTTATATTAATTTGCATACATTATAATTAATACCATCCTTCCTATAGTATATACTCCTCATCATTTTCGAGATCAAATATAAGTCATTTTACTTATTGCAAGGGATAAAAAACTTTATGTACCTTTATAATGTGAACAAATCTTTTATGCCTTATAATGTATACAATGTCTTTACTTATTATAAAGAACAGCAAGCTTTCCTTAGGCTTGAAATACTAATAAACCTTTTGAATATTGACAAACCTTTTGGATCTTATAATGCCTTATACTGTTTCTCAGAAATTGAGATCAATTATTTTGCATTTTACAGTTTTCACAGTATTTACATATTTTGAACCATTATAAGCTAATATAAGCTATAAGACTTTCTCGCGATGCTATAAGCAAGGTGCGTCATAACCATATCTCAGTCCCGTGCCGATCTCTCGGATAACACCGACACTCGCCACGCGAGACGCGTCCTCTGCTCACTGCTCAACAAAGTTGCTACCGCCCTGCATTGCTGCAGCCTTGGACTCTAGCTGAGCCTCTTGTCGACTATAGAGATGACGGGCACGCCAGAAATCGTGACCCTTCCAACAACTGGCATTCCACAAGCGCTTCAACGAATAGACTATACACCCTTCAAAGATCAACAGACGCCCATCGTCATCGACAACGGCTCCTCGACATTACGCTACGGTTTTGCCTACGACCCTGTCACGAAAGGCACGCGTCAAAATCCATTCTACGGGCCAAATATCATCTCTCGCTTTAAAGATAGGAGATCGAACAACCCCGTCCTATTATTCGGCGACAGTGTTGAATTTGACAGCGGTGCACGCGCACAAGCGCGTACGCCTTGGGAAGGCGATGTCTTGCTCAACTTTGACGCGTTGGTGAGTTCTCCATTAGATGAGTGGCAGTATGATTTAAACGATTGCTCTTCGAGAGGTAGGAAAACGCGCTGGATTATGCCTTTGTGCATCTCAACATCAACAACACGGATTCCCTGAACCATCCTGTTCTCATGTCTGAGCGCTTATGCTCACCTTTGCATTCGCGGGCCCGTACGTTTAACTACTTCGCTAGAGTTTAAATCCTTATATCCTTACATACCCTCCTTGCAGTCACGTCTGAACTGATGTTCGAGCTATACGGTGCCCCTCGCCTTTTGTACGGCTTAGACTCCGTGATGTCTTTTTATCACAACAACCTTCCCGCCAAAAAATCTCCATTCACCTCTGACGGTCTCGTTATATCATTCAACACGGCTTCCACTTCAGTTATTCCTGTTCTTTCTGGTAGAGGTATTCTTAACCATTGCAAGAGGTAAGTATATGCAAACGACGACCCAAAAAAAATTTATTAAATGCCGTTTGTAGGATACCGTGGGGTGCATCACAGGCAGCGGATTACCTGCAAAAGCTCATTCAGCTAAAGTATCCGTCGTTCCCGGCTCGTCTTACAACCCCACAAATTACAGTATGCTATTACTTCTTCACAACCATGCTATCTCCTAATATATTCCCTGTAGTGGGTGTTCCAAAATGTCTGCGCTTTCCATCCAGATTTCACCTCCCTACTACGGGTGTTAAAAGATCCATTGCAACTCCGTGCGCATGAGCGTATCGTCCAGTTCCCATTCTCAGCAGCGGTGGAGAACGAAAAGACAGAAGAGGAGCTCACGCGTCTAGCTGAGCGAAGGCGTGCACAAGGCAAGAAGCTTCAAGAAATTGCAGCGAATAAGAGGGCAGAAAGGGTAAGATCCCGAATATCACTCCTAAGTTTATTCAATTTAAGTTCGTGATACTCTTTTCCAGCTTACAGAGATGGAGAAAAAACTCCAATTTCTTAAACAAAAAATGGATGCGCAAGCCGAGATGTCGCCTGATCGTGCTGCACAGATGGCGCTGTCCTTAGGTTTTGATTCCGTCGAAGAAACTCAGAACTATATCAAGAAGCTTGAGAAGAACATTAACGAACGACGTAAGAAGGACGCTCCGGAGGGTGACGAGCAGGAGAAGGAGGAGCCGTCGTTCCCTCTTGTGGATGTTCCGGATGAAGATGTAACACCTTTCTTCTTACTCAATTGGAGAAAGATGTTTGTTTACTTACTGGTTTGTCTAATTACAGCTCGACGAGGAAGGACTGAAAGAAAAGCGAAAACAAAAAATGATGAAAGCCGGATGGGAAGCCCGTGAACGTACACGACGCGAAAAGGAACGCGAAAAAGAAGAGCGAGAGGCAGAGGAACAACGCGAAGCTGAAGAACGTGAACGCGACTTGGGTGGATGGGCTGAACGAATGAGACGCGAACACGAGGCTACGATGGTGAGGATTAAAGACCGTGCACGTCGTAAGGCTGCGTTGTCGGATCGGAAGAGCGCTGTTGCGCAAGCACGGATGAAGAATATTGCGAGTCTTGCTGCTGATGATCGGGTGCCGAAGAAAAGGAGGAAGGGGAATGGAGGTATACGGCTTCTCTATCTTGAAAGAAAGAAATGGATGATTAACTTGTTATTATTTTAGAGGATATGTTTGGTGCCGACGACGCAGACTGGGCAATCTACCGAAAAATAGTAAGTCCTTCATGCCCTCCCTCCGCCTAAAATACACCGCTCACCCACTCAAACATCACTCACAGAACACAGCAACCGTATCCTCCGATGAAGAAGAAGACCTCGCCCGCCTCGAACAAGTCGAATCCAAACTCCTCCAACACGACCCCTCATTCATAGAAGAACACACATACGCAGCACGTGCACAGCAGCGTTCCGCACTTATGCAAGCATTCCGACCTGCATACCCCGAAGGTGACGCAGCTGGTGCAGCGAGAGTGCATTTGAGCACGGAGAGGTGGCGGACGTGTGAGACTTGGTTTGCGCCTGGGATGGCTGGGGTGGACGCTGCGGGTTTGGGTGAGGTTGTACAGAATGTGCTTGCAAGGTTTGGGGAGGGGGAGAAGGGGAGGCTTGTTAGTGTGCGTATAATTATTTTTTTCCCCTACCAGTTGAACGGACTATCTTACCATACTTTCTTCCTTTTTCAGAATGTGTTAGTAACAGGTGCACCTTCACAACTACCCGAGCTCGTACCACGACTGCACAACGCAATGCGTCCCATTCTCCCACCCGAAATGCCACTCAACATCTCCAGAGCAGATAACCCAGCCTTAGACGCCTGGCGAGGGATGGCCGACTGTGCGATGAGGCCGGAACATTGGAACTATGCTGTCACTAATGCAGAGTATCATGAATGGGGAGGAGAACGTATTAAACGCTGGTGGGGCGGGAACTGGAATTCTTCGTTCGTTGTTGATGAAGATCAGAAGTCATGAGAGATACTGAAATGGGTCGACGAATTACTGTCCCGTCTTCTCACCATGTTCCATATGTATCTTTCTGGTGTACGCTTTGAATATAGTTATTGCGGGTTGGTTATCTCACAGCACTAGATGCAAGTTATTCCGATCCCCTCCTGCAGTTCATGCTCGAACATGAACTGTGCAAAGGGAATAACAACATCGTTATAATCGGGAGAGAGAAATCCAGTCGGGACAAGAGCGTGTAAATATATGCTATGTAAGGAAGACAACAACAGAGTGGATATACGAAGAGTGATGATAAGTCGATAACGAAACATTATAATCTCTACGATTGACAGCAGCTACCCTGGTTGTTGCTCGTGGTCTCGCCACCTACTTGTACACTCTGCTGAGGCTCCTCCGTTGTCTGAGTGTCGATCAGGCGGGTCTTGATTGCCCTGTCCAATTCAAATAGATTAGGGATCCGCAAAGAAATCCGCAAAGAAATAGGACAAAATGAAATGGATAACATACCCTGCGAGACTGAAGAAAGCTTTCTCGACCTCCTTGCCCTCCTTCGCAGAGGTCTCGATAAACGCAATACCAAGCTTATCCGCCTTCTCCTTCCCAGCATCATACGACACCACTCGTTTCTCTTCCCAGTCGCATTTGTTTCCTACGAGGATCCTATCTACCTCGTTCGATGCATGTTGCTCCACGGCAGAAAACCAGGTATCGATGTCTATATTTAGATTTCCATCACCATTAAACTCGTTAGTGCATCCGCTTTTGATTTAGGAAGTAGGAAGGGATAGTGAGTGAAGTACTGACTGTCGAAGGATTTCTGGTCCGTTACATCGTATACGAGTAGGATACCCATTGCGCCACGGTAATATGCTGTGGTGATTGTGCGGAATCGTTCCTGACCAGCAGTGTCCCACTGCACAGCCCAAAATAAAGTGGTCAGACCTAATATCCGCAGTAATGCTACGAGGACAACAGTGATGGAAGGTACTGACGATCTGTAGCTTGATTCGTTTACCATCAAGTTCGATGGTACGGATCTTGAAGTCAATCCCGATGGTAGTGATGAACGACGGTGTCCATGTGTCGTCGCAGAATCGTGTGAGGAGACATGACTTGCCAACACCTTCAGGAGAGATAATCAGCTAGATTGGAGACACAGGTATAGAAGAATACGCCACCGGAATCGCCTATGAGCAACAGCTATCAAACGTTTCATGGAACTTAGCGTTAGCAGTGGTAAGAAGGTTAACGAATTTAAGTGGGAACTTGCCTTGATGAGGAAATCGTAACTTGGAGGCGGCATGATGGATTATAACACAGGATCTGGAAGGAACCGGGGCGTATATAGTCGTAAGATGATATCGAACGTGGTGGTGATTGTTGAGGAGAGGGATGAGGAGGCAAGGCTCGAGAGGAGAGTGAGGCTAGGAACGCGTGCGGCGGCGGCGAAGTTCCCGACGTGGGTTGTCAGGCACGTGATGCATTGTCATTTAATGCTCCGGCGTGGTGGGAATGTAAGCCACTATGTGTGTTATTCAGACTCGAATCTATCTTCGTTTTCAATATTTATCTGTTGGGTATACATATCGCGTTCTCTCCAAATATTATTCACTTTCATACCAACTTCTCTAAATTTCAAGTTTCGTACAGTGCTTTCTCATATGAGCTCTATGTACTTCCTGAGCCCTTGCTAGATTTTGATGACTATGCTGAATATTAGATGTTGACGTACCTATCTGCTTGCTTGGAAGCACACAGGTCATCGAGAATTGCCTCTTAACAAGCGCTTGTACCGTATGTTTAATCAAAATACCGTCCATCCTAGTCTAGTTCATGGCAAGAAAGCTTTTGCTTGCAGGTTGTAAATACTCGCATAACCTCCGCCTTGTCGCAATAGAGAATCGTGTGTTCCGACTTCCTCCACGACTGAATCTTTCATATACCTGTAAGATGCATTTGGTTTTCGTAACTTGCAGATAGGAATATTACAAGACTCACAAGATGACGTCTGCGTGTCGAGTCAGGTTTCCGAATCGATGTGACGAGAAAATCATCGTTTTGTTTCCACGGAGTGCTCGTAAGCGCTCGAATAAATCTATCAGACCATTAGCGTTGGGTCTAGGCTACTTGGGAAAGTTGCTCTTACCGTGCTCAGCTTGGGGATCCAATGAAGCACTAAAAGCAAGATCGTTGCAGATGTGGTCATTCCGAAATGGAACGGAGAGATCATACCTTGGCTCATCAAAAAGGAGAAGACCAACACCACTATCCTCCGCGACCGAGCGCATGAACGTTCGACAGCTTTAATTACCATAAGCAATCTTCCGGACATTACGAACAACAAAATTATAAGAAAAACGCACACGGCAAGTCTCTGCATTTGTCCACCACTCAACGAGCTCGACTCTGCAACACCCATCTCGCCCGCTCTTCGGACTCGATTATGATCTAATGTACGACCGAAGAGTGTCTTTGTACCCTCTGGAAGAGCAGAATAATGATCCGGGACGGGACGCTCGAGGTATGCATCGAAGCCGTCTGGAAGCTTCTCAACAAAGTCGTATGCACCACCTGCCTTCGCGGATTGTTCAATTCGATGTTCGTCGTACGGTGAGTATGGATCACCAAGTCCGATATTATCTTTAATCTAGAGTAATGGTCATTTAAGATTGCAAGATAAGCCATCAGCCTAAGGGAAACTTACTGAAAGTGGGAAATGAGAGTAGTCCTGGAAGAGAACGGCAATAGCATGCCTCAAGTCCTTCAACCTCAAAGTCTTTATATTCTTGCCATCTATTAATATTTCGCCTTCGTAAGGGTCGTAAAGTCGGTTTAGAAGTTTGAGTATCGTGCTTTTCCCACTGCCGTTAGTGCCAACTATGACCTAGAATGTACATGTGTCAGAGAAAAGCAATAGCTTCTAGAAAGTCCAAGTACACAAAGCTGCCCACGATCTATCTTGAATGAGACGTCATTTAGAGCAAACACGTCACTGCCCGGGTATTTGAAAGATACATGTCTAGTCCGCAAGCAAATCAGCACATCTGATTATAGATTTGTAGAAAGGGGAAGGCCTACCTGAATTCGACAGAAATGCCCGAATTGATTTCTTGCGCATTTTCCGGGTATGGTTCTGTTCCATCTACGACTTTTAGCCGGATATTCCCGATTCCATATAACTTGCGAATTGAATCAAGGTGATCCGCAACGGAGCCAAATTCATCGAAGAACGACAGGAGAGAGTGCGAGAAGGACGAGACAGTCGATTGGATTAGGTGCAGAGACGCTAGTGTGACAGGTATTGAAGCAGGGTATTGGACTGCACGCAATGCAAAGACGATCTAATATTTTCAATTAACAAGGCGCAAATGAAAAGACAAAACTCATACTTGTGGCATTTCCTTGAGAGGTTCGGAAAGGAGAGACAGTGAAGTGAGTCTGTCACGAAGGAAATGTTTTCGTCGTAGCTCATAAAACTCGCCCCCATCATCACCTACTCCCTGCAAGGAAACGTAGAACTCTTCATGAAAAGAAACGTTAAAACGATAAGCCGTGTGGTATTATGCGACCAACCTTTGATTAGGCGGTCGGAGAGGTTACCCGCGACAATTTCTTTACGGTGTGCGGGACTTGTGACCATTCGTTTCAAGCCTTGTATTCTAATATAGTCATCATTGCGACACGTAGCCGCCCATGCTAGAATACAAGTCAGCATTCAATTCAATCGGGTGTAACGCTGATAATTAATTACCTCCGCGAAAGATATATTGCTGAAAACGCATCCATTGCAACAAGGGTGAGATGAAGCTTAAGAGGGCTATCAAAGTACCATCTTGGTGCCCACGCAGGACATTAAGCAGAACGGAAACCTGAGATACCAACTGTATGACGTGTGATACTGTATTCGCAAGCATTTGCACGGTATCCCATGCGACTGAAGTCCGTCCGCCCGCTGCTCCTTCAAGCTGACGTCGTACGATGGGGTCTTCGAATGTCGGGAGGTCCAGTCGTGCGTATGCCTCAAAGATGTGTCCCCCATAGTGTGCCTTGATACGCTGGTCTAGTATTAACATAGTCCTACTTTTGACGTGATTGATGAGCCGTTTCACTACTGCAACAGCCATTCGTCCGACAGCAACTCTAATTAGTACGGCCTTGTCAACACTCCGCGTTTGCACGGCAGACTCGACCTAAACCGGCGTACACTTGTCAGCAAATGATACGTATATTCATGTAGTAAGCCTTACTATTTTTATCATTTGACCAGAATACCATAGAGTTATGGCAGGTAATAGTGAAAGAATCACAGTACACGTAGAATAGACACATAGCACGAGCCAGCAGTTCTTGAGGCTGCCAAGGTCTTTCAGCATACGCCAGACGTATGGGAAGCTCTGTTTCATATCGTTCAGTTGCTCAAGCCTCGCGCCTCCCGGAACATATCTCAATTCCGGACTTGTTTCTTCGTACACGTCCCATACACCGATTTTACTATGCTTGACGCGTTGTGCATCGTCTGGGTCGAACGAGCTCGTCGAGGACTTCCATTGGCGTCTTCTTCGCATTTGAGAGATGTCTACTGAAGAGAAAGAGAAGAACGATAGTATGTAACTGATCAAGTCGTAACAGTCATAAACATGGTCAGTCAGGAACCAAAGGCTGCTACCGCGACGCGTGAAGTGAGTTTAAATAATTTAGATTATCGTTACCTTATTCGGAAGGTGATGTATTAGATGTAACATAACAAGCGCCATCATGATGACATGAAACATCGCAACTTTTATAATTTGTGAAGAGAAGGAATCGAGTACATTTTGGTGGCTAAGTCTCCAGAGTTGCCATCAGCCTGAGAAATTGGATACCAATAATCGTTTTTTCTAGTCGTAGGCTACAGAGTTACAATTTTCATAGGTATTCATCCTGAGAATCCTTCGTAATATGCGTATGATCTCATTACACTGTCTATTATGTGCCTTGCCACTAGTCGATTATATTTTGAAAGGCTAGTGCAAAGCATCATCCGACAATGACCAACAATATACTCTGTAGAATTAAAGAGTAGATACGGTTCCTGCTCATTGTGTAGGGGTCCAGTCAAAACACGTAAGCAGTCACTCCTTTCTCATCTTCCTACGCGCTTGAACGCTTCTGCATCTTCGGATATATTTAGTATACAACAAGCGCAAAAAGTCGCCCACGATACAGCTTGTCTAATTAGCCTCGCAAGTTTAATCGGGAAGTGAAGTCGCAATCTTCCGCAAGTATTTGGGAGGAGGAGGCTCATGACCCGTGCTTTCAACGCATATACACCCTCTGAACAACGCCTCTATGGTCCTACACTGATGATTGTTGTGTCCAGTCGGCAAGTCAATCCACCCTTCCATTCGACCACAATAAACCCATATGTGACTCAAGGTTTTCAAGTACTTGTGCCGCCATTCCACCATGGCACAGACTCACAGTAAGCACCTATGAAGGCAACATGAGGTGCCGGTCTGTGTTCGGGTGTTCCACTGTTCTGAACTTCATTCCAGTGATCGTCGTCTCCGTGTTCGTTATCGATTTCGTCCCCTAATCCCATTTCTTCCCCATCCTCGACTTCGTCTTCCACCTCCGTCTCATCCCCGCCTTCAATGTCGATCCCGACATCATCAGGATCGTTGACTTCAATAAGGCAGAGTTTCTTGAGAAAAGGGCATACGAGAGAACTTGACTTTTGGCTCCAGTGTTTACCCGGCGTAAGCATCCGAAAGAACTTTGCTGTCAGCCGCCAATCTTTGATACGGAGTTCTTCGAGTGTATTCAACAACCTCAGGGCTGGTATAAGAGTATCCTCGTGTGCAGCGTAGCCCGCCACGTCTAGGACCGTTAAGGGAGGAAGGAAGTTCCGAATGAAGTTTGAGAATATTAATCTCGCATTGCAATAACCGAAGTCCTCGCCATAGTAAGCAAACCATTTTAAGGAAGGCAGATTTGTTGTGCGCACAGGCAACGTTTCTTCCACGAGTTGTGATTCCGAAGTTGATAATTGTTCGCCTTTACCGGGTCGAAGACTATTGCAGCCCGAGACATTCAGAAACGCAAGCCTCTGAGACGATACGATGATAACGTTCGATTTTAACAGTTTGTTGTCGGGTGCAATTAAACAATGGTTCAACGATAGAGATACCAGGGCTGGCATGTGGGTCGCATGTATTCCTGGGAAACCGTAACGGTATCCCACCAGAAATCAACGTCCTGCCAGCGGGATTGGTTCGAAAGCAGCATTGTAATGATGTTCTCAAAAGCGCGATGTTCGCTTCTTTCTTCATCTTGCCGAGCAAGATGGCAATGGATCGTGAAGTTCAGTGGTCCCCCGCGAGTCCTCCGGAGCCACTCGGTGAAGATTTCCAGCGCTAGTTCGCTCCAGTTGTTCCCCTGCACGATTGCGGCTCGTGTATTTGATGAAGAGATGCGACCACAACCCTCCGAATGCAAGAGATACTCCACGCCAACGTTGGCACACATGCGAGATGTTGAGCGGTGTCGAAATGGAATAAATGGGTTTCACCTCCTTCCTTAAAGGCAATACAAAAACACTCTGTTGAGCATTTCTGGCGGTAGCTCGTGTATATGCATCTTGTCTTGTTAGCACGCCCCAACGCACTTCCCTTGGGCAGGTTACCAAGTCGACAACTTGAAACAAATGGTGTTGAGGTGTGAGCAGAAGTTGGATAGTAAGTTGGTGTCGCAACAAAGGGGCAGTGCCTTCTCGCCGCCCTAAGTACCTTCAGAACGTGATTCGCGTTGCTTTTCAGGACCAGTCATCATTTCATGAATATCCCCTCTAGAAGTTAAAAATGCAAAGTTAACAGTTCTTTAATGAGCACTCCGAATCTTTATATGGTTATTCTCAGCCTTCTAACCATATTGCAAAGATACGAAGTCCAGGTTCAAAGGTACCTTGTGACCTAGTCTGCCTTCCAAGGAAGTTAGTGCAAAATCACTTTCCAAAGTAGGGTTATAAAGACAGAAGTACCTTTTACTGTGTTTTCTTTCTATCTGTCTGCTGCAGAGATAAAGGGATAATTGCAGTTGATACATTCATTTGACAAACAGAAATGCCCTTTTGGCCAGTTACAGTAATTTTATGAACTACGGAAACATAAAATAGATACAGTTTTGTTCCCTCTGTGACTTGACATCTGTAAACCTGAATTTATAGAAACTCGTTTACAAGTAGCCTCAGACGTAGGCTAGTTACAACCGGAGTTTGATTATGGTGAGAGACGTGAGAGGGTCTCAAGTAGCAGAAGCAGTGTTCTGGTCAATGGATTCCAGAGTGACGGGTATTATACTTGGGTATTGGATAGGGCACCGTGCAAAGATAGGCTGTCTGCTGACCTAGGGCAAACGAGGCTGGGAGTACCATGAAGCTGGACGTTTTTGCGGTACGTTTAAAAAGAAGTTAAAAAGTTAGAATAGTATGGATTTCAGCGGCCGCTGACTACCCATCAAGAGCGACTGGAAATTCGCTCATAAAATAAAAGGTAAATAACGTCTTGCTTATTCTGAGACCGTTTACTCAGCAGAGGCCTATAGAAAGATGAGCCACTGAACGTGCAGCAAATTTGGGTCCGAGACGGAGCTGCTTCTCCGGCTGCTAAATGCGGAAGTCAAGTGTGTGAGAAGCCGAAAGAGCCAAAACTTTGGCGTGCACACCATTGCCATGGTCCTGGGAGCTTAGCGCAGTCGAACATATGAACTCACAATCTTCACGATGCCACGCCCACCACCCAGCAAGTCCATGGCCTCTCCAGCGCCCCAGGACGACCTTACCCCGGCCGTGTTCGACGCGGTGCAGCAGATGAACACGGCTCAAAAGGCAGCATTGCTGCTCAACACCTCACTCGCAATGATTGAGGCCGGACAGTGAGTTTTTGGTTTATCTCTGTAGCGAGTGAAGAACGTATGCTTAGTGATTCAAATAGATATGGGGAAAAAGTTGAGCGTTATCTCGACGTGTTTCTTCGGACACCTTGCATCTCGGATGAGGATATCAGTCGAGCACAACTCGCCAGGGGTAATGCACGACGATTAGCTGCTGAGCGCTTGTTCGCGCAAGCGTACCAAGGTGTGTCGGACAGTTCTGTATGTCTGAATTAATACTAATACCTCAAAAGACTTCCAGGCCGTGGCTAGTCTCGATCCGTCGAATCGTGAGGCGCGGGCGCAGCTTCGCAAGGATAAACTTGTTAGTGAACTGCTTTAAAATATCGTCTCTCTTATATGAACTGATGTTTGCGTTAGATCCACTTCATGACTGAGCCAGCGTGTCAAAGAGCTCCACTTGAGATATGGGATCGTGTCGCACGACTTATCCCTCGATATCATTTACGGACTTGGCTTTTCCTGTCTTCTTCTCATCGTGAAATAGCACAAAGGCATATATTCCGGACCCTAGATCTTTTCTTCGGAGATGACCAGATGGACAATGTTAACAAAGGGCTGGATCTATTTCAAAGGGTGAAGAAAGACCCGGCGTTCGCAAGGAAAATCAAGACTCTCAGGATACATTGGGCGTATGAAGAGGGTGATATTCTGGACCTTATGCTTAGTAAGTGGGCGTTATGTCGAGCATGTGGATTCTTCATTGATTGTCTGTCTGCAATAGGGTTGTTCCGTGAAGCACTCCCTTTCTTTACAGCCTTGAATGAATTCGAATGGATCGGATACCCCGAACTTCGCGACGCAGACGTACAGGCTGTATTAGAAAGTCACCCAAACCTTGAGAGTCTAGGGCTAATGTAAGGCATTCACTCAACCTGGAAGGAAAGCGTCTGACGTATTCTATAGTGGATGGCATTTTGATGCTGAAGGGGTATCCGCCTTCCGCAACCTCCGCAAATTCACGCTCCGAGCCGAGGATGACGATGGTTGGGCCGACATGGGCGAAGTACGGAACGTTCTAGACAACAACGAATCCAGCCTGCGACATCTTTGCCTCGGCGCATACCTCAAACGCGAACATAGCTGGGATCGTGCATTCGAGTCTGTCTCGATCCGGAACCTCACGCATCTCGACCTCGTTGACACACGTATTTCACATATCGTCCTCTCACGAATCGCACACGCACATAACTTGCAGAGTCTCACACTGCATGGGACATTTGAAGAACCAGCCTCTGCGAGCGTCGTATTCGGAAGCGACCATGTTATTGCCGGAGAACACACGTTCTTGCCCCATCTTGAAGCGTTCCGATTTGTGCTTGTCGGACACGATGATGATCGTGATCTGTTCAAGAATGTGACGCGATTCTTGAGGCAGAGACCAAAGCTCAAACGCTTAGATTTGGGAAGTTGCCCATGGGATCTCGTACAAGGCCTCCTTCCAGGCCTTGGGAATCTACAGGTTTTAAGAGTCAGGATCTCGAACTTGAATGACGTGGCTATCATGAAGCTAGTCAGTTCAATCCCAAAACATATTGTCGCTCTTCATCTTTCAACCGTGGTTTCGGACAGACCAATAGTCAGTATCCCTTTTGTTATCTTTCGTCGATTCCGGTTTCTTACTTCGCTCCATAGGAGGGTTATGTACATGTCTTCTCGAGATTCCCCTCACTAGGAATGCTCCATCTACACAATTCACGGCGACGAAGACCACAAATTTCAGTAATGTCAGAAAAGGAATTCCAAGTACAGACCGATTTATGGTTCGATAGCGTACGTTGTATCGCTGCTGAGGTGCCCTCGCTCGACTTTATTGGTTGGCACGGCGAGCACTTCGTCATCGTCCGCGGGAAGAGTGGTATCGACCTTAAGGAACTTCCCGCACGCCGACGACTGGACTGTGGGACTGGCGTCGACCTCGGGAGTGACGATGCGGCTTGGATGGAGCGAAAAGACGTGCCAATCGATTACGAGATGTCGGGCCTGGAACATCCAGACAGATAAATCACTGTATACATATTGTTCATATTCATTACCTTCAGCTCCGTCATATCCACACATGCTGTTACGTTTGTATTTCTTCATCTGTATTATGTAGCTTTCATACCATAAACAACATATCTTTCATCATTGCTGTTTCAGACGGTTATGTGATTTATTCTATGCATAGTGCATTTGTCAAGGTTGAGCAGTAACATTCCAGAGTTCCCTTTTATCCCCCCATCTTGTGTAGAACTGTCTAGTCAAGCGTGTTCAAATCAATGTTGATTCAATTTCAGTAAAGACATGATGTACTAGTGTCCATAGCAACAAATGCATTGCAAGTACAGTACCAGACAATAGAACAGGCAATAGATATACATACACTCCAATCCTATTTCCCTTGGACCAGACAAGGGACAACTGCCTTTCCTAAATTCCACAGATCCTAAGGCATGAGAAGCTATGGACCTTTAGAAAGCACACACCAAAATATGTGTTTGTATACTCTGACCGGAAGAAGAGAATAAATAGGCTGCTCCAGAAATAAGATTGAGCTATTCAGTATCCATCTTCAACAGCTTAGTCTTGCTTCCAGAGCAGCCCTGGGCACAACTCTAATTTAGCAAGAGAAAAGAGAAGAACGGAGAACGGAGAAACTGGAACAGTGATGAACTTATGCAACTTACCTTTCATTTTATACAGTAGCAAGTACGGCACCTGCAAGGCTCTGATGTGTCCTCTGCCTCTGAATTGCAGAAAAGTGGCAGTGTGAAAACGACGTGCACGGACGGATATCACGTGATATAATTTGATGACAAAGCCACACAACTGTCATAATGCGTAAACAGACTCAAATTCGATTGCTTACCGCTGACAGTAACCGCTCTCAAGCGCAAACTACCAGCAATCTTAGACCTCGCTCAACATGTCTGAACGAAAGGGTAAGTTACAATCTGTATTATTCAAAGAAAAGGAACTTACAGTTATCTCAATTACAGTACTCAACAAGTACTTCCCTCCGGACTTCGACCCGTCCTTGATTCCTCGACGGAAAGTCCCAAGGAACTCACAGCAGGTCGTCCGTCTTATGGCTCCTTTCTCTATGTAAGTTTCAGTTTCATCATCATATTTTAGCGCGTTATCTTATACTTTTCATGCCCAGGCGATGTAACACCTGCGGCGAATACATATACAAAGGCAAGAAATTCAACGCCCGAAAGGAGACAGTCGAAGGGGAAGACTATTACGGGATCAAAATCTTCCGATTTTACATCAAATGCACTTTATGTTCTGCGGAGATTACCTTCAAAACAGACCCGAAGAACACGGATTACGAAGCTGAACATGGAGCATCGCGGAACTTTGAACCGTGGCGCGACGAAGCTGCACAAGAAGAAGGTGATAAACTCGCGAGGTTAGAGGCGGAGGAGAATAACCCAATGAAGGCTTTGGAGAACCGGACGTTGGACTCGAAGAGGGAGATGGATGTGTTGGATGCGTTGCAGGATATTCGGGCACGGAATGCGAGAAATGAGCGGGTAGCTACTGGAGCTGACCTTCTGGATAAGCTTGCGCGGGACGAGGTGGAGGAGGAGGAGGAAGCTGCTAAACGACTTGAAGATGAGGAGGACGAGCGACTAGTCAGAGAAGTCTTCTCACGCGTGAACGCAGGGCCTGGTCCGTCGAGTCTAGCGAAGTCGGAGGCGTCGCCGACCAGCGAAGACGACCGGTCGCCAACTCCACCAGCACCCTCCGTTGTAGTGAAGCGGAAGGCTGATGGTGAGGAGCCTGAGCTACATAAGCTATTATCGGACAACGCCAAATCATTACTGGCATCGAAAGGCGCTGCACCGGTGGTAAAGAAGCAAAAGACGAATGCGGCAAATGCATTAGGCATTAAAGTGGTGAAGAAAGGGAAGGCACCAGTGAAGGCTGCTAGTTGATATCCTGACCTGTGGTGTACACATTATGGTTTCTTTGTAGCTTTATTATTTGTACCTCGGATAAATCAGTCACTACACGTATAATTGCATGGCATTTTTTTCATCATAGCATCGTAATACAAAAGCATAAGACAGAAGTACAGCTAAAGAGCAATCTCGACATCCAAGCGAGCTAGATAAGAGTATACGTCTGGTAACATCCTGAAGCGTAGCATACCAGCGAACATGACGAGTGCACGCGACTTCACTCTCAAATTGTCGAGAGCCTGTAATTGCACAAAACCAATTAGGTACTGCGATTCGGAGTCACTAGGTGAGGATGTACTTACCATCTTTTTGCTAGCCTCCGACATCGCACTATTCTTATACTTCTTATGTAGTTCAGATAGGATTTCCATCGTAAGTGGTAAGTATGTTGGTAAGTTCCGCTTGACAGCATCGTCATAGGTCGCCTCAAACTCAGCCGCACGACGGTTCAGACGCGCCGGGTCACCTTCAAACGGCACGAGATCAGTCGCCTCGATCGCTTCTAGTGCGGCCTCGAATCGTCCAGCTTCTTTCGCCGCTATAGCCTCACGCAAACGTAAGAGGGCACCGACAGCGTCACGCGCTCGTCCTGCAGCACGGTTAAGACGTGCATAGTGGTAGTATATCTCCCGTGCGGTCGCTTCAATCCTACGACCTTCTTCTCCGCCGCCGTCCGGTTGGGATACGATGTCTCCAAGCGCGTGAGCGAGACATGCGATGACTGTGTCGTGTGCACCAGCAATGTTGTACAACTTGATCGCTTCGAGCGTGCGCCGCTCGCGTTCGCATAGTGACGCTGCTGCACGTACAATTTTGTCATTGTAGTCGTCGCTGTCATTAAGCAATAGGAGTTGAGACATTTGCTCAATTGTTCCGGCCTGATTGCCGGAAATAATCAGATGCACCATTCTCAAGATGGGTAAAAAGCACTTACGAAGCGTGTTCCATCCTGTCGCAACCCTCCAACCAGGTCATCCCAGCCTGCTCCCTCAGCAAGAACGACCACCTTGCGGACCTCCGACCAGGCGTATTCGATTTGTTCCTTCCCCACGCCATCGCCCTGATCTGCGGATAGGCAAATGCACGCAACATACTGCAGCGCATGCTGCGAATCGTGCTTAGTGAACGGCCGGACATATTTATGAATGAGAGCAGGGAGATTGAGGGACGGTGTCGAAGAAGGAGAGAGCCAGACTAAGAAAGAAGGTCGTTAGAAAAATATGTCAATTCTTATTAGAATACGTACGTATGTCGTAGTCCGAAGCCTCGCTCCTTGAAGGGACACGGAGAAGACCATGATACGCAAGAGCGATAGCCAGATGAACGGCCTCAACCTTCGTATCTGGATTTTCATCCAGTGCAGCTACGGCCTATAATATCACCTTTAGCTACTGAGTATCGATTAAATAAGAACACAACGCACCCTCTCAAATTGCCCGCACATCAAAAGGACATTTGCCCACATTCCAAGACGACGCTGGTTTGGTGTGCCTTCAAAGTGACGTTCGCCATAGCTCATGAGGACTTCGGCAAGCGCTCGCAAGCCTCCCGCTTCTTCCTCGTCAATCATAGCGAGCTGGAACCAAAGCCAGTCCTCCGCTGTCGCAGTGACCAACGGAATGCTCCGTCGCGCCGGGTCAAGTTTACCCATGAGTCGGAAGAGTGCAAGCTTGAATGGATCAGCCGTAGCTGAGTTCAACATATGCGTATTGTATGTTGACTGCAGATGGTCACGAGCAGTCTTCGGAAGTCTGAGATTATTATCATTAGTCGAAGTGGATAGTATATTAAAATAACTATCAACCTTCCGTTCGGCGTATCGATCCATAGTCTGAAATAGTTAAAGAAGCCCGGTTCGCGACTATCGAGTGCTTTCTGGTGTCCTTTTGCCTCATCCCTCGCATCCTTGAGGTGACCAGTTCGGACCAAGTAGAATAATTTTGCCCATAATGGCTGACTTCCTACGAGCTTTAATCGTTTAACTAATCAGCGCTAACCAGGAAAGCCGACAATTTCTTTTACCTCAATCCGTTCCTCCCATTCACCGCCTCGATAATATCTGAGCAGTAGAAAAGCTCGAACATGGTTCGCGACGCTGGGATCACCGCCAAGGCGCGCATCTGCCGGGCGTGCTTGAACAGTTCGTTCGAGCACGTCCCAGTACTGCTCCTCAAGTGCTTCTTTTGCACCTTGAGCAATTTGCATGCGGAGCTGGACAGCTTCACGCGCCTCAGGATCACCAAGGTACACGCGGGCGTACTTCCGTTCGAATCGCGGTGCGTTCAGGATATGCGCACCTGAATGCTCCAGTGGTGGTAGGGCTGGAGGTTCCGCAGTAATTTTAGTGAGAGTATGGAAGAGCTGCGGGATTTGTGACAGCCTCTGGAGCACGAATTAGAAGTTAAAGGTATGGAAGAACACCATTGTACTCACGTCGGTAGAGATGTCACGAGCGATTTGGAAAAGCGTGTGTACGATGGGGAAGGACGTTCCTCGCAATCTTGCTTTGTTGAGTTCGGTAATGGCATGATCGTACGCAAGCATCTTGCTTTGCATCTGCAGATTATTCGACAGAGGTCCGGCAGTCGAGTGCTGTCATATTATTGAGCTTATAAAACTTTGGTAAAGGAATCAATAGGAGCATACCGCGAGAGATGTGCTCGCCCGCAGTGATTTCCTGAGTTCACCATTCGCCTTTCCCTCGACACCACTGGCACGCCCTCCAAGCTCTTCAAAAATTCGTTTTTTACGCGCCTCCCAATCCCGTCTGCTACGATCTTCAAGCACACGGTAGAAATCCTCCTGAGTTTCACGCCGACCCTCTTCGATCGTAGAAATGAGGTTCTGCTCGTGCGCATGACGAAGGAAACCCGAGACGTCCGTGTCGTGAAGTGGCTGCAACGGAGAGAACGTGGTCGAAGTGTTGAGATGCGCGATAGAATTCGCCAAAGCTGGCGCGTCGACATGCGCCTGTGCGAGTATGTAATTTCTATCCAGAAGTTAACTCAAGCGGTTAGAATTCTTGCGGGTCACTTACGCCCTGTCGTTGTCCGTCGAAGTGCCAGGCTGTCGTGAAACGAGTCGTCTTGACTGTGCCTCTATTTGGTCAAGAGAGAGATTCACTGCAGGTAGGTCTGGTCGTGCCAGGTTAGACGCGAGAGCCTTTGAGGCCTCCAGCAATGCAGACAGATCAGCCATCTTAGACTAAATACGACGTTCGTGAAGAAGATAGAGATAGACTAATGAAGGCTTTCAACGTTCAAACAAGAAATGTTGGCGATGCGATACACGTGACTCGTCGCGTGTCAAGATCCTCTCGTATCCTCGATCCTCATACTACCACCTCGACTTTCAAGTTTACAGCTATGTCTGAAGCTGCTGTTCGTAAAGATCTCCTGGAGAAAATTCCAGATCTAGAAAATGACGATAAATTGTTGTCTGAATGTACGTTCCTTTTCCCTTTCTCCCGGTTGACGCGCTGAGCCTTGACGCGTCGCGACGCGTACTCAGGTGTAAGCATCTGTACCGACTACAACATTTCCGGGGAGGACTTCTTTTACCAATGGGAGTCGTTGGTCTTCAATCCAATGAATTCAATGCGTGATGCTCAGAAGCCGACGTTTGTAGCTGCGCATGCAGAATCCATTAAGAAGAAGCTCATTAATGATGTCAACGCTCGAAGAGCCAAGGAGCAGAAGGAGCAGTCTGCTGCACAGAAACGCAATGCGCTGATGGCCGGTATGTTGCGCAAGTCCGCTGCGTCCCGCAGTACCCAGAAAACACCTTTACACGGTAGTTCCACGCCTAGTGTAACGTTCAAGGGCCCGTCCGAAGAAAAGGCGAAACGGAAATGTTAGTACTGTCGAAGAATCCCTGATTTATCAAATAATTGAGTCCAAAACAACAGACCGATACATGCACGAAAAGACCTCAGAAAGGAGCGAAAGTACGTCTGCGTACATTGGAGGATACTCATATTCTCAGCCATCTTCCTAGTTCTTGACGATCGGATAGACGAATTCGCCGAGCTGATTCGAGAACATTATAATATCGACGACCTTGGCGATCCTTCTTCCACTTCCGAAGTATGCTTCTCGTCAGAATATCCTTCGATTTGTTCATTCAATTTAACTTAGGACAACATTGTAACTGTTGGTCGAATATGCATCGACGTTGATGCAGCAACGTCAGCAAAGCTCACAGGAGAGAACATTTTCCTGGAAACATCGCGCATGATGGGCTCGGGATCTCGTATTTCTTTGCGTTTCAGTGCGAACTTGAAGTTGCGAGGCGCACCACAAGGTGCTGGTAGCGCTGGTCTTTTTTCAGGAGCGATCGTAGCTCTCCGAGGCCGGAATGGCGGTGGAAATTTCTTTGCCGTGGATGAAATCCTTGCGGTACATTTACGCCTTTAAATCTGGATGCACGAGATAATCTAATCTGAACTTTAGCTCCCGTCATTGACCCCTTCACCAGAACCAGCGGACCATAAAGCATTCACCTTGGTTATGGCGTGTGGGCCATATACATCCGATTCTGATCTCGGATTCAAGCAGCTTGGTTCTCTTATGGAAAAGTTACTCTCTTCGAAGCCTTCCGTCCTCGTATTGGTAAGGCTCTCTGCAATACCTAACGAAAGGCTATACTCACGGATTGAGCACAGCTCGGCCCATTTTTGGATATTGCCCATCCAATTATCAAATCTGGTGACATCGACGAGATGCCGTTGGATATATTCCACCGTTGTTTTGTCGAGCCGCTTAGGAGCTTCTTACATGCATCCCCGGAGAGTCTCGTTCTCGTTGAGCCAAGTATACGCGATTTGTTGAGCGATCATCCCGTGTATCCTCAATGCGAATTCGATAATAATTTGTTCGCTGATCCTGTAAGCACGTTCACCTACCGTCCCCTCGTGCTGCCCAAATTAATCCTTTGACGGGACAATAAATAGAGAGTAAAAATGATACCCAACCCGTGTCGATTTTCTATAAACGATGTGTCTTTCGGGAGTACCTCAGTCGATGTTCTCTTCCATCTACGTAACCAGGAATATGCGCAGCGAGGGACACCGGTTGATCCTGTACCACCTGTATCTCCAGAATCGTCAGGGGCGGACCCTCTTACCAATGCCTGCAGGCATCTTTTATCTCAGCGCAGGTAAGCTGTGTTCGAGCCTACCGAGTGTGTAGCATTAAATCAGACCTCGCACTGACTTTGTATGACCAGCTTCTATCCTATATTCCCCGTCCCAGCTGATTTGTCCTCCGATGTGAACCTCGATGTATCGCATTCAGGCGGTTTGCGGCTCGATACGAGCAACGAGCAGCATGCACCAGACGTAATTTTCTTACCAAGTAAACTCAAACAATTTGCAAAAGTATGTCATCGTTCTTCTTTTCTCAGAGACATAAGTCTTGCTCTTTTCACATTTCGTTCGCTAATTTGACCTTTGTCATCTAGATGGCAGATGGAACATGGGCCATCAATCCGTCCTTCCTAACTAAAGGTACTTACGCGTCGATCTCAGTGCCGGATACGCCTCGGGCGGGATTGAGGGCGGCGATCCAGTGCGAGATAGTGAAGCTATAGCCTCTCTTTGAACTGTTGCAATCTAGTCGATTAATCTTATCGTTGTGTTGTACTAAAAAGTTGGCTAACGTCATGTGCTTCTGTGTATGAGATCTAGTGTCCTTGTTCCCCATTTGCTTGTCGTGATAATAAGATGATCACCTATGTCTATGGGCTGTTCTCAATGCCAGTATACAATGGCCGGAATTCATCTCAGCCAAAATATAATGACCAGAAAAGTCCAGGAAGTTACCCCTTGACTTTGTAAAAACTACTGAAATCACTCACTTAGTCACTGTGAGTTCTGAATTTAGCAACGACTACAATTCTCTTCAAACGTTGCTACTATAAATAGCCAATGGCTATGACAATATTATGTAATAAAGGCACGGCGTTTTAGCCGTGAGAAATGAATGATAGCTATAAATAACCAGGACGTCATAAAGATAATGATTTAATTGATTATTATCTTTGCCCCATCCACTCAAGTAGACTTGCTAGATTCGTCTTTTCTCCCGACCGTTTCATCGTGCAGAGGGCTATAAGTAGCTCCACTAACTCAGGTGCCCTCTTCATGCGTTCACCTCGTCTTCTCCGTGCTCTTACAACTATGTCTTACCAGACTCGATCAACGTTAATGGTCTCACCACAGCAGCCGGTCAAACTTCGCTTGCGTGGTAATGCCCTTCTCGAATCCGCGCGTTGGAACAAAGGAACAGCATTCGCAGCGAAGGAACGCGAGCAGTTCGGTCTGACAGGCAGACTTCCATATACAATCAACACACTAGACCAACAATGCGCCCGTGCAACCGATCAACTCAAGTCTCTTGAGAGTGATCTCCAGAAGAATGCATTCTTGCAAAGTCTCAAAGAACAGAACCTTGTTTTGTATTACGCCTTGCTTGAGAGGAACCTGAGAGAACTCATGCCTATCATATATACCCCGACTGAGGTGAGTGTATGCGCATGGATTGGAGTATTACTAATGCGCAAGGATAGGCAGATGCCATTGCGCAATATTCTCATGTCTTCCGGCGTAGCGAAGGCTTGTATCTCACCTTCCCGAATAGAGATACCATGGAGAAAGACTTCCTCGAGCAGGTACAAGGACGCGAAATTGACCTCGTCGTTTGTTCAGATGCAGAAGCCATCTTGGGCATTGGTGATCAAGGCGTTGGGGTAAGTATCTGTTAATTGGTGTAGTGTATGGTTACTAAGAACAGCATATTAGGGTATTGGTGTAAGTGCGAAGAAAGGACAGTCGCAGTGCAAGACCTCTGAGATTTCATTCAGATTTCTACCGCCAAAGCCGTGGTATATACGTACGCTAAATTGGGCATCTGTTGACAGATTATTCGCTAAGTCTGTGCACAGTCTAATAGGTGGTGTGGACCCTGGAAAAGCGTTACCTGTTACACTCGACGTCGGTACAAACAATGAGGATCTCCTAAATGATCCGCTTTATGTTGTAAGTTCGCCAGGTCCTCTGCAATATGATGTTGCTCTGACGGAATTCGATAAGGGATGGCAAAACAAGAGAATTCGCGGAAAGGACTATGATGAATTCATCGACAAGTAGGCACTCGAGCTGAATGAATGTTCTCCAGTTCATAAAAGAATTTAGATTTGTCCAACTCGTGCGAAAATACCTACCGCATAGTCTTCTCCACTTCGAAGACTTTGGCGTCTCTAATGCTCAGAGACTTTTGAGCATATATCGAGATAAGCATGCTGTATTTAACGATGACGTGTAGGTGTTTCATTTTCATTGAAATAATCTTTCTGACATGATTTCGATAAAGACAAGGTACAGGCGCAGTAACGCTTGCCGCCCTCATGTCAGCCGTAGGAGTGACCAAATCAAAACTCGTTGACCAGCGTATCGTGATCTTTGGCGCAGGCTCTGCAGGTCTTGGTATAGCAAGACAACTGCGCGATGCAATGGCAACCGCAGACGAGGTCTCTGAGGAAGAAGCAAACTCTAAGTTCTGGCTCATTGACCGCTTTGGTCTGGTAAAGAAGAGCCTCGGGAGTGAGAAGATTCGCGAGGGCACAGAAGCATTTGCGCGGGAGGATGACAACTGGTCCGGGTCCTCTGATTTCAGCACGCAGGATATACAGGCGAATGAATTCGGCTCATTCAATCTACGAGACGTCGTTAAAGCTGTGCGTCCGACGGTGTTGATTGGTACGTCGACGGTTGCTGGTGCCTTCACAGAGGAGATTATAAGAACAATGGCGAGCGCTGTTAAACGGCCAATTATCTTCCCTTTGAGCAATCCGAGTCGCTTGCACGAGGTACACCCGCACAAAGCAAATGAATGGACGGAGGGTAGAGCATTAATTGCGACGGGAAGTCCGTTCCCACCTGCGAAGATGCCGAACGGGAAGGATTATACGTACGGATTCACCTACAATATTGCGTCGAAGTAATGCTAATCGTCTTCATTCTATAGCATCGCAGAGTGTAACAGTAAGCCCAGAAGCCACTCTATCACATGAGCTTTGCACAAAGATCTTCTCATTCGACGTTCAACAGATGCGCTAATCTACCCAGGCCTCGGTCTCGGCGCGATAGTCTCACGCACCCGTACACTCTCCGACGGGATGATCATTGCAGGCGCACAGCGCCTCGCAGCACTCTCACCTGCACTTAAAGATCCAGACGATGCGCTCTTGCCGGATTTCTCAGACGCTCCGAGTGTAAACTTCGAAGTTGCAGTCGCCGTCGTACAACGCGCAATCGACGAAGGACTCGCTGCGGATGATGTATGTAAGTGGAGTCCTGAGGAGGTACGTAAGAAGGTTGGCGAGCAGGCGTGGAGACCTGTATATGCGGATTATGTTTATGATGACAACGGAGAGTCCTAGAATTAGATGAGTGCATAGAACATTTGCGGAACACCTGTGCAATTCTTTTGGGGCAGATTACTTGGAGACAACTCCTGTATCTTAGGTTTGACCAACCTACAATGTAGTGGTAGACATTTGGGTATTTCAACATATCCATTGGCTGTATAGTAAAAGGGAGGCAATTGTGGAAGCAGCATTCGAGTATTGAAGTTGAACGCGAATGAACAAACATGTTTCATGAGAGGAGACAATTTGTTATTGAAACTTCTGCTGGAGAAGGAAACAGCATCCAATGAGATTTTTTGAATGATGTTGAGAAGGCATGGACATACACTGTGTTCTACAGCCACGCACAATGTTGATCTGAATAACCTTCTGCTAATCAAGAAACTTAGATACATATACACAGGGAGAGCATACAGATTGGTTTCCGCATATTCTCTGATTGTGTTGATCAACCGCACTAGAAGGGATCCTCACACCCGTGTGCTTATGCTATTGTTTTCCATTACCAAATGCGTGTGTTATATATTACAGAAAATTTTGCTCTACGGAGTTTAAGTGGGATACCAAACCTCTATTGACTTAGAGTCTGTAGATAGAACCAAAGCACCACTATAATGCTCTACGAAGAACGTCCCCTGCCTCTCTGCCTCTCTAAACAAAGTCTGCACTTCATCAGGCACCTTGGCAGAAAAGAACGACCCATCATCACGAGTGCCGAACTTCGTCAAACTTCGCCTACCAGCAAAGTAGACCTCAGATGGTGTTCCGGATGTCCGTGGTGGACGGTATTCTGCTAGAAAGCCGCACTTATTACGAGATAAGAATGGGAGGATGTAGCCAGGGTGGAATTGGGCGATTGAGAGTGGTTCAGCGCGTCGTACTAGGGTTAATCGCTTTTGCCCTCGGTCTGTACATGTTGAATCCGATTCTGGGTCATATTCGAGCTCGTAGCTCGTGATCTCCCAACGATTTGGTGCAGAACCTTCTTGAACACCAACAACCATTATCGAGTATGACTTGCAACCACTTTTCTGTGGACAAGTAACCATACACGGGCCAATGCTAATATGAAAGCCGACTGAGAACGAAAGCGAGCAAAGATCTAAGTCTTTTAGATGCACCCATGAAGAGCCCCTTAGCCCTTGACGAATAGATGCTAGTTGGTCTAGATGGAGTATCGTAATGATAACGGACGTGTCTTCGGGATCAAATTGACAGGAACAGACAAACAGTTTGCCATGCAATAAATTCAAGTCTACAATGTGTTCCTGGATGGGACATTTATCTGATATGAGCAACCCGATGTCTGTCTAATGGCATGTACACTCACACTTCCGAATGACATATGCCAGCCCTCCTTCCAGTTAACTACTAGGAAGCCTACAGTGTTAACCTCTGCTACGGCAAAGTCACCTTCAATTCTCAAACGGCAAATGTTAACATGATAATCTTGAGAATACACTACTTCAGAGCGAAACTCCTCTTCCTCATTCGGTGATCGGGTTAATCGGAGTGCGCCAATCCACCTGTAGGCTGAACATTGACTTCCAGTATTTTACCTCTGGTAAACTATTCACTCACCAATTCTCACGTCTGGCACTGAAAGCAATAAGTAGCAAAGTGATACTACCGTCTCGACACATCTCGAACGCAAATGGCAAAAACACTCGGAAAGCCCGACCCTGTTCAAGTCTATATGACCATACTAATTTGTTGTTTCTCTGCAAATCGTAGAGCTGAACGACGTCCATTGACCATTTGACGAAGAGATACCGTCCTCCAGGGGCAAGTTTGACGTTTCTCTGCCAATAAGTAGATGCGAAAGTGTCTAACTCTCCGCTACCAGGATTCTTGGGCGCGATCATTGCTGCCCGATAGTACTGGGCCGTACCTTTAGCGCAGTGTTCATGTATGCGGACGGCATCAACAACCAGTTTTCGAACTTGAAAGTCAGAATAGGAGGTAATATCAGTATGTGGTGGAAGGTCGGGTGAACAGACCTGGTCGAGATCCTCCAGTAACGTCAACCAAACGTGGCGCGCCGAAATTACATTATACAGTCGTCTGCACGTCTACGAGGGCGGAGGTCCGTTATTCACAATGTAACATGCTGTATAACACCCGAATGTACATACCCGCTCTAGGCAAAGAACGTCTTTTACGTGCAGAGAGGAGAGAACATGAATAATGACGTCCGACGGCAAGTCCAGCAGACGTAGCGCTTGCATTCGTGACTAGTCGCATCCGACGCTGTACTCTGTTTTATGAAAGGGAGGGTAATGGGTGTGAGTGCGAGTGCCTTGCATAGCTGCCTTGTCAGGGCGTGTCTACAAAGATGGGCTGCAAACTTTGCGGCAAAGTGAACTTATGATACAGTTTCACGTGCAACGATCACCTCATTGTGTACCTTGATGTAGTACACAGTATTTCAGCAATTCCCTTACGATGAAAGGTGGTGGATGTGTCTGAGGTGCTTGGGCAGGCTGCATTCACTTTGCTGTGCGCAACGACACAGGCAAACATTGTGTATGTAAATAAACACACAGATTTAGGTCGAAGCGGAGCATTGGTCAAGGTCTTGATTCAAGTGTAAATTAACATCTGCAGTGGAACGGAATTAAGGTTAGTATACTGAGGCGTGGGTGGATTATCATGCTCACCTCAAGAAATGCCACAACTCACTTGTTTTTGCGGTCGTATTTTCACTGGAAGACACGGAATAGCGTTTGAAAATTACATTCATGACTCGGAATAAAATTGTAACAGGTAAAGAACAACTGAGGAAATTATTACATGCGCAACTTGCGTTCCATGTCGGCATGAATATCCAATGGTGGCGCCACTTCCCTCTCTGTAGAACAATGTCAGTGGAACCTTCAGACCATACGATTAAGAGATATACCTGAAAATACTTCCGCGATGTCAAGAGTCTCATCTCTACCCATTAGGATATCAAGGTGGATATTGGACCGGGACATTGCAGGCATATTCATGTCCTATAATCAAATATGGATATTAACCTTCATTTAGGAGCTCCATTGAAGTATGTTACTCACGGTGCCCACAATCTTGCGCTCCATCATTAGCCTAACTGGTGCAGCCATACCATACAAGTCGCGCTGCAGGTTGAGCTTGAGATTATCTTGCGTCTCTTCCCACTAGCATAATCCATTAGAACATCCTGTTGTGTAGACAACGAGAATATTACCTTGTCTAATCTATGCTTGAGAGCACTTTCACATCGCGCCTCCGTCGCTAAGCTCCTTAATCCATGGCGCAGAGTATCATGAACACCAAGATGGTGAGCAGTGTCCTGCACGGAGGCAGTCTTGTCTGCGGAACTGGGAACAAGACGAAGAGAATCCCCCTAGGATGCATGTAAGCATGTCTGTAAGTTCCAATATACAGCTCGCATCCTACCATGGTGTTCAGTGCAATGGTCGGAAAGGGTAAGAAGGAAAGTGATATGGCTTGAATGAACGCGAATTCAGACGCGTCACCTTCCCGTCGGAAAGTCACGTGGTTAATTGTGGAAATCGCAGATCACGAGCGCGCCTACAATAATGCAAGTCAACAGCACAGCAGATCACTTAGCCTTAGAATCAACTTTCAAAAGCAATGTCTGCCGTAGCACGAAGACCGGCCAATGCACCACGTCCGGCAAGACCGGCTGCTCGCTACTGGAGAGGAAAGGCTCCGAAGGGAGTTGCGGAACTTTCTGAATCCGACGAGGAAGATGAAGTCGGGGAGGTCGAGGAGCAGGCTGAGGATGAAGCTGTCGATATACCTCTAGGGGCTGTTGAAGCTTCTGATGAGGAGGAGGATGATGAAGAAGAAGAAGGGAACCAACACCGGGCGAAACCGAAAGCCACGTTGGGCAAAATGAACATTGCTCTAAGGGACGTAGAAGTAAAGGAAGGAAAGGTTATTGTAGCAGGTAGAGAAGAGTCGGGGAAGACTGCAATGGAAGGTGAGTGTCTCGTGTTATATTAGTATGTATGGTATCTTTTTGACTGATACACTGCAGAATCCGAGGAAGAGTCCGAAGAGGAGGATGAGAAGGTGGCTGTTCCTTCAGCGGACGCTGAAGAAGAGGAGGTAAGAGCTGACCAAAAGTTGGGATATAATGACTCTAATTCTATTTCACCCTTAGTCTAGCGAATATGAATCATCTTCAGAGGAAGAGGAAGAACCGCCAAAACCGATATTCCGACCCGTGTTTGTCCCCAAGTAGGCCGGATCCCTCATAATGTGGTACATTATATGTGTGACTGACTCAATAAATTATAGGCGGGGCCGCGTTACTGTGCTTGAACGAGAGCAGGAAGCACAGGATAGTGAAGAAGCTCTGGAACGCAAGAAGCTTGAAGAAGAAGAGCGAAGAAAACAAAGCCACGATCTTGTTGCTGAAAGTATCAAACGTGAACTAGCGGAAAGTAAGACTCGTCTGTCTTTTACCTCTTTAACTCAGAATCTCTAATAGTTGTTTTATAGAGGAGCGAGAAAAGGAAGTGCCAGACATTGACGATACAGACGGAGTTGATCCCGACGGCGAATTCGAGGCATGGCGTCTACGCGAACTAAGCCGCATCAAGCGCGACAAAGAAGCACAAGCCGCGCGTGAACTCGAACGCGAAGAAATTGAACGAAGGCGTGCACTTCCTGAAGAGCAGCGAATGAAAGAGGATCTCGAGCACGCAAAGGCAACTCGAGACTTGAAGTCGAAGGGCCAACAACAGTTCTTGCAGAAGTATTGGCATAAGGGTGCTTTCCACCAGGACGACGAGGTTTTGAAGCGTCATGATTACACAGAAGCCACAGAGAGCGCAGTTGACGTATCGCTTCTACCAAACGTTATGCAAGTACGGGACTTCGGGAAACGTAGTCGGACGAAATGGACACACTTGGTTAACGAGGATACCACCGTTGGAACCGGTGGGTTTGGAGGTGTCGGACTAAAACCCGGTGCTGGGAAACCTGGTGAACCCGGCAGTGGTTGCTTCAATTGTGGAGGTCCTCATTTGAAGAAAGGTATAGTTGATTTTGGATGCTTTAAGCACAGAGTCTTACTCTCTCGATTGTAGATTGCCCTCACAATTCGGGACCACCAGGTACAGGTGCGAACAACGCCAATGGTACTCATTTAACGCGGAGCTGGGGTCAAGACAGCAGACGTGATAATGATCGTTCATGGAAAGACAGGGACCGTGGGGGTCGTAGTCCTCCACGACGCCGAGACTACGGTGATCGAGAGCGAGAGTATGACAGATACAAAAGTCGAAATGACGACTACAGAGACAGACAACGAGACGATAAATACTACGACCGACCCAGAGACTCACGGTACAAGGACCGCGACGCTTCTGATCGGCACTTACGCAGGTCTCGGTCACGGTCTCCTGTAGGTCGTAACGGTGACCGAGACCACCGCGAACGCCCTCGAAATCGCTCAAGAGATCGCTCATTGGAGGATTCCCGACGTGGAAAACGCATACGGACAGACTAAAATGTCGCATTACTGTATACTGTTTTGATTCTCTTTTCACTCTGCACCTACAGTTTAACCATTTGGGAACCGTTCCGAGGATACTGTATTTGCGTATCATCGCCATGTATAATTAATGTTACATGCATAGTCTAAAAGGTCAATTGACAAGACGCATCTAGTGGATCGACCCAGCGCCTGTAGCCATGGATTGTGATCACATTTGAACTCGGCCTCTTGCCTCGCAATCTCTTTCTAGAAAGAATATATGTACAATACCCGAGAGTAGGAGCATTAAACGCTTGTTGATGCCTGACGTTTCGATACGATCATGAATCTATGCTACACATTTGTGTTACTGATTTACATTGCAAAGTGCTCAACATGCGAATATTGGAAGGTATGGAAGGTATGGAAGGTATGGAAGGTATGGAAGGAAAGAGCGCTAACCATAATCAGCTTCTCATCTTAGCAGGCAGAGACTGTCCCAAGGAATCAGCAAGATTCGAGTTGCGTACCACTAATTGTGAATAAATATCTTTCCGCAGCAATTGCGTGCTCCACAAAGGCATTTCTGATAGGAATGCTCCTCGTCTGAATCATCGTCCTGGTTATCGTAGAACAGTATGAGTAACCCAAGAATTAGTGAAAATTTTTACAAAAGGACTTGGTCCATACGTCTTCATCCCTTTCAGGATTGTAATTGAAACATAGCTCTTGGCCGGCATCCAGATCTTTCGTAGTGAATATAGCGAGCAGTGGCTTATCGATGTTAGCCTCGTTGATGTAGACAGCATTGATCCTGCAATTTGGATCACAGCTATGGTTCTGAGTTCCAGCACAGTGAGAAAAGGTACAATGGTGCTTGTAATACGGTATGCGACTTACCAAAAATCGAGTGAACTGCATGAGAAGTATTTTGAGTCAAAAGAAAGAGGTGAAGGGGGAACCACAACGCACGTTTCCAACATGAAAGGCGTCAATGACATATTTGATTTCGTCTGGTTTGTCCCTGGGAATGTGCCAGAAGTCGATGTCAAAAAGATAGTTTCTGTCTGACGCGTTATATTTCCTTCGCTTATTGGTTAGTAATCAATCCGTTGATATACAGGTTTAAGCTCACAGGCCGCGTCTGTGAGCCTCCTCATCCACTAGGAGCTCTCCTGAATAAATGCCAATGAAAGTGCCCTTGGGGATCTTCTTGCCAGCAAAGATACCTGCAGAGTATATATATTAACTTGTACAATAATCGCACGACTCTTGTCACATACCCCAACCTTTGCGCTTTGTCTTAACTATATTGATATGACATTGCCTGCCGTGTTGGACAACCTAAACCATACAAAAAGAAAATTTAGTCTTAGACAAAATTAAATCGAAATGACTAATTACCCTGTTTGTACAATCCTCATCACAGCCACAAGCATCATTGCATTCAAATATGGGAAACCCTTGAATTTGAGCTCGCCCCTTATCATCATAAACGAAGCCTTCATGGTAATTATCTTGACCCCTGAAGATTGCGAGCTGCCGGTGCAAGCAGGCACACGTTGCGGATTGCGGGTCACATTTTCCCATACACCCACAACCTTGAAGATTCTCATAGTCGGGAGGCGGCACGTTTTCGTGATGGTATAATCTATTGGTATAATAGAATTCAAACGGTGGTGCTGGTTGGTCGTCGACATTGTTAATAATCTGAATCGCAGGAGCATTTGGTTCATCGTCATTTGTGTTCTGCAAAATTGCTTGCTCAAACATGTCCTTCAGCAATCTTGGGTTTCTTCCCCAAGCCGGAAAGTAGTTGACTTCATTGATGAAATCCCTAGGAATATCTTTGATGTGGTACCACTTCGGCCCGTGTCTTCGGCCAGAGAAGGATGGGTCAGGTCCTTTGCTGACTTTATGTTTAGGCTTGGAAGCAATTACTATATCGCTCACAGCATCGGCGAGATCGGTGACCGGTGTGGCTGGACGGTTATTGGATGATTCACTATGATCATCACCGAATACATCCATTGGGGCGGGACTTGAAGCAGATGAGATGCTCCGCGACCGCATTGTGGAGGTATTAGATGCCATTGATTGACGAGCTCGTTTTGATCCGTTACACGTCTTCCTAGCAACTGGAGGCTTTCTGCTTAGATCGGACTTGTGGGTTCGAGCACGTTTTGCGGAAGACTGCTTCCCAGTGTCGATGATGTCCCCACTCGATGATGCAGACGATGTTGAAATGGCTCGTTTCCTGAATGATGCAGAGGACGATGGCCGAGCTGGATTGTCGAGAGGAGTTGGTCGCTCGGACGACGACACTGGGCGTCGCTTTGAGGTGCCGGTGGACTTGCGAGCAAACTAGTCTGGTTAGGACAAATGATTTAGCAGAAATGGGAACTAGAACATACTGGGAATTTCCTAGAAGATGCAACTGATTTGTCTGATCCTAAGTAAACAGTTGACAAGGGCACAGGAATGCAAGACAAATCTGACATACTAGACATTGCAGACAGTTTTACATCGTGTAAGCCACCGGAAGTTCTATTATATATCTGTGCTAGTGCGTTCGCTCCAGTCACTGGCTGAGGAATAGAAGTAGCAAGTGTAGTTGTTCCAGCGTATCGCTGATTCGGATTCTATGAATAATTTAGCAAACATTGGCAGCGGTGAACAGGAACAAGAGCTTTACATCATCAACACTTCCTGTATTCAATGCTTTGTGTCTCTTCGGTGGTACTGGTTGAGAAACGCTCCCAGGTTCTGCAGCTGATGAAGAACCACGTGCCAGGGAATCGCTGTTCTGTGCATCACCGCCTTCCATAGTACTTTGCAACATTCGCTTCTTTACATACGGCATCAGATCTCGCCTCAATGACAAGCCAGAAGCTGCCGCAGCCCTGAATAGATTGGTTGTAGGCGATGCTAGGAGTGATTCAGTAATGACCTTCATCCAAATACTTTACTCACGTATTCCCTTTGCTGCTCCACTGTCGTTTGAACCCGGTGGATCATTTATGAGCAATTTGGGTTTCCTTGCAGAACATAATGCTTGGTCTGGGATCTCCCTAGCATCAGACATCAAGGAAGAGGGCGTCAAACTTGACGAAGGGTCCGTTCGTACAGTTTCTTGTTTACTTGAATGACTTGGCACTGTCTCGGGGTCCGCCACCATCTTTTCGCTGGAAGTTCTTGTATCCGCAGCACGCAAATACTGGAATGTCGGCGCTGGGACGGAGAGCCTCCTTGTGGGTCGTACGGGTGGCATCTTTAAATTTGCTCGTGATCTTGGTGACAGCGACTGGTCGCGGGCAGGTTTATCAGCCGTACTTGCGAGTTCCACATTATTCTTCCCGTCAGCAACGACAGCAGGTATCTGTGAATCTGATGACACAGGATTAGGCGACGCGGTCTGAGTAGGGATCGCATTGATAGTCTCCCGCAATTCTCCAGTCTTCTCAACAAGCCGCGAACCATTTTCGTTACCAGCATCCACGTTATTGGCTTTTCCGGCTGGAGCTTGAATTGGTCTAGTCGGGGATGCGGATGGAGTGGACACCGTTGACATGTTCCTGCTTGCACGAGCCGTTGGCGACGCCTTTTGCGGCGGTAAATTAAACATCCCCATGAAATTCACAACTGGTGCGGGAGCAACAAGTGCACCTGGCGAGAGTGCTCGGATAGGGTTTGCCTGCTCTCTGGGAGCTCTAATATCTCGTGCCAAAACAGAAGCTTGCTTATGAGGTTCTGGAATCGAGGTTTGTCCAGAGGCGGTCAAAGCAATCATGTTGACGTCAGCTTGCTTTTCTGTCTCATCGTTCCTGCGATTTGCGCTGGCCATTCGAACCGCACCATCTGGGGCAGAACATGGAGGGCCAGTCACGACTGATTTGGATGGTTCTTTCTCATTGACTACATCCATAGGCACCTCCGTACACGATGTCATGTCTTCGGGTCCGCGACGAGACAAATCCATCATCCCAATCTTATTCGTCAGTGTTTCCTGCGCAGGTGGTGTAACAGATTCAAGTAGTATGGACACAGATTCAGACCGGGTGGCTTTATTAGCGCTCTGCTGAGGGTCAGATACGCTTTTGCGCGGGGAGCTGATCGACGGTCCGATCAGTAAATCTACCTCGTTCGCGTCTTCACCTGGTGAAGCAGGATCTTCATTCTGTCTCGAGACAGAGGGACTGCGAAGTTCTCTAGCACGTGCAATAGGTGACGTTTCTTCCGGTCTCTTCATGTTCTCATCTACACGAGTGTCTTGTTCCACTGTAAATCATTAATTGTATCAATAGCTGATTAAGTAGCATTGAAAACTTACCGGAAGAAGATTTGTCCCGGGAAAAGCGTATTGCACCGCCTCCCACCATCGGATCGAATTCGTCGTCCGCGAACGCCATATCCAGAGGATTACCATCATCGACGTCAAAGTTCGGTTCAACAATCATGGGTTCGCCGGCTTCCTGTACGTCTACTGAAGCAGTTTCAGGCATATCTGCATGCAATCCATCATGCTGGAGTCCCGAATCAACGACCATCCCATCTCCTGGCGCTAGGGTGGGATGAAAGGTAAACCTGCCCGGTATGCAGTTGTCCCCGTCATTCGTCTCGTCGATTAGATCATCAGCTAATTCTGAGGCGGCTCTATCAGGTCCTGAATTAACCCGCGCCGTGCCGAGATCGTTACCTGAACGTCCACGGCTGTCGTTCAATGGCCTGGAGCCAGCGGGTCGCGGTTTTATGCTTGCCATTTTGTCTTTAGGTATCGCAGACGACCGCGGCTTAGGGCGTACAGCGGGTGGAGACTGCGACTGTGAGAGATCAGGCAGACTTCGAGCGGGCTGTGATGATGGTAAGTGTATCCTCGACTGCGAGTCGGTTGTGGAAACGTGAGCATGGTGGCTGCCACGTGAGGTGGCCGGCACTGCAGATGAGAGCACATCGTCATCGTCTGTCGTTAAGTCCACTACGATTGTTTCGTTCGCGCGGTTCACAGCGCGAGCTCCCTCGTCGTCATCGTCGTCAGACACTTCAACGACACCTAAATCAACTACAGGCCCTATACAGGCAGATATATGAGTAAGTTCTGAAAGCTGCCACTGAGGGGCAACCGGCAAGGCCTCAAAACTTACTTGGCGAAGATGATTCTCCTACTGTCCTATTTGTAGCTGTGCTGGAATTTAGTCGTCTGCCTGTAGTTGTTGGTTGGGTCAAAGGAGGAGGGTGATTAGTGCTCGCGGTCCTTGCATTGCCAAAAACAGGCTGAGTGGAAGGACCACTAGTTGCTCCTACTGTTTAGTCAATTGTATGAGAGCATAACCCTTCTAGGTAATCGCTAAGACCATACCATTTGATCGCCCGCCTCTGGAATTTGAGAAATTGCGCGGCCCTCGAGATATTGATTCGGGCTCGCGTTCACCGTCATTTACCGACCGGTTTACTATCAAAGAGGATATTATAGTTGAGTAAACCCAGTACAGCACGGTGATCCACCAAAGCAGAGACTTACCAGACTGTATACCTTCTCGACCGCGATATTGTTGAGACAACGAGTCAGGAAATTCATCTCCGCTACTCGTGGATAAAAAACTTCTTGAACCGGGCTAGGTATTTATCGAGTCTATGAATATACTGATACACAAGGACATTGCAACCTACCTGTGATAATGATGGATGGGCCAACGTCTTAAGTAATATGTAGTAATGGGTTTTTAGGTGCATATACAGTCAGAAATCTAGTCGACACACAATGCAGGACTGAACTTACTTTCCTTGGTGATCTAGGTTCGGACTATAAGCAATTAGTGCATGTGAGTTTTATCTGGAGAGTTTGGGGTACTTACAAGCATTTGAGACTGAGAAACAGACGTTGAATCATCCTCAGAATCTTGGATGGAAATGATGTCGTCTGCCTTCCCCTTTCCTTTTTCAGCACTGCGAGGTGAAGGCTTCGGAGACAGAGACAATGGGAATGCAACTATTACGATCTTCAAAACAAACAAAATATATAAAATCCTACTGACCTCGTTTGGCCGGAAAGGAATAGATGAGGATAAAGGGGACCGCGTATTCTTGGACAATGAAGGCCTGGACAAGGATGGCTGTGGGAAAGAAGTTCCAACTGAGATAAGCTTCAAATACAAGCCTGTATAACTATTACCTGTGACTGAGGAGGTCGATTGTATGCACTCTTTCTAGCTGTAAAAATTGGCTTCCGCCTCGAGCCATGCCCTGAGCTAGGCTGTTGTATGTTCTGTTTGGAGTGTTTCTTCAATGCTCCAGTATATGCCTGAGATTAGAATATATAAAACTTGCCTGTGGAGAAATAGGGGTTACATGGGAGGATCGTGAAGATACATTAGAGGGTCTTGAGGAAGATGAAGCTGATGCAGCAGGTTGCGTGGCAGGGAGTGGCGGAATGCGTTCAATTGTCGTCCGAGGTGGACCTTGAGACTTCTGTGAAGGTGCACTCCCAGACGCAGCTGCTTGCATTTGCTGTCTCTGAGGCTCATTCAGCCTAGAAAGATCCTCTTTTCCTCGCCTGAATGGGTCAGGTCTCGGTATGGTGCTCCCGGACGGCTGTGTACTCGGAGGCGGGCGTGGCATCGTTCTGGCCATTGTACTTGTTTTACTCGAAGCTGGTATCGAAGGGCGCGTAAATTGACTGCTAGCAATACTAGTGTTATCATCCCCTTCATCCGAATCGTTTGGCTCTGTTTGACACGCAGTTGAGTGATATTGGACGCGCAGTATATACAAAGCAGAAAATAGACAGCAGATGAATACCTTCAAGAGTCTCCCAGGTTGGTAAGGATTGCATACGACGCATACTGGGCTTGCAGGCAACTGAGTTGAGTGAAACTCAACACGGATTTCACTTGAGTCCAAGTTGCCGTACTACTTTGAAGGTGCTGCAACGTACTAATAGCAGCGGAAGCAAGCAGTGCTTTGCCGACGCCTACATTTGTGCGTCATGTGACGGAGTGCAGTCGCGCAGTCTCCTGTCGACGCAATTACACGGCATCTTTGTCTTTGTCAATGACCACAGCAGTAACAAAGCATGAGCGCCTCTAGCGGGTCTCTACGCGACCTTTATTCTGATCCTCCTACAGCATGGTCTTTTGTTCCCATCACAAACAACGGTTCTAATCCTGCATCGGGTGCAGGCGGACCGTCTATAAAGGCTGACTCGGCGTCAACTTCGTACCAATGGTCTTCTCGACCTCGGCCCAATTCAATCTATGAGCTTTCACCAGATCTTGACTTCGAACCGTCTGGTCCAAATGCAGTAGCGTTTCTGCGCACTGCGGCTGCGTCGGCGATCCTCCAATACCTCGCCGCTGCGCTCGAGAATCCATGGGAGGTCGGAAATACGCTGCTCGAGGTTCAGTTCGTTCCACGTAATGCTGGCGTTATTGAAGAAGTGGAACCGCCAGAGGAGGAGGAAGAAGCAAGTCATATCCGTTAAATCCCGAAAAAAAAACTGAATTTAATTGATTGTATCATTTGGGATAGACAAGCGACGACACTTCTTCCGCAAACGGAGACAACTATTTCGCAGATGAAGCCGACTCGTTTTCTTCTCGCACAAACACCCCTCGCCCCGTGGATGAGCATGGGTATGTTGTTCGTCAAGGCGTTTCCGAAAGTGCAACACGTCCAGATTGGGTTATCCCACCTGGCAGTGTAGCTGGTGTATGGCAGATGATGAAGCAATTAATGCGTTGGAAACCTGAAGGATACTTGGCTCTCTGGAAAGGTACCCTCTCATTATTCTAACATCTACTCGCCTGTGGTTACTCATCCATTGCATTCAGGCACCGCCACTGGTTGCATAAGGACTTTCCTTGACGGTGTTCTTCAGCCTATCATTCAATCTGCTCTTACCCATCTGTTTTCGGCTTTCACCCTTGCTCCATCTCCTTCTTTTTACTCCCGAGCACACCCTATCCTTCTACCCGTCGCATCCCATGTCTTCACAGGCTTTCTCCTCTCTCCACTCGACCTCATCCGTACACGACTCATAGTCCAAACCTCTCATCCTCGACACAGACGCTACTCTGGCCCGCTCGACGCACTCAACCAAATCCTCCTACACGAAGGCGGTATCCACGGAATCTACCTCCATCCCCAACTCCTCTACTCAACAATCCTCGACTGCACGCTATCCTCACTCGCCAGTGCCCTCGTCCCAACACTCACCGCACGCGTCTTCAGACGCATAAGCGGGATGAACGCAGAAGAAGTCCACCCACTCTTATGGATCCTCGCACAACTCGGCGGCGCATGCGCAAGCCTCCTCATCACAGTTCCCATGGGCACAATCCGCAGACGACTACAGATCCAAACTCGCGGATCCGCACCTCCATTGGCTACATGCGTTGAAGTCCGCCGACGCCCATACGCCGGGATCGTCGACGCCTTCTACTCTATCCTCACTGAAGAACGTTCTGACCTGCCTCTCCACCCGAAGAAGCGAGAACGCCGAATGTCTCGCGCGCACGAAAAGGGTAAAGCTAAGGAAGGCAAAGTACATGAAGAACCAGAGGAGCAAGAGAGCTGGTTAAAGCATACTGGTATTGGACAACTGTATCGTGGACTTAGTATGCGTGCGGGCGCAAGTGTTGTGATATTCCTGTAAGTGCTTTTCTTAATTTAGTGAGGTTAGCGAAAAGCTCATGTCGCTGCCCACAGATCTTCGTTCTTAACTGCAGGTTCGAATGAGAGCGGCTGGACAGAGCTGTAGACATGGATTGAAATCATATTCGCCGTTTCTTCCTTCAGTTACATAGTTTACCACGTAATTACTGAATAAATAATGCTCGACTCCGAAGTAATACCTCGCTTTCTTCAACAGAAGCAACAGTTTATTTCAATTAATCACGATGTGGAAGAGCAACATTGTAGAGCGAGAAAGTCATGCAACCATATACCGTACAACAACAACTAAAGAACCGAGTAAAAATAAACTATCTGATTAACTTTTATGTCCATCAAAGCTAAAAAGCCGGATAAGTATTCGCTAAGTTACTGAGCAAAGAACCACCAAGTTCCAAAGCCGAGTGCAACCAGAATACCGATGGCACGCAGGATCAGGACAATAATTAATGCTTTGCGCACTGCAGCGTAGAACTGATTGACAGCAGTTCCTATCCAGTTGATTCTGCAAGCAAAGCTTGTAAGAAATTATCATCTTTCATTTCGAGAAAATATGTACCTCCTGTCATTTGCCCCGCCATTGCGTGCACTAGCTTCCCAGCTGCGTATAACTTCACGGTATCGTTTTCCGAAGACCCAAATCCAGAAATTAACGTCTGGGTATGAGAATCGCGGGAAGACGGACCTAAGGTTTAAATCAGCATCATTAATACGAAGTCCATCAACGCATGAGATATATAAAGCACTCACGTCATACTCGGCGCGATGCTCGTCCCAAGTCCGGTCACTTCATCACGGGGATAGTCGACGGAGAATGGCGAGGATGCAGGGTGCATATGGGCAATGAAGTCCAGCGTCATACCCAGTGATAGGCCCCAAAGTTTCAGAATTTCTCTTCGCTGCTCAGATTCTGCGCCTGCCTTCTCACCGTCCGGTCGGAGAGCTTCACTCGTCTCGGTTGATTCAAGCAAAATGGCGTTGAACTGCATGCTCCCCAAAAACATGCGGACAATTAATCGCAGGGTGGTAGAATGCCGAGGTGTAAGACGGGAAGCGACATCGACCGTTACGTTTGTCCATTGACGCGCACTCCTCGTGCCTTTCTTTGGTTTCGGTCCATCTATAGAAGCAGATGCGAGCAGTGATGAGAGTGGTATCCAGTGAAGATGAGTTCCAAGTCCAGGATCGGGTGCGGGTGTTTTCGGAGTCACTTGAAGAAATACTACAATCTGTGTTAGTGAAACGCCCTCGAAAACGGGTTGTCAGAAATTACCGAATGGCGACAGAATCATGAGCAATCGTTTCCCGAGGGAAGTAGTGATCTCGCGGTCGTCCAATTGCCCAATGAGCATGAAATCCTTCTCAGCAAGGTCGATGCCAATTTCCTCCCATGTTTGGCGCATAGCTGCATGTTATCGCTTTTAGCAGATACATATGACTTAAAAAAGCTGCTACAAACCAGTATATAGTCCTCCCTCATCGCCTTCTTCCATTCTTCCACCCGGAAACGCGAGGTGTGCATCTTCGACATTCCTGGGTGTGTTCTGAACAACACTGTTCTCACTCTGTGGTGCGTCCCGCCTTAAGAAGAGTATCTCGGCTGTCGCACCAGGTTCATTTACCCAGTCAAGTGAGAAGAAGTCCGACAAAGTCTCAGGCACATGGACATTTTGTAGAGAGGATTGAGAAGCGAATGGAGACGGAACGACTCGAATGATGAGAGCGACTGCCGCGCGGCGTGGTTCTAACAGTTTATGGCAATGATTAGCATGGAACGTACGAGCTAGAATGGCGGCCGTAACAATACTACACGCACGAGTTTTGGGGGAAGCAATGATCCGAGGTGGGGTAACGCGAATGCGGTGAACCGCTCTTGAGAGAGCCGCTACGATGCTCGACGCTATTCGCAAGCAAGTCAGGACGACGCAGGACACGAATGAAACAAAGAGGCGACGCACGGTCAGACATTGGAAATTGTTATTAGAAGACACCTCGCATCGGCTGGTGGCGACGTTGAAATGCTATGAAGGTGGCAGCGGTACTCCGCATCCGTGCCCAAACTGCCTGGGGGAATTGGGGACGCGATATGACGGAAATATTAGTTACGTAAGCTTGAGTATGCAATCACAATCATCAGTCATCTCAGCCAAGTATGCCTGACTGCACTCACAGGTATTGAAGATAGTGGATTTTGTATACAATAACATGACTATTTTGTAACAACAAGGAGAGACTCATCCAAACAGCGAGAAAAAATTTCAATTTATATAATTGTCGAGGTCCTACCCGGAATCGAACCGGGGTTACAGGAACATTACTAGTCAGAATCCTGTGTGATAACCGCTACACTATAGAACCGCAATTAGATTATGCAAAAAGAAAAGATATATAGTATATTATAAATCACATTTGCAACAAAATTGTACTCCAAACTCCTGCCAGACATTGGACTTGAATGACACAAAGAGACTTTCAGCTTAGTCATGGATGATCGACGCGGAAGCCTGAGGCCACACGCGGAACGCGTCATAAACAAGACGCGCGTTCTACCAATACTCTTGCAGAGAACCACCACCTTCAGCAATGGTACGTGTTATACTGATGTGAATTAAGCGTGCATCTAAGGCAGCGTATAGCTTATCCGTATCCGATGCAAAGCGGGAAACTTCCGCTACGAAGTGGATCCGTCGTCAAACTTCTTCGACCTTGCTCAGAAAGTAAGCGGTTGACTGCATCCATCCACGATATTTACTCACGATCATCTTAGGTAGCCGACACGGTGAAGGTAAACCCGTCATCGATAAAATTCTCGAGACAACCTAGAGGAGGTGAATGGGGCCTTCCTCAGTTGCAGGGCAAAACTCTTGCAGAACATCAAGTGAAGTATGTTGTCACTCAGATAATGCCCGTGGATTGTACTCATTCAGTCTCTAGACATGCAGACCTTCTATTCGTTTCGTATGATGATTCAATAACGCCTGAGTCTTCTCAACCATTGCCTGCTCTAGCTAGTGAACATTCAACAACATTATATCCTACGGCAGACGCCACACATCGACCATGGGAACTCGTGAAGGAGGATCCGGTGGATGAGTATTGGCGTAAGCAGGACGGTAAGATAAAACGAGACCGTGACTCGCGCTTTTGCAAGCACGGCGCGAATGCAATGTGCGACCACTGCATGCCACTGGAGCCATACGATGCGGCCTATCACGCTGAACAGGGTATCAAGCGTCTATCCTACCATGCGTACCTTCGCAAATTGGCTCCTTCAAAACCTGCCGCTTCATCATCGTCAGCCGTACTCCCACCCCTGGAGCCACTTTCATACAAAGTGAAGGATCCTTGCCCGAATGGAAAGCATGCACCATGGCCTGCGGGTATATGCTCTTCATGCCAGCCATCCGCAATCACATTGCAGCCACAGCCATTCCGTATGATAGAACACTTAGAGTTCTCTACCCATGAGATCGTGGACCGGTTCCTTAACGTGTGGCGACGGACCGGTACACAGCGATTTGGCTGGCTCATTGGCCACTACGAGCCGTACGAGAAAGTACCGATGGGCATCAAGGCTGTCGTTGAAGCAATTCACGAACCCCCGCAAGAGGGTGAACTAGACGGATTGACACTGGGCTTACCTTGGGAAGACGAGAAAGCTGTTCGAAATCTCGCAGCGGCCGCTGCCCCTCCTCTTACGATCGTCGGATACATCTTCACAGATCTAGATCCTTCCGAAGAAGATAGAACGAAGAACGTTCACAAGCGTCACCCGTATTCATATTTTCTTTCCTCATTAGAAGTCATATTTGCAGCAAGGCTTCAATTGGAAAATCCAACAGCGTCACGTTCCTCTGTTACCGGAAAATTCTCGTCGCGCTTGGTCACAGCTGTCGCGACGGGGACCGAAGAAGGCGGTATTGACATCAATGCATACCAGGTGTCGGAACAAGCTTGCGCAATGGTCGATGCAGATATGATTGAGGCGAGTGTGGATCCTGGAATTGTACGAGTAAAGGAAGAAGATCAAATGGCAGGATCCGCACGATACATTCCCGACGTCTTCTTTAGGTATAAAAATGAGTATGGGCTGGATGTTCAAAAGAGTGCGAAGCCCTGTTTTCCTGTGGAGTACCTTCTCATAGATGTACGTCTTCCTTCGATCCTTTCCTACTCGTGAAATTAAATTATGATTACGCAGGTGACTCACGGTTTCCCTCAAAATCCGTCGCCGTTATTCATTTCGAACAAATTCCCAATCGAAAACCGGCCAGGCCTAGAAGACCAAGATGTACAGAAAGTTTTGAAAGAGTTGTCACGACTGAGAGCCCCGGAGATCACCAGTGACCCGAGCTATGAGCAGAAAGAACCACGGATGTTCCGTCAAATAGTTGAATATCTTAGTGACTGGCATCTTATTTCATTCCTACCTTCGACTGGTTTGGTGTCTGCGGTAAACAACCCTCTTCTTGAAATCGTCGGACCTTTCCTAATTTGTGGTTTAGGAGGATATGAAATTGTTTGTTCGAGCTGCTTCGTCTGTGAGCTCTGGTGACCAGCGATTATTCCATGAGCTGTTCAAGACGAGTAGCTGGGAGACTCTCATGACATTTACCCGAGAAAACGCCCGTACGTGTCTTGAATCCTCTTGATGCTCTAGAAGTTTCTCATATACTTGTTACTATAGCGAGTCAACCTCCGCCACAGCAGGGAGGCGATACTGATATGGACGAGCTTCCTCAGGATATTCGGGATCAGATAGCTGCAATGGAAGCTCAGTCTGCAGCTGGTTCTGGAGCTCCTGCACCCGCTCAGAACATACGCATCTGCCCTCATTGTACTTTTGAGAACAGTCGTGCCGGCTCTGATTGTGAAGTTTGCGGACTTCCATTGGGTTAATTAAACTACCCCCCAGCATTAGTTAGAAATTTACACAATGTAACGAGATGATAAGGACGTGTACAATGCAGGACAAGAATAAGATACTTCAACATTATTTTGTAGAAAGTATAAGGACAAACAAGTTCACTTTGAGACAGATTATTAATACCGTTAATATTCACGCTGAATTTCTTGTCCATATCCATACTGTTTTGCAGACTCAGGCACGAAGAACGCGATTCGCGTAAACACATCTAAGTCACGTGATGCTTTGTTTTCCTTAGATGAACTGTTTCTCCTCATTAGCTTTAACTCTCAATCTATTGAGGGTCGCCTTTGGCAAGCAAAACTAGCTTGAAGACGCTGTTCTTGAGCCATACGGCACGTCCCAAAGAGGCTCTGGATACGAGTGGCTAATTATTGACTGCGTTCCTCATTTGGATGCCTAGGCACGTCATCTTGTGTGCATATTGCGAATCGCTGTCGCCTGCGGTATTCTGTTTATGCCATCATGATTTCTCGCATGCAAGAAACACCGAAAGGGATGAATAGCGGCACTAGAAGCTTAGATTGCGTGCATCCCTCCTCCATCTTCTACCTCGCCTCGCCTTTACCGTGCGACAGGCTCCTTGAAAGCTCCAGAAAAGCGGCGCGGGGATGCGCTTGGATACTATGCTCGCGACCGTGGACGACTCTCCAGATATTGCCGTCAACGGGAACGCTGATCTTAAACTTGATATCTCGTCTGCCACTGAACGAGCCGTTGCGGAGTCCGTTTCTCAAGAACTCGATTATTGGGAGAAGCTTGTATTCTCGTTTGATATGGACCGTGATCCAGGTGGCCCTTCACAGTCTGATACTGGGTCGAGAGGGAGAGGTAAAAGGAGTGAAAGCCGATCGCAATCGCAAGGACGTGGTGCCTCACCGCTGAACCCAGGACAATCATCATCAAGGTCTGGTATAGGCCAACAGCCCTTAGATCCTCGACAACTGCCGCCACTGCAGTTCCCTCCTAATATTGCAAGCGCTTCTGGTCAGCAGCAACAACATCCGTACTTATCGCAGCTCAGCCAGCTTCCTGGACTCGATCCATATACACTCGCCCAATTAGCTGCTCTTTCTGCTATTCAAACTGGACAACATGCTCCTGGCGCCCAACAGCAGAATCTCCCTGACCCGATTACACTCCTCAGACAAGTTCAAGGACTGCTATACCCGTATGGAAATATTCCCCCAGGAAATGGAGGGCCTCTGCCAGGATCTTCACAAGGCTTTCAACCAGCACAAACAGGTCCATTTCGCCATCCGTCTAGCGGAACGAGCCATGGCGGCGCACAGCATGGCATGCAACATTCCCTTTCCGAATCCTCAGTCCATCGATGGCCACCACCACAGTTACCAGGTATAGGATCTTTCCAATTTCCTGTACCCCCGATAGACTCTTCACTTGCAGGTCAATTGCCACCTCTTCCACTTCCAAGTGCTTTTCAGCAGCCTGCGCAAACTCCCGGAGCTGGCCCATCTACAGAAGGTTCGAGGGCTCGTAGCAGGAGTACTACTTCTTCGACTACTCCGTCTACCCCTGTTAGCCCTGGTGCATCAAGGGGTCAATCATTGATGGACGAGGCCGCAATCGCAGAAGACAAGCGACGAAGGAATACCGTCGCATCAGGTATGTTCACGCCTCATCCAACTCATCCTTTACTTTATTTCTTATTTATTGAATAATTACGAAACAGCACGCTTTCGAATAAAGAAGAAACATAAGACTCTCGCTCTCGAACGATCTGTCGTTGAGCTTGAATCCCGCGCAGACGACCTAGAACGCGAAGCGTCGGATTTGCGTCGAGAGAATGGATGGTTGAAGGAGATGTTGATTATGAAAGGAAGGGGCGCCCGTGCTCAAGCTGCAGCTGCAGCTGCTGAGTTGAAGGAAGCGCAAGAGGAAGAGGAGGAAGAAGAGGAAGAAGAAGAGGAGGAGGAGGGTGGTGATAATCTAGAAGAGGAAGGAGAGGCGGAGGATTCTTCAGATAAGAAAGGTAAAGGAAAGGCCAGAGGTTCTTAGTGTTGTATTCCCGGCTGACATTACATCCGTCTGTAAATTTGCTTGTGCTGGCTTTGTTAACTCTTCCTGTCATGTGCAACTTCAATTAGAGACTGAGTATCGCACCACTGTTGTTTTCGCATATATACGTGGTCTTTCCTTTCGTTCAAGCATTCATACATGAAATTGTATTACCCAAAGTCCAGGCTCCATCCGAAATTGCTAGTCTCTCTTGTGTGGTTACCATCACCCAGTAGGAATGCAGCCCTTCAATTCAGAGCGCACGTCGTCTTTGCATATTTACTTTACTACATCACTTTCAGCATACTAGAGTTCCAATCCGTCCCATGCCGGAATCGGCCGCTCAGCTTGCGGAGTGATACGTGCTCCATGACGCCTCTCTGTTGAGAGGCCTTTCCCATAGTCTGCAATCGCACTCTAAAATACCGCAACAATAACATGAGGTCGACGAGTTGACAAATATACAATTTGGGAACCCACATGCGCTGTGATGCGATTGTCCCAGAGAACCACAGTATTGGGAGACCAGTGGAGACGGGTTTGGCAATCTCCCGAAGCTGCAATATGCTCATACAAGAAGTTGAGTATGTTTTCTAGGATAATAACCGTTTGTTAGAATTTTTTTTAATCCGGTATTTAAAAGAGAGAAGCTCAGTCTTACGTGATTCCTCCTTCTTGAGTCCAAGAATACGCCGCGTGAACTGCTTATTGACATACAATGCTTCTTCTCCGGTTACCGGATGACGGCGAACGACTGGATGTACATGCTCAACAGGTTCACGACGGACAACTCCACCACGACGACCAGATCTCGAGAAATCCGCCTGTTCAACGCCGGAGTGTACGGCCTTGAGGGTCTTGAGGAACGCGATAAATGCAGGTGAGAGTTTCTTGAGAGTGGAGACTTGGCTTGTAAAGAGCGTATCACCACCCGTATACGGTTGAGCGAGCAAGAAGAACGTCGTCAGTCCTGGTGGTTGAAGCTCGTATGAAACGTCCGAGTGCCAGACGGTCGACGTAATGCTATCTTCGTACTCAAAGTTGAACGTAGTGTTTGCATCTCTATGAAAGTGTTTAATGATCCTTGAATATGTATTGGAGAAGGACATGTTCTCACCGATAGACGAGGTGAAGCTCAGGATAGCCATCAGGATGTCCAGATGTGGGATGAATGTGTAACCTAGATAATAAGTCATCGTAAAATTATGTAAAGGGGACAAGTAAAGTAAGCGGTACACACCTTCCGAAGTGTCTACCCCACTCAAGGAAGAAGTCTGGTCCACCGTTGATGAATTTGTCCTGGTCTCTAAAGACCAGGAGTCCACGGCGAGCAACCTGCATTGATCAGTTCGTACCTTATATTTTATTTCTGGGTGAGATTGATTGTCACCTCGAGTGCTACTTGGTCTCGTTCATAATTAGTCAGCCTAGCAAGATTTACTCCATGAATTTCAGTCCCCAAGTTCGGAGTCAGCTCATCCACGCGAGTGGCAGCATCCAGGAATGAACGAGGGTTGTGATGATTGAGAGCACGATTTCCAGGGTCGACATGTTCATAGGGCTCAAGAGGTGGATAGTGCTCATTCGGGAAGACAGGGAGCAGATTCGTATATCTGTACGGCTGCTCAGCCTCCTTCGCCTCTTGTGATTTCTCTGGCTCCTTTTGTTCTGTGGGTGCCCTTGTGTGAAGCGTAAGGCTAGCTATAGTCTGCGTTAAAGTTTCGGTCGCCATGCCTGTCCAGCTAGAAGATGAAGAATTAAGATGGGTCTTTGTCCCTCAATGACCTTTAACCAGATTCGATGCTCGCTGGCGGGATGTTTGCGAGACCGTGAGTGCATAACACGCCATATCCGAACTATATGGCGTAAGAACGTGAGAGTCGGCGACGTAAGAGCACACAAAGATACCTGCATGACCATAATATTCGTCACATGCCGAGAGACAAATGCGAGATGGAGGGAGACGGGCCGTTGGGAATTTGAAAGCCGTTGTACCTTGCGGAGCTCTAGGAAGCAGAAAGAGTCTGAGAACGTCGATCGCATTTTGAGATCGACGGTGGCAATGCAATCGATCCACATTGACAGACGCCTTCTAATTCCTGACAAGTCTTGACGGAAGCATAACTCTATGAAGCTGATGAAAAGCTAGCGATGCTTCTGTGACGTCTCTTTAGTCAATAAATTATTGTATACTTGTAGTTGCTCAGAAGAATATGCTACAAATACTCTTGGTGACTTTGTATGTTTTCTACATGCCTTAGAACTCGATTAATTACTCCAATCAGAATACCGATGTACGTCCTAATATGAACACCCTTAAAATCATCCTCAGCGTCAATATCTTTAAGCCAGGATAGCGGAATATGGACTGAATTCTTCGTCCTATGCTGAGTTAAGTTCATGCAGCAAACTAGTATTCTTTATCTTTATGCAGCAAATTTACATTTGTGCAATCCTGTTTCGTAGCTTACATCAAATCAACTCCCAACTGTCTGCACAGAGAAATACGTCACAAATTTTCAGCGATAGTATAATTCTGTCATTTTACAATTCATATATTTAAGTTCATTTGTGTTGCTGCTTCTCCCTTCGCACCTTCAAGTTCCAATCCGTCCCATGCCGGTATCGGACGTTCAGCCTGCGGTGTAATACGTGCTCCATGACGCCGTTCAATTGAGAGTCCTTTCCCGTAGTCTGCAACAGCACTCTGAAGACCGTATCATTCAGGGAAGTCTCAAAAATTTGCCGCTATATTCAATTTTAGACTCACGTGCGCTGTAATCCGATTGTCCCAGAGAACAACAGTGTTCGGTGACCAATGGACACGAGTTTGACAGTCTCCTGATGCTGCGATATGGTTGTACAAAAAGTTAAGAATATTCTCTGAGATGATATACAATCGTTAGAAGTCCTTAATTGTTCAACAATTCAGAAGGGGAAGGTTTGCGAATCTTACGTGATTCTTCCTTCTTAAGCCCTATAATATGCCTTGTGTACTGCTTGTTGACATACAACGCTTCTTCTCCAGTAACTGGATGACGGCGAACGACCGGGTGTATATTTTCAACAGGTTCACGACGGACGACTCCACCTCGACGACCAGATCTCGAGAAGTCTGCTAGCTTGACGCTAGAGTGCAATGCTTTGAGTGTCTTGAGGAACGCAAGAAACGTAGGTGAGAGCTTCTTCAGCGTGGAAACTTGGCTCGTGAAGAGCGTATCACCGCCCGTATGTGGTTGAGCAAGTAGAAAGAACGTTGTGAGTCCTGGTGGTTGAAGATCGGGCGAACCGTCTGAATGCCAGACAGTCGATGTAATGGTGTCTTCGTACTCGAAGTCGAACGTAGTATTTGCGTCGCTGTCAGTGAGTTAAGTATCTTATATTATGCTCTGGAGGAAGGGATAGTCTGACCGATAGACGAGGTGAATTTCAGGATAACCATCAGGATGCCCGGATGTGGGATGAATGTGCAATCTGGACGATAAACACCTGTGAGCATGATAAGATCAGAAGAATGGTAAAGAGTATACACCTTCCGAAGTGCCTGCCCCACTCAAGGTAGAAATATGGCCCACTATTAATGAACTCCGCCTGGTCCTTGAAGACTAGTAGACCCCGGCGGGCAACCTGTATTGATAATTTAATATCTTGTATCCTAATCAGTGACCCAGATCGATTGTCACCTCGAGAGCTACTTGGTCTCGTTCATCCTTGGTCAACCTAGCAAGATTTACTCCATGAATTTCAGTTCCAAAATTCGGAGTTAGCTCATCCACGCGAGTGGTAGCGTCTAGGAATGAACGAGGGTTAGGATGATTAAGTGCACGATGTCCAGGGTCGACATGCTCATAAGGCTCAAGAGGTGGATAGTGCAAATTCGGGAACACGGGCAGCAGATTTGCATTTCTATACGGTTGCTCAGCCTCCGCCGCCTCGTGAGACTTCTCTGGCTCTTTCTGTTCGGCAACTCTCGCTTGAAGCGTAAGATGCAATAGTCTGCGTCAAAGTTTCGGTTGCCATCCCTGTCCATATGCTTGTAACGAGAGTTAACACTCGCTGGTAGACAGTCTACCAGATCGATGGTATAAGAATGCGACTTGTCAGCATGAGAGCACCCAGAGATCCCGAACTACCACAGAACTCGTCACATGCTAAGAAGCGAGTGCGACTGGGAGGAGACGGGCCGTTATGAATTTGCAAGCCGATGTGCCTTGCAGAGCTCTAGCCTAGGAATATAGGAAGAAGGAAACGGCGATCACACTTTGAAAATCAAGAATGGTAATGCGGCCTTGACTCCCTTGACTGGCACTCTCCGATCTAATGAGATTTTGACAAGATTGAAGTGTAATCAATGAGGCTGCACAGAGCAAGCAAAATAAAGCATTGCTTCTAGGTCGTACCTATGCCCTCTGAAAAGACAATAAACAAATTATCAGAACGAATGATTGTGCTGCAAATAATCGTTTTGTAACATACTCAACAAATTCCGGGAGTATTATTAAATAAATACATCGATCTGTTCATTGTTGGAAACGTAAAAGATACACTTCAACTTTCGGACACATGGTCTATCCTGAACTAAGGGCAGGAACTTACTGGGTAGTTAACGATTTGGACAGAAATAAACGGGGAGTGCAAATAAAAATTATAATAAGTTGTATTAGCAATCTATTCTCACGAATTTCTAATGATTCGTAATCGGGACCAATCTAGAATATAGACAGTCTATTGGATCAATCATCGCACACCTTTCGAGATGTACGACTTCACAGAACTTGGTGAAAGGGATGATAATTTTTTGAATGGCGAACCACCTCATCAGGTTCACGCTGACAGCGAGCGTGAATGGAGTAGGCTGTCTGAGCATTTCGTAAACGTGAGCGTTTATTTTTACTTCTCGCGGTATATTCTCTGACCAGACGACACGCATATAGGCTGGTTATCGTGAAGGGATTACAGCAGGAAAGGAAGGCGCGTTACAATCGGGTTTTGACGGTGGATTTAAAGACACTGGGGCACCTATCGGACGGGAACTTGGGAATCTACGTGGTATTGCAGCCGGACTACTGTCACTAATGGAGTCAAGTCGACTACCTGAAACGAAACTAGGAAATGCTGCAGAATTGCTCGTGGAGGTCCGCGCCATCTCGAAGGGCTTAGCACGCCTCCAGTTTGCAAACCTTGCGCCGCCTGACGAGGAGGCCCTGGCTCATGCTCGGGAACATGCAGAGGCCAACGACGAAGGCTCACAGATCCCGGAGGACTTGACACCGGCATGGAGGGATGACTTACCTGAGCTATCATTACTGCGACAAAGACTGCGAAAGGCTTTACAGGCACTGGACCTCGACGACTTACTTGATTAGATTAGAATTCCATGCCGCCCCTGATGCATTTAAAAATATCTGGATAATATTAGAATAAAACAAAGCAAATTGTAACAATACACCCCCAACCCCCCTGTAGATGCATCAGCAGCTGTGTTTCCTGGTCATGATAGCGGTAGATGAAATAGAGGGTTGTTTCGTTTGGGTATAATGAAAAGGAGTCGATTAAATCTACAGAGTAAATAAATACAAACAACGACAAACCGGCGATGACGTTGCAATACCTTCCTCTCTTCAATTATCAATACCAACGTCGATGCGGCTCAATCATCAATGTATGATACCAGGAACCCATTTGTTTCATTCGCCCGGATATTGGTCATTTGTCTAAATCTGATTCAAAGACTACGACAACTTTGGACAACACCTCCATCTCCTTTGTTCTAGCTACCTGGGTATTATTGGTACTGCTTCTCGAGCTCTCCCTGCTCAGAGGACCAGTGTCAGCAGGTGCCCGATGCAGGCGTGCCAGTCCTACTTCCCGCGTGCAAAGCACCTGGACGGGCCTTTTCGATGCGCTTTTCCAGATCGCCATCGATTGTTGTGTGCTATTTCTCTGCATGAGGTCCTTGTTGAAGGTGGCACCCGGCCTCGCGTACAGGAAACTGTACTCCGCTGGTAGCGGTCCATCGAACCTTCCTTCCTTTATCCGGCACGCTAATCTCTCTGCAGTTTTGAATAGAGCATCGAGTGTGGAACCTATGCGTTCCCTATGGCTTCGTATCAGAGATGAAGGCTGACCAGGAGACCCGCTTAGTGTCAGAACGGTTGCAATGTCTCTGAGAACTCTTTCCGCAGATCCACTATACTTTTTCTTCTCACTGGTCGATGGATCTTCTGAATCATCTGTTGGAAAAGGAATTATTGCTAAGCAACTCGCTATTGGAAGCAACGTACCTTCCGCATCTTCCGGATTTATATTTTCATCCTGATTCTGAAATGGCCAATCCTCGATTAACTTGGAGACGTGGTAAGATAACAAGGCTCGGAATCCTAGCTCAATTGTCGCTTTGTTTTTGCTGTGATCCCTGGAACGAAGCGTCTGCACCAATATACAGCCAATGGCATTGGTGAGGTCGACGACCATTTTATTATCTGCTTGTATCGTCCTAACCCCCGGCCTGAACGTGGTGCATGAAATACATGACCGTGCTAGTTCAAGCGATTGCATATTAATCGCTCTGACCAGCCCTAGGACCTCTTCAAGAGAAATTTCCGGGCGAGTTACCGGACGTGGCGATAATTCGACTGCGACGTACTCCGATGAGTCCACTGTACCAGCACTGACTGTCGCTGTATCTGCATAGTCATCCCTGCGGTTCTTTGATGCCTGTCGTGCCTGGTCCCGAACATCCTGCCATGTCCTTGGGGAGTGATCGTCATCCGAACGTCTACCAAAAGAGGCTGGACCGGAGCCTCGGACATTCTGGTTCTCGAGCTGTGAGGAGAGCCCCTCCACCCGCATCTCCGCGTCTTTGCAGCGTTTCTCGAGTGCTTCGACCTGTACTCGCGCTTCGAGATACCTGTGGGACATAGCAAGAAGGTCCGATCTAAGTCGTTCCTCGTTGATCGCATGTTCCTCGTTCGCTGCCCGCAGCTTCGCAATCACCTGTTTCTGTCTCTGAAATGCAACAAGTAGCTCTGAGTATGACCTGTCTGGCGGTGGGCTCTGCGGGGAGTGCTGAGGTGGAAGCGGGGGAGGTGTATTAGGCGGAGGAGATGCAAGTCCTCGCAAATGACTTCGACTCCGTCGTGCTTGCTCATAAGCGTGATCGTCTTGCTCGTCGAAAGAGACCCCCGAATCACGAGCATATACCTCCACATCGTTTTGGGTATCTGCTAATTTTCCTCTTGAAATCGTTGGCATCCCCAATGACTTTGCTGTTCGGCAGGAAGGTAAGAAGTGGGATCAGAAACAGCACTACCCTCATCTCTTGACGAAGTTATATGATTGTTCACGTCAAGGACCCTCAGGCACCTGCTTCCGTTTAGACTATGCACGATCATTTATGTCACGTCTTAAATTTCCTTAGCGGCGACACGACGGCCCCGAGGCGATGATCGAACGGACTTCGGGAACGAGCAGGCGCGTCTTACCATTCTCTGCCCACGCGACTCATTATTACTGAGCCTATAACGCACCTCGGAATCCAAGCGCCCATATAAAAATCCGGTGGGAGTTCCTATAACTCTCCAAGGCGGGATGACAGCGACGTGATGAACGTCTTTCGATGGGCAATTGAATTTGAACGAACAGACGATTGATGTGTGTGAAAACTTTCTCCGTCTGTTGATGGCTATCTGTATGAAGCGCGGACAATTGGGACAGCGAAGAGCATGAAAGAAAGGGGCAGGGGGAGATAAGGGAGCCGCGTTTAGGGCACTGCTGCTACTAAAAAAAAAAAAAATTACAAGAAGCAAATTATAAGGAGATGAAGTCGCACCTTCTTCGTTATCTCGCTGATGAATCATTGAGTCTAGGCGGGACGTGTTCTTTTTCTGACTTCCCTGCGTGAACTTGGTCTTGTGCATTTTGAAATCGCTTGAGAGCAACCGCCTTGCAGACAGGGCCTGGAGATCTGGAGCATATGCGTGTAATTGATGGACATCAACAGTGCATCGCATTTGCATAGGTGGGGTGTTTCAAAAATAGAACCGAGATTGGCATCAGATTACAGGAATATGAAATTACTTATGCTACATGAATACAGAGTTCCAAAGGTAGATGTTTGCAAATTTCGTCACGAGACCACATATGTAGAAGGTCATAAGTCAGAAAATAGAGGAAAATTACGTGTATTAGCACACAAAGACCAGACCCAAATTAGATGAAGACAAATCAGACGACGCCGAGGACCACCGTTGCGCGGAGGCTGCATTCTCTTTTGAGATAACTACTCGCTGCACTAACTGGACTCGTATCGCCTTCAGTATGAACGTCAACGAGCTCCTCCGTCTGGAGGGTGCTTGATTTCCATCCCCAGCTCCGCCCGACGACGAAAGCGTCTGGCGCGCTTGCAAACGTCGTTAGCACTCCACCAGTTGGAGACATGCACAGCAAGGTGAAATGTGCGCGTACGGCCTCGCGTGGGTCACGATATGGTTGAGTCGGCGGGCGTGGAGAGGTTTGGTGTGCGGATGGGACGCTGGAGCCTGAGGGGGAGGTACCTGTACTGCCTCCTGACGTGGTTGAAGGAGGTGAATAAGAAGACGCGGGTGTGGGGCTGCGTGACGGCGCACTCGTCGCCGTCGCGCCGCCGCGCGAGGCAGGACGGTACAGTGAAGGCGTTGACACGCTCGACGGGATGTTTACAGGTTGTACGATCGTCCATCTCCGTTCTTCTCCCCCTCCACCTGGCACGTGTATTGGAGGCGCACTGGGGATGGGAATCGTCTCTACACTGCTAAGTCGGTGGACGTACATCCCGAGTTGGAGACCCTTCTTACGAACGACTTGGATGTAGACGTTGAACAGGCTTCCTGCGTACCAGATTGTTTGAGAGGTGAGTCGAGATTTTTCTTGTAAAGAGTCGAGTCCCCAGAACTCTACGCCGAAACGGATGGGTGGGAAGGGCGCCCAAGTAGCTTGACCGGTTGTATCTGCTGCTGCACAAGCCGCTGCGTCTCGTGCAACACTGAGGATACCGAAGAAGGTATTGATTGATTGTGCCGAGAAAGGCCTTACAGAACTAGTCTTCGTTGTGGGACTCGATGGAGTTGTCGGAGCCGGAGAGCCAAAGAGTTGATCCATCGAGGCCCCCTCCAACCCTGTCGTGTCGCCAATGCGCGAACTCGAGTCCACAGGAACGCGGTAATACGTCTTATGCGCATCCGAAGAACCATTATGCTCCTCGATGATCTCAGCGGTAGTCTGGCTTAAGCCGAGACAACCATCGCGTGCAGGGTTGGGTGAGCGAGGAGGCGTACCGGGTGAGGATGCATTTTGTTTGTAAGTTATATGATGACGCAGGACAGATTGATTCCAGTGTGCGGCTTGGATGACGGAGGCTGAGGCGTAGGGTCGTCCGTTTGTCGGTGAGACGTCTTGCGAAATCTCGATGAGCTCATTCAAGGACTGTCAAATTGGTGTTCTTAAGTAAAGCAATGAGAAGGCTAGGTAGATATGGACAAACCCACCATATGCATATAGTGAATGCCATTTGCGAAGAGATTATCCCATTCTCTCTCTTCCGTTGGCTCAATAGAGACCTTCCGCCGTAGCTCAACGACTTTTCTCGCAAGATCGTATCTGTCCCACTCATCTCTTACGAAGAAGGCATCGCTAGACAATACCGCACATGCCCATTTCGCATCCATACCTCCCCGCCGCCAGATAAGCGGAATAGTTTCTCTGGGAATGCTATTGAACGAAGGTGGGCCAGCCTCATGTAAGACTGTTGCGCGTCGCCGCGATGGACCAGTCTGTTCCTGTCCATGCCCAGCAATGGATGATACATCAGCGGACTCAGCAGCTTCCTCGTAAGCCAGCATATCCGCACCCCAACGGCACAACCAACACGCAGCAGCTTCGCCTATTTTGTTCGACGCGGCTCCGTACATAAATGCCGGGCCATCATCGGCATCTTCATGTGCCATATCTGTTTCTGCGTCAGAGTCAGATGCGTCCGTGTGTGGGTCGTTATTTGGCATGGCTTCCTTCTGGGGTGGAGCATGGCTATCTACTGTGCGAGAGACAGGCGCTTTCGAGCGCTTTGAAGCTCCGGAACGTACAGACTTGGAACGTATTGAGCCAGGACTTCTAACTTCTTGGCATATGTTCTCCAAGCCAGGCACTGTTTCAGAGTCCTCTTCGGTCTTCTCGCCAATACCTTTCCCAATAGCAAAGTTCAGGTACCTAATGACGGTACGTGGACCAAGTGAGCTCAAGGCGAGCTGAATTGCCTGTGCGACCAAGGTAGGAATAGAGAGGTAGATGGCCGTGGCAAGTAGCGAGAGAAGGAAACGCGGCGTGGCGTTGTAGTGTCCCGCTGGAGTATTATTCGGAGGCAAAGCTTGCGGAAAGCATGATGTGAGAGGCTCCCTCCTGCTTGGACAAAGTCGAGGATCTACGAATAGTGCAGGGCCACCACCGTATAGTCGTGATATGCATATTCTAGAGAACTGGTTAGCGCGGCATGATAGGATGTCCGATAAAGACTCACTCGAATGCTAGAAATACAATACATTCAATGTGAGACAAGCATACAAAGGATAAGACATTACATACCTGGTCGTGTGATATTTGGGTCGTCGAAAGTGATGCTTACTTCTCCCTCACGGCCATGCTTGCCTGTAGCCTCACGAAAGCCGCCGTCGAACAGCGAGCGGAAGAAGCCCTGTAAATTGAGCAATAGGCGACTTTACTTAGACAAACAGACAGGGGGTACTTACGGCCTGAATGAGGACTACACGATGTAGTCTGTATACGCCTTCCCAGGTCCCGCGCACACGAAGGGTTACGTCGGCGGTGCGGCCCGAAAGGAAAGCGCTGAAGAGGTGGGACTGGATGTCATCGGCCGTCGACATGCGCAGGACGTTGTTGTCGCTGTGGGCGGAGCGATGATGGCCGAAGGAAGGAGAGGCCGAACTATGTAAGTCTGCGAGAGAGCTGTAGGAACGCATAATGAATATTATGACGATCTCGGACGCTATGACTATGCCAAGGCCTTGCCGTCAGGAGACGCGACAGTCCACTAGAGTGAGTAATCCGAATATGTTTAAAGTCGCAGTGCAGTTTCAGGTGCGCCTCAGTCGTGTGATGCGGCTCTTTGCTCGTCGTCGTCCGTGGTGAACGTGGTCGTCTCGACAGCAGTTGTCGTCGCTGAATTTATCGTCTCGGAGGCCTCGGTGTGGTACAAGTATGACTAGTTAACTTATTTGAACATCCGGCCGGGCCCCCGGCAGCAATCAGTTTTCTCCCTTGGGTTTGCTTCCACAGCGCAGCCTCCACGCTCGCTGTTCTCTGAGGCCTCCCTGTCAATCACAACGTCGTCTACGGTGCCGCTTCTTAGAGCGCCCAGTACGTTCTCCGCACGTGTCCGTGAATTTCTTGTCAGCGACGATGACCACAGCGTCAAGTAGTAAAGGCAAGGCCGTTGACTCCGGTCCCGCGCGCATCCCACCCATGTCAAATCCATCTGCAGGCAGCGCAAACCCCTCGGCGTCATTCGCATCCCTCTGGAACTACATTGAGCCTGCCTTGGACCATATAATCCGTTCATCTACAAACAACACCGACCGCGCACCTGCGATCGATGTTGCATATCACATGGGCATACACACAGCTGTTTACAACTATTTTACATCTGCTAGTCGTTTTGGCGTCGATTCTCTTGCTGCACCACGTCTAGAAGGTACAGATACCATCCTTGCAAATGGCGTTCGTCCATCATCACCTCCCGGAAATCCTCATGGCGCAGATCTCTATGAAAAGCTAGACAAATACTATTCTGAAGTCTGCCGGGAACTACTTGCTGGCGCCCCTCTCGAGGATAGCGAACTCTTACATTACCTCCTTCCCTGCTACAAACGATACCATGCCGGCGCAGGCGCCGTGCACCGTCTACTAAACTACGTTAATCGACACTATGTAAAACGCGCCGTGGAGGAGGATCGTGGATGGTTACGCCTCGCCGACATACTCGATGCTGTCATAAAGGTGATTGAAGACGAGCAACCGCGCGAAAAGCTCGTTGAACGCCTTCGAGAACGCCGACTAGCAGAGTTAGCAAAATGGGGCTATGTCGAGGGTACCTCATCCGAAACGCTTGCTCATGCGGAGGCATCAGCGGAAGCAGCCAGTGCTCCAGATCGCGTCGTCCCACTTTCATCAATGGCAAACCGTCGCTTCCGGGAAGAAGTTGTCAAGCCGTTACTTGCCGTGCCGAAGGTAAAGAAGAGTAAGAAGAAGTACAAGAAGTCATCGGGTTCGGCGTCTACGGATGGCGAGACCGTCGGTCCCAAATCTCGCCTCGCTCGCGCAGTAAAGGCGCTTATCGAGTCTGAAGACGCGGAGTCACTTGACGCGAGGCGGAGCTTGGCTTCAGAAGCGAATGATATGTTAGGGGCTGTTGGCGTTCCAGTGGACCATGTATTACGAAAGAAATTGGATAGATTCTCATTGCGACCGAAAGGCTGAGCCAGCGGTCTTCTCTTCTGGTAGCGAGGGATGGTGTTCATTTTCTTTTCGTCTACGATCGTTTTTGTTGTGAGCGGATTCTCTAAGCGGGTTGTGTTTTGATTATGGTTGAGTTTGGTTCTGTTGCATAGTACATAGCGTTGCATTAACTTATTTTTACAACGATCTTAGTAGACTTACAATAGGAATGACGACCAGAGACCTATGATGTAACAACAGACAGTGATATACCCGTAGTAAATATTGTTTGAATATTTGTGCAAGGTCTAAAGCTGACTGAATTTAAGGCAAAGCCCTACTTGTATGACAGAGACAAGTACGAGAACAACTGACATTCACATTCGAGTAAGACCAGTTTGGCACAGCAAGCTCTTTCGCGTTGTACAGCATCTTGATGCCTTTGCAGATGGATGAAACGCACAAAAGGATAATACTGAGATGGGTGCTTAAGTCTGTAATTGCAGGTTCAAGGGATGCAGAAGGATGTGCAGGACAATGTCCCGAGCAGTTCAGGTTCTACAAGCCTGAGAACAGAGTAGCCATTACTTATTTGAGAAGTATCCAATAAGAATCTAGTAATTCCAAATATTGCTACTCACAACTGTCTTTGCAGTACATAAGAAGTACTCCACAGACCTAGCTGTCGAATTGTTGTGCAATTGTCAATTGTGTTTGGCAAGATTTCTATAATATCCATTATTTGCATTTCTGTACACAGCAATCGTGCCCTGCTCTAAAGTCAAAAACCTGGTTATTTTCTTGGAAGTAGGCAGTATGCAAAAGAAATTTGAACAGACAAACTATGATTCTTTTACCTCAGGGGGTCAATAACTTGCTTCGTGGTGGATTAAGGTGACATTTAATTTGACTTTGGGAATGGAATAATCGAAGCGGTTCGTCCATGTGATATTTTCATGATGTAATATAGTTAAGGAGACAAAATTACATCATAGCAAGTGATTCATACTCAAGTGAGGGACGATGCCTATGTAGCTCGTCTCTGGACTGGCACCATTCTGCCAGGGGTGGCATAATTATCTTTGATTACCTAATTCAAAATTCTGTACAAGCTTGTAACAATTACTGTAACTGGCCATCCTTGCAAGCTGGAAGACTCCTGTTTGGAGATACTGATCACTCAGTTACTTACAGGCTGACCTCGAGTCGAAAAAAAGTAAGCATCTAGTGAAGGATGTACATACGAATAATACACTGCATTACGACCTCTTCACCTGCACGCCATTTCCATTCAAATTGGATATCATCCTTCCCTATTCTTCTCTGGGTGGCTGGGACAGTAGCTCAAAGGCTCGAATGCCTTCTCGACCAAATAAAGTTGCACTTGCAACCACCTTCGCTCCCGCATTTCGCATTCGAGCCACAGCAGCAGGAGTCGTCACGCCTCCAATACCAACGACACTTATTCGTTGAACCGCAACATCCCCGGAACTCGATATGAGCTTCGAAAACGTGTAGACATTTCCGAGTGAAAGAGCATGTATAGCTTCACCAGCAAGCCCACCCAAAGGCGTTGGTAGCGCAAATCGGGAGCCACCCTCGTCCTTTGTCGAATTCCTTTCATGCCCAGCAGGGAGGGCTTGTTCCGTAAAAAGAAGACTAGTTCCAAGGGTATTCGTACATGAAAGGAACGCGATAGGATTATACCGCTCGCCATCAATGTCCCTTGAGAGACTGGCAATTAAGGAAAGCATATCGGTGAATTGTGTCGAATACGTATAAGGTGGAAGTTTCAGGCCAATGGTGAGAGTCCGGTCCGTCCAAAACGCCATCGCAAGCACTGCGAGGAGCGGACTAAGTGCAGTAGGTGCGTAAGCAGGCGGTGGTGCATTTGCTATATTCGGACAACTCGTGTTGAGCTCAATTCCAATCCTGCTTGATTCCCCGTTCTCATCTCCGATTTTCTGACGGAGTTGTTGTACTGCATGGACCATGTTCCGGAGTTCCGATGGGGACGACGAGGTGATACTGATAACAACCGGCTTTGTCGATTTCTTGTTTTGTAAGAGCGACTCCACCCATAACAGGTACTGGGATAGGGGATGCGGAGAATAGCCGTATGAGTTGACGGAAGATAAGGACTCGGATGAAAATGCCATCTAAGAGTGTCATTAGCATTGAAAGGAATAGTGATAATTGACTAGCTTACAGTATGCTCCGTGGGGTAATTTTCTGGAAATCCTTTCAAAGTGGCTGTTCGAGTAGTGACCGCGCCTGTATATTGGCATTCATAGAGTTCCTTTAGTTGTTTCTCTTCTGAAGCCCAAACACTCGAAGAGTTCATTAACGTAGGCGAGATATGCAGTCGGTGTATAGTGGCCATGTCAATGTGGTTCCGGAAGCAAAGCGTGCTGGAAGCGATACAGGAGAAAGAGCTATAAAACACGGCGCTCAAGCCTTTGATAGATACCAGAACGATTACATAATCCTTAAACTCAAAAACTCCATTCGTACACATGAAATACAGGGCAACCTACTTAGCGTCTAACATAAAACGTCCGCATAACAACTTCATTTCATAGCTTCTTCTCGTTCCATGACGGAGCGCTCAAGTTTGATAAGGATGGTCGTCCTTGAAGGGAATGCATCAGTTGGTGTATTATGCGCCGTAACCCTCGCTGGCTAATGGAAGAAAGTCATCAGAGACGAAGATTGAGGGCTATAATAATGGACATACAAAACAAAGACCATCTAGAACAGCTTCGACTATCCCTGCGGTTAGTGACGAACAGCTCAATTGGCTCATGTCCCTTGGAACGGAGATGTATCGCGTTATCGGAGGATCGTTGTCTATAATCATATCTTTTAATAGATCAGTTTCTGACTGGTTCAACGTCAGACTACCGGCTGCGACCTACATTCGTCGTCATGTTCCACACTCTTCTCGATAGCGTCTGCCGGCTTCCCAAACACCGTTCGCCAAACTTGCGTATGGATAGACATCAGCGCAGGTAAGAACCGGATCTCGCGTTTTGGGGTTTTAGTTTGTGCTTCCACCCTCCAGGACATTAACTCAAGTACACGAGTGCCTATACGGTATCCTAACACGTTTAGTCTGAATGCACAGATATGAATCGGTCACTTTGACGTAGCTTCCATAACTATGTACACGTACCTTCGCTCGAGGTCACTGATGCCACTTACACGCTTCTGAGTGTACTGAACAATCTCGGAGAAAAGGAAAGCATATGCTGAAAGGGAGACTTCGGCCGTGCGTGTCTTGTTAAGGTTACGTTCGTAAACGTTTGGACGTGCTTTCGCTATGGCCGCCAGATTTGTCGGTATAGGAGTCGAATTTGGATATGAGAAGCGCGTTGTGCTTGATGCTGGCGAGAAGTGGTCTGACGACGCATTTGAAAGTACGGACATTCGAGGGTTAACTGGTTGCGGATACGCCATATTAGTGGCCGCTGTTTATTTTCTCCCTATAGTGAGGCCTTCGTTGATTCTTGTCGACGAAAATACGATTCGGAGGTGTGGACGAACAAATGCACCTAGATGTCGACAAATACGGTCGAAGAGGGCTCTCACCCATGACACTCATTGGCGACCACGTGATGAAAACGCGTCGCGTCGCGACTTCGGCTGTTCAAACTGCGTTAAGCATTGTCTTCTCTTTCAAACCTGTTCTAGTGAAAGGAAGAAAACAAGCCACCAAGCTGCACACTCTTTGTAGTTAATAATAAAGAAAGTTACATAAATGTAGAATCATATTACAAATATCACATTCAACAATGACAGGAGCTTGCAAAGCACCAGGGACCAAGTCTATCTAGTCCTAAATCTAATAAAAATATGCGGAACGATACAGAGTAGGTATGCAGATAGTCCGTGCGGGTATTCGTGCATTCGATACAGTCTCTGGTCTGAGAATGTCTTGACTAGGCAGGCAGATGAAAAGGAAGAGCAAGTCTAGAATCCGGAAGAAAATAAAAAATAAACGATACCTTTATGACATAAAACGAAGACGTGAAAGGGGAAATGACCCAAGAACTCATGCGGCTCGACCGCTGGAGCCTGCCCCACATGGTGAACTGATGCTGTTGACAAACTCTTGAATGTATGATGCAAGCGCATTCGGATCGTCTTCAGGAAGAGCAATAGTGTGTTGCCCATAGTATGATGGAGGCTGTGCATTATCACTGCTACCGGGAAGATTCTGAGGCTTGGTGCCTCGACCTTCCATATCGGACGTAGTTTGGCTGTTCCAGTCAGCACTGTTTACAGCATAGAAGGAATTGTAGTCCCATTGCTGTCCCTGTGGGGAAGGAACGAATGAGCACATCGGTGACAATAACCCGTACAACAAATATGGTACCGGTTGATTACAGTTCATCCACGGTTCGGTAACACTTTGGAAACAATCATTGGATAACTCTGAGGGATTATGAACAGACGTAGAACCAGGTCCAGCCTCAGACTCTGCAAATCCGTGTTGTGAGGGAGCTAATCGCCATTGAGGCTAAAAAGAGCTAATAAACGTACAGCAAGTATAAATTAGTCAGTAAGACACTGACCAGTAACTCTGTGAAGCATCTCGGCTTCGCGTCCGACTTCGCAGCATGACGCGTAGGCGAATTGAGTATGGAAGGGTGGACTGCGGAATCCATGCTTTCTCTGGACAACTGGGGCACATGATTAGTCAGTCCATGGATGTCCGTCGACCTTCTGGGGATTGAAATAGGAGTGGGTGGTAGGACGACGGCTGTTGTAATCTGGTTTCGACGACTGTCGATGTCGTCCTGGCGAGGCATCACCCGACGACGTGGTTTGTATCGATATCCAGGGTGTTCTTCGGCGTGTTGCTCCTTCACAGCTCGCGCTCGTGTCCTCCAAAGTTCCTTCCTTGATTCAGACATGGACTTCCACAGCATTCCAGCTTCGCTGCTGAGCTCCCTATTATTTCTCTTTTGGCCTATAAACTGCTTGCGATACTCGCACGCAAAGAGTATGAAAGGGTTCGCAGGCCGTCGCACGTGTGCTTCGTCATGTTTACGCTTAGACGAAGGATTCCGAGAAGGACGGGAATACTCCCGCACTGCATCGGGGCAGGCAATTTCATCGAGCGGATAAAAGGAGGAGCGCTCAGCAGATGTGCATGACGATTCGGTAAGTAGCCTCCTAGACATATCCGGAGTCTGTGGAGGTGTCGGCATCGTGAAAGATGTCCCGACGGTATTGGGACTGGCGGAGAGTCGCGAGAGAGTAGCAACCTGGAGAAAGTCGTCTAGTGTCAGCTGTCCCCGGGTGGATCTGAGAATACGAGAGGCAGAGATGTTTCCGCTGCAAGTGCCTTGATACATGCTTGTTCAAAGGCGCAAAGCAACTCCAACCCAGGCTTAGTCGTCTTGCGGGAAGGAGTTTGGTCAAAGGGACACGTGCTGGGAGTAGCGAGATGAATGTTTGCCTCCGTCCTTTTTATGTGCCTTTGAGCAAGTTTGCCATGTATCTCCTCCACCGATACAACTCTTAGAAAGGCAAGTATCAAAGGAAGAGAATAACGGGCACATTAGCCTCGAGGCACCTGATCGGGTGTACGGTTAGCTGGCTTCGTGATCGACGTTATGTACCTTCGATAGCCTCCACTTATTAAAAGCATGTATTAGTACGCCATGTCATAAACGAAGACATCGCGGATCAGATAGGCCTCTGTAAACAGCATCCTGCAAATTTACCGTCGAGTGTGAAAGGCTGAGCTACTAGTAGATGCACTTTACAGTGTGGTACTTGGGTATGAGACTAAATGAGTGAAAATTGGTATGGGACAAGTATGCACCGAGATATATTCAGAACCAAAGCAGCCACCAATTTCAAGATTGTGTGGATTGCGTTAAACACGAGGCAACCTTCGGAGGCTCACTCCAGCACAGGTGAGTATATACACCAGAACGTGTTCTCATTCTGGAGAGGATGGGAAGTTCCGAGAGGTTGGAGAGACAGTGAGGCAAAGACGGAGAGGAAGAGGTTCAACAATACCATTGGACGTCCGTCTTTGAGTGAACCGTGTCTAGAACTGAGTGGCGCGACAGCCACCGCTTCACACGACAAATACAGTCAAATGGCACGGGTTGATACAGCGGTCGGAAACAATATAACTCCGCGTATACGCCACAGACTTGCGAACAGATTGCGTCTTGAGCCTTGGGTTCCTCGTCATGTCTTCACTCGTGCAACGCGCATCTTGAGGTTGGTGCTTCGGGCCACGAATATACATCAGGATTGACAACGTATGATCGTCGCTTGAGTCGAGAAGAATTCGCTGACGCAGTCCCTGTGCCTCCTGGACTCGATTCATATCGCATGTATGATCACGATTTGAAGAGAAGAGAAGAGAATGGAGAACGTGCTACGGACATTTGCGTTGTGTAAGCGTGTTGGTCCGCTGATCGGACACACCGGAACTTGCCGATGACTCAATTGACGCGCCTTCCGTGAGTCTGTCGGGCCCGCCGTGAACTTCGCGAATGCCGCGTCGGTGACTCGATTATAGGCCCCCGACGCCCGACTGCCGACGCGCCCTATAAAAGAGCGCCCCGCCCCCACGTCAAACACCCAACTTGGTTTTTGCCAGAAATTTTTTTCGCCCTCTATTGAGTGTGAGAGATGCCACCTAGACGCTCAACACGCAAGACACAATCTACCAATGTATCCGCTACTAACGATGCAAGCACGACCACTGTGGCTGATGCTTCCGCCGATGCCAATGCACCCGACACAACTACAGTGGCTCCCAGGAAGTCTACTCGGGCCCGCAAGAAAACTACGGTTGCCGGCGTCGTTCAAGATACATCAGCACCTGTAATAACTGGGGCAGATCCGGACACGAGTGTCGATCCACCGAAGTCGGGCTCGAAACGGGCACGCGATGACGATGTTGAAGACACTGACAAGCCAAAGTCTAAAAAATCTAAGAAAGACGACAAGGCCGCTGGTGATGCAGATGGAACACCCAAAGATACGTCAAAAATGGTACGGGTTTCATCACTGAGACAACATCTACGTTTCGCTCTCGTTAAACTGGAATACGACGTATAGGTAACAGTGTTGAAGCGCGGGTCTGTACCAGTTGATCCAGCTTCGTCGTTCATCAGTGAGTCCAGACTTGACGCTGCTTGTAGCACGTAAATTAGACATGACTTTTGCGCACATAGACACGCACCAAGTTTATGTGTCTCCGGAAGGAGAAATTTGGGATGCCATGCTGAACCAGACCAACATTGGGAAGAATGCAAACAAGTGAGATGCGCTATTACGCGTACCCGCGTTTCTTTCCAATTCTCTAACATTCCCGGAACCATCCAGATTCTACGTGTTGCAACTCCTTCACCCGATTGGTGACGCGTCACAATGTATCCTTTTCTTGCGATGGGGCCGGACGGGCGAGTCGGGCGCAAGTCAAACGAAGGTTGGCGGTTTTTCTTTCTTGCGGCCAAGCTCCACCCTGCTGAACCGTTTGACTGGATGTTGTAGGGACCTTGGGCGACGTCTATTGCGATCAACGAGTTCAGAAAGCAGTTCAGATCCAAGACATCCACGCCATGGGAGCAACGTGCCGGTATGACAGCTAAACCGGGTTTGTTAAGATTTGTCTGGTCTCATTCTGGTCGCTGATTTTTTTTCTACCTTAATCCTTTCGTTTCAGGCAAGTACATTTGGCTCGGTAAGTCAAACCCACAAAGCATGGTAACAATGTAACTAAGCAGCAACTGCAGAACGTGATTACGACGACTCCGACAGCAAAGATAAAGAGGAAGAGAACTCGGGAGCAAAAGGCAAGGGAACAGAAAAACCCGTATCCGCCAGGGTGCCAGATTCGACTCTTCCGGAGGAGGTCCAGGTTTGTGCTACTGTCCTGCCATAAACCGCACACTCAGAAAGTGACGTGTCATTCAAACCCGTGAAATACAGAGCCTCTGCAGGGTCATCTTCAATGTCGGGTACGTGGCGCGACTTTTGCTTCTTTACTGTGCTCATCAAAATTATCACGCAGCTACATCAATGCTGCCCTGTCGGCCATGAACTATGATGCCAACAAGCTTCCTCTAGGTTCGTGGAAGAGCTTGGAAGTACTAATAAATTCAGATATCTAACTCTATTAAAGGGAAGCTGTCAAAGGCTACTATTCTTAAGGGTTTCTCGGCGCTCAAGGTATACGTCATTTACTTTCTTCCTCTAGGTTCATCTAATACAGGTGTAGGCGTTGTCGGACGTCATCGAGAACAGTGCCAACACCTCGCAATATGGTGGATTTGATGCTGCGTGTGCTGAGCTTAGTAACCAATACTACTCGTGCGTTTAAAGCGGTAGTCCTCGTCTTCATTCATTAATCAAGTGGCCATATAGAATTATACCTCATGTGTTCGGCCGTCAGAAGCCAATAATTATCAACACCATGCAGCAACTCAAGAAGGTGACGGTTGCTCGTTTTTGGGGTTGCTTCGTGCCGGCTGAATCGCACATTTGTCTAGGAACTGGAACTCGTTGATGCACTTGGAGATATGGAGATAGCGCAGAAGCTGATCAACGAGAAGGCTGACGCTAACTGGGACGGGGAACCGGTCAACCCCATTGACGTGCGCTTTAGGTCACTTCAACTGGAGTCAATGATCCCCGTTGCATCGGACAGCAAGGAGTTTGGTACTGTTGCCGCATATGCGTACGATACGCATGGTTCTACACACAGTTACTACAAGGTCTCGGTCCAGAATGTATTCAGGGTCAAGAGGTTCGTGCCCCCCTTGCACGACGCAATGCGTGCACTGCTGACCACTGATACGCCAACATAGGAAATTCGAAGACGAAAACTGGGCAAAGGCAGGCTTCGAAAGTCTCGGAGATGGCCAGAGACTGCTTCTCTGGCATGGATCTCGGTCTACAAACTTTGCTGGCAAGTATTGCATCCGAACACTCATTGAATTCCCCTGTTGACAAACTTAAATCAGGCATTTTGAGCCAAGGCCTACGGATAGCCCCGCCCGAAGCACCAGTGAACGGTAAGCAAGACTGAGTCAGGAATGACTTGCCATGAAGCTGAGGGATGAACGTGCAGGATACATGTTCGGGAAGGGTGTTTATTTTGCCGACGTAAGCTTACTCACGGTTAATTCTAAGAAAGTAGCGCTAATGAAGTTCATATGCATAGATGATGTCAAAGGTATCCAATCACTGATTCCTGACTCCTTCTACATTCCCGCTAATACTTGCTCCTCTGCTCTGTAATGTGAAAAGTCATATAACTATTGCTATCCGGGGTAAGCACCTTTTACAATTCACCACGGAGTCCGTGGATATTGACCGGCATTAAAATAGTGCGAGTGGCAACATTGGAATCCTACTTCTCTGCGACGTTGCTGCGAAGCCTTGCCATGAGCTGCTTAATGCAAGCTATATTGCGGATCAGGAGTGTAAGAACGCCGGGAAATTGTAAGCTCCTCCTGCACTTGTGCTACTACTTTCATTTGTGGACCTGATGTTGGTGAAGAACGACGAGGGGAATTGGGCGCACCCAGCCCATTGAATGGCAGGATGCAGGTGAAGCGCTGGATAACGACGAGCTGAAAGGGTGTCTAATGCCCAAGGGCCCAGCGAAGGAGGTTAACCCCCCTGGCGCATATCTACAGTACAACGAGGTTAGCACGCCATCTCGTTAGCTCTTTATGTGACTCACTGACGCGCACCAAACCCAGTACATCGTTTACAACACTGCGCAAATTCGAGTCAAATACCTTTTGATGGTCAAGATGCAGCACTAAACCAGAAATATCGTACCATTGTAAATAAATCAGCACACGGACGGACATGGATGATCCCAAATATTGGATTGTAAAGCTTCGGTCTACACTACTTCCCGAATAAGTTGTACATGTATATAAACTCGCAGGTGAATATTCTAAGCAAGAGCATTTTGGAAAGGGAGGCTTGCTCCATGGTGATCAAAGCATCGAAGAAACACGACGATAGCTATGTACAACGATATTAATGTGACGGTAGTGAAATTTCTCGCGCATTAAAGCCCCTGCGACTTCTTGCAATTCGTAACTCTTACGTCCACGAGTATAAAATTAGTGAAATGTAAAACAATTCTGTGGCAGGTCGAAAACTCCCAGTAGGACATTTAGAATGAAGGTTGCTTTCATATGCAGAACTGCCCGGTATGTCCGACTAACCCTAGGAGTATCGTGATTTAAATTTCGAATTTGTTCCGGAATTGAAAATATAATATTCATTAATAAAAGTACAATAAATTTATGCATATTTTTTTGACTTTTAAACGGCCGTATTTGGTATTATTTGGCCAAAGTCCGCAACGGAAGATGCCGGAAAGTCCCGCAACGTCGCACAACGGGTAGAACGTTAAGAGAATCCATCCATCCGTCCATCCAGCTTCAGTCATTCTCTACGAAAATGTTGGCGACGACAGCCCGTCCACTCGTCAACACCCTAGCGCGCTCTCAAGCTCGGCGCAACGCCTCGTCAATCGCGACGAAATACTCACACGCAGCGTACAAAGCTGCGCTGTCCAAGTCGCCCTCCACACTGCTCAAAGTCCAGAACGAGCTTTCCGCGTTGGCAGCTTCGATAAAGGAGACTCCTCAGCTTTCTGCGTTTGTGTCTAACCCATTTTTGGCGAGTTCGGAACGTACAGCGGGACTGGATGCGCTGTACAAGGCTGCTTCGGCAAAGGCTGCAGGGAAAGAGCCTCTGAGCGACGTGACGAAGAACCTCATTGCCGTGCTTAGTGAGAATGGACGGTTGAAAGAGACGATTAGCGTTATCGAAGGGTTCAACGAGCTCGTCGCGAAATATAAGGGCGAGTTGGAGATTGTTGTTACGTCGGCATCTGCGCTTCCCAGGGACGTGTTGAACAAGTTGGAGAACTCGTTGAAGCAGAGTGAGGTGGCAAAACAGGCGAAGGTGTTGAAGATCACCAATAAGGTATGTGTTTTCATGTATTCGTATTTGGGAGTTCTGTGGATTATATTTTTATGTTTTCTAAATGCCTGATGTGTTTTTCGCTCTAGGTTAACCCGTCTGTGCTGGGTGGAATTTTGGTAGACGTGGGCGACAAGACTATCGACCTCAGTGTCGCTTCTAGAGTCACCAAGCTCAACTCTCTTCTCCAACGTGAGCTCCTCTTCTTTATCCCTAGTATAATGGATGTCTTCTGACTGGCACAAATAACTGTCTAGAATCTGTGTAACGTCGAGCTGCGCTGTCTTCGTTCACGCAAATAGAAACTCATATATACCTATTCTGGAAAAGAGCAAGACCGTAATTATCTTGTGGAGTCTGTACTATGTGCAGAAAGTCAAGTGTGCGATTGAAGCAGACTCTCGTTCACGGAAACATAATCTCCCTGCCAATAATGTCTTCTGGTTTACTCGGAACAAGAGTTGTAACCAAGAAAGAAGACAAAACTTGAGTTGACTTATCCCTCCTTTTAAGAAGTCGAACATGCCTGGTTTCTTGTCAACTACTGCATGATGAAAATGCTGAAAAGAGATGCAGGTAGATTGCCCAGTAACCTCTTGTGAACCACCTACATTTAACACTGAATCAAAAGAATGAGTAATCAACACTTCTTACTAACAAACCTTTTAAACCCTTTTATATACATTGGCATTGTCAAAACTAATCTCAACTGATTACATTCTACACAATGTACCTGATTTTGTTGTAACTGTACTACCTTTCTAATCCAAAAAAAACCAACTTATTACAAGAAAAGGAAAAAGAAAATTACTGCCATTCCAAAACAAACTAGAAACATTAACTAATTTTACAAAGACACAAGACGTCAAAGTAAGACCAACTAGTAAGAAGAGGGTAACAACTATAAGACACAGGACAGTACTTTAGCTATTTTGTGATTTAGTGTAAATGCCTTTCCATCAAAGGGATAAAACAGGAAGAGGTATGAGGGGTAACAGGTAACGGATCTTGGGTCATCAGTAATTGGTAAGATGTAAGGAAAGAAGAGAACGAAAAAAAAATGCAGGTGACAGCACATTGAAATAGAGTGAAAAGAAAAACAACCGAGAAAACAAGAAGAAAGAACGCATAAAACTATCACTAGTCCAAGTATAGGAATAGTTGTTATTATGTCCCAGCCACAAGGAAAGAAATAAAGCCACCAGAAATAAGAAAACAAAAAGAAACGAAAGAAACGAAAGAGAGAAGGAAGGTGGAGATATTGTGATACAGATGATACATGACATGACATGATTTAATAGAGACGAAGGCATGATGAGAGGGTGAGTTTGTCGAAACGGAGGCACTGGGGGGAAGCAAGAGAACGATGCGACGAGTCGAGTCGGGTGGAAAGAGAACAAGAGGAAGGGGGGTGAGCGAATTGAACGAATTACTAAGACCAGGAAGTACGGCGTTACTTTTGACGTTTTGACTATGAAAGATTGACGTCTTCCGCGTTAATAACCCTCGACATCGTACTCGACGTTCGTCTCGGACCCGAAGGCATTCTCCCAGGCCTAGGTCGTCCGGGTCTTGGTCTCGCAACAGCCGGATTCGGGCTCGCGGTAACGTCGCCCAACGCTACTCCGGTTCCGCTAATGCTATTCCCATTCCCATCCCCATTCCCAACGCTCCCCGTACTCATCCGCAAATGATTACTATGCGAATAAGAATGTGAATGCGGATATCGAATATTGTTATCATTCGTCAACGTAGCGTCCATATCAACTCCACTCCCCCTCCTAGCAGCAGTCCCAATGCCCACCATACTACTCACGTCCAACCCTCCAAACTCATCTACGTCCATCTCCAACGGTACAGGCGTTAACGTACTATTCCGTGCATGTGAGGTACTGAGTAGCGGGGAAGACGGTGCATGTACGGACTGTACAGACGAAGTGCTATACGAGCGTTCGTGTGCTGGTGGTCTCCATTCACCCAAAAGAGGAGGTTGGTATTCTGAATACGAGTCAATCCATGATGTGTGTCCGTCCCATCCTTCATCTCCAATCTTCGGTACCGCTCGTTCCTCCCCGCGATCCGAATCATCGCTCTTCTTACTCCTCTTAAACCCAAACTCCTCATCAGAATTACTATTCCGTCCTTTGGCGTTGATGCTATCGTATTTCTTGTCGAGTCTCGCAGTCGGGTCTGCCAAAGTTCGCTGCGTATCCTCCGAAGGTACGAAACTATGCGACCGGAACGGTTGAAGGTTATACGCTGCAAGTGCAAACGCATCTTTATCGTTCAACGCATAATCCCCAGCGCCTTCATTCTCATTCCCATTCCCTCGTCGTCTTAACGCAGCAGCCGCTCGTCGATCTCGTCGTCGGGCATACAACCACCTCGCACCAAATAGTGCACCAATGAGTACAACAAACCCGATCAACGCAAAAAGGACTTTCAGCCCAATCGATAATCCATGACTTGTATTCAACGCTTTCTTACTCCCTTGTAACGGCTCGTTTAACACTCTCACAGTGTTAAACTCGTCCATCGCAGTTGTAGGATTCGTCATGTTGAGTAATCCTAACATCGGTGAAATCGGAGCCCGTTTTGTTTTTGTGGCGGCAGCACCGTTCCCTACTATCCCCCCAACCGAAATCGGCTCGTACGCCATGACAGTGTATACATTCCGAAGGAACGGCACTCCGAGAATGATGTCCCCGAAACCACTCGGGTTGGACAGCGCGGAACTTTGTTGGAATAAACCAATACATGAGGAACCACCACTCGCAGGAACGGCGCTAAGGTCTAAAGGATGAATCGGGATTTCTTCTCGGTTGTCCAATGTTATAGTCATGTTTAGTGGTGTCGTACACGGTACGTAGTCTGAAACAAAAGCAGAACCGGTTAGTGTTTACAATCGAGAGCAGGTGATGTAAAACATTGACGCCACGTACAATTTCCATCATTCGCAGGTGAAATACCCAAAGCGCCCCAAACAGCATTCGCAATCGTCGGAGTCGATATGATATATGGTACGCCCGTATCGAGGACCGCCTCGGGGTACGGCCCACCAGTCACACTCGTCCCAATATCAACCGACTTCGCAGTCCCGTTCACATACACCGTGATCGCCCGTAACTCCGCTTTCCAAAAATGCACACCATCGCGTTCCGAAAGAACAGAAGAATACGCTATTTTAGACGAGTCGATGGTGAGTCCGTCTGAAAGGAGGTCATTTGACGGGTGGCGGCCGACGGCAAGTACAGACGGAATACGATCTATGTTCGGTCGAGCGAGGAGAACGGAATAGAAGAACTGTGCGGGTGCCTGATCGGTTGGCGTCACCCCGAAGAGATTCGAGATGAACGTCGCGCCGTCGGGGACATTATCCGTCACTGGTGGGACTTCCTGCGAAATTACTGAATCCAAGGGCAACGCGAGACCCAGGATGCCGGAATAGTCTCCCGTGAGGGATTCGTTGACAACGTTCGTTGCGGCGGCTATGTTTAGGTTACCAGTTACCACGGACCACGGTCGGCACACGAGTAACGAAGAACAAAGAAGAGCATAGAAGTCAATGATGAGGGGTGATGATGTCAATCACGGCAGCGGAAGCGGCGCGGCAACAGGAACACAGTAACAGCAGCAGTAGCGGCGAGCGCATGATAAATTAAATGTTGACAGTCAGTATATGTATACGGGAACGCGTAAATAACACGAACACCCGCACTAAGTGCGAGAGCGAAAGGAAATAGAAACTCACAAAGCGCCTGATTGTCAATGGTATACGGTCCGAGCGTGAACCGATCCCACACGATAGGACCCTCGACCGACCCACTGAGATATTGAATGGTGAAGTCGCGGTTTGTTGCAGTGGACGACGAGGGGTCGTATAATTTGGGCTTGCCCGCCGAACACGCTGTTGTGGAGCATGACTTCGATGCGATCCACTACATACAAATTTAAAGCGTCTCAAGGTAAGCGCTCCAACTCCAACAACCGGGGATGCGAGAGCAAAAACGACGACGTACCAAGTCAGAAGAACCCGTATCAACCTGTAACTTGAACGTCTGGCCACTACTGCCCACAGTAACAGGGACAGTATACACCCTAGAATAGCAGAAAAACGAGAGACGACGATCATCAATAATAGTTACTGCAACATAGTTACCGAGAAAGAAAGAAACTCCTCTTCTTCTAGCTCAGTAGCTGAAGGAAGGGATGGAGACGCGAAGAAATGGGTAGCAACAAACGAACGAAAGATGGAACACTCACGCGGTCATTATACCATCACCAACGAGCGTCAAGTCCAATACGACGCCATCCGTCCCGCCATTGCCCTCGTCGCGCTTCACTTTGGCCCTCGCTTCTTGCGCCTCGCCGTCCCATGTAGATACTGTAGATACCGTAGACACCCTCCTCTCCCACTCCCATTCCCGTACCCGCTCTCGTCCCCGCAGACGAGCACTCCCCCGCCGCGCAAAATTCATAAAGCCAAAACAATCGATTAAGTGTGGCCCGGGGCAACAAACCCGATTTATCAGTTAGCAATAAAGTAAAGCCGCCCAGAAAATCGCTCGTTCGTAAAGTAGAGTAGTTGCCAGTCCTGAGATGAACAAAGTGTATACCCCACGGGGAGACAAGCGAAAGAGGTCGTGGACAGAAGAGGGTGCGGAGGGAAAGAGAGATTGAGCGTTAAAAGGCAAAGAAGAAGATGCCCGAATGCAGAGGTCAAGTGGGTTGTATAATATGGACCGATTTGTGTTGAGGGGAGGCTGTGTAGGCGGGCGCTGACCCAGTCGTCCCTGGCCCATCCGTCGGAAATCACCTCTTCGCCTCGCCCTTCCGAAATCTACAGTGGAAAGATCCTCTCAGCCCGCTCTCACTTCGCCGCATCTCACGTAATCACTTCTCCCAATCACCAACTTGGGAATAACGCGGGGCTAATTCATCCTCTTTGGCTAGCACTTCTCCCGTCCAAGGAAAATAATAAAACTCCTATTCCGAGAAAATTTCGTACAGATGAAGCATATACACATTGCATAACTAGAACTAGATAGAAAGTCCATTCAATTCGTTGGTGTCCATAATATAAATGTATGTACTACCGGAACATGAATTAAGAAAAGAGAAAATCAAAAATGGAAAAGGAAAAAGGCACAAGTACAAAGCAAAGCAAAAGGATTGTTTTAAGTTGCCGAAGGGGAACGGTGTGGCGTAGAGAATAATAGAGATGGTGGGAAATAACCTATTTTAGTAGCATACAGACGCATCCTCCGTATTCATCGCAGGACACACGAACGGCATGCCTTCTTCTGAATCTTCACGAACACGGCACACTAACCCCTCCTCGCACATCTCGGAACTTCGGAACTCGGAAGGCACTTACTTACTCGACTCGTCGGACGGTGGCCTTCTCGACAGAGAAAACCTCGATGGCGACCCAAACGGACTTCTATTAGCCAACGACGCATTCGACCCAGACCGTTTCGTACCACCACTACCAGGCTCGCCAAGTGCATCGAACTGAAGCCGAAGCGCCAATAACCCGGTGCCTTCGCGAAGCTCAACGAGTACATCCGCACCGTTATTATCCTCTTTTGGCTGGATGTGCCTCCAAAGCTAGAATTTAAGAATTTAGAATTAGACAATTTTCTCACCGATTTTCCGGAAAATAGAAATGCGGAAGTGGCTTAACTTACATCGACCTCCGCCTCGCCCAACGATCTGTCTTTGCTGAACGTATTGTGATCGTAAAGCTTGACATACAACTTCGGCGTGGACGGCCCAGCTGGGAACGAGAACGCCTCATTCCTAATTGTTCCGTAACCACAGTTTCAGTGCCAGTCCCCAAATAGCAACACAAGCTCAACTCACCATTCAGGCGTTGTCGTCTTTCCCGCGTGTTTAGTCTTGTGCTCCTTTTCTCCGACGCGAACAGTTACATAAGCCTTGGGTGTATCGCCATCCGGTGCAGACAAGTCCTTCGCGTGCAATATCGAAACTTTAAGCGTTCCTGGTTCCGCTGGAGACGACGACTCGCCATTCGCGTTTTGCGTCGATGCGAAATCGACAGTGTTCACGTTGTTGTTGTTAGCAGAACCGACTGGGCCTGATACTTGACCAGAGGGTGGGTCTTCAGGAGCATTTACGACTGGGATGGAATCGTGTTTCGCGTGATTCTCTTTCCCGAACACACCACCGACCTTGGTACCAATTCTGCTCACACCATGCACGACACCCTTACCAGCGCCAATCGGCAGTCCGCCAATCTGTGTCATCGCGCGCCCGGCAGAAGTAAAGGTACTCGTGTTCTTGCGCGTCCTAGCGATAATCTCTGGAGTGAACATCATCCTGATTCGAATCTCCCCTTGGTCTCCATGTTTTTGATGCGAAAGTTTGATTATGCGCTCCGTCGCCTCGAAAGGCTCAATATCAGCAAGCTCAATCTTTCCTGTTCCCAAACTCTTCGCATTTTCAATTTGGTTCCAGTCGAACACTTCGAGGGTGAAGTCTGCTCCCACGCGGGATGGCTATGTATTTCATAAAAGTCAGAAACAAGCTCCGGAGTAAAGTGAAACAACCAAATGATGAGTATCGTACCACTTGAACAGCAAATTGCTCATTCCATTCCGGACTGAGCGTCTTCTTCTTGGTCTGGGACTTGAAGATCTTCTGGTCATTAAGCGAGAAGACGACGAAGGGATCGGATTTGCCTGCAAAGACGTGATCAGCGCTACAGTCTCCATGTCCGAAAGAAATATGCGAACCTCCGCGGTCGACACCGCGAATTTGACGGCCATCCATAAGGTCAACCCTAAGGATGCCCATGTCTGCGGAGCAGTACGTATTTCAGCAATCAGGATCAATGTCCGTAACTGAATAAAATGTATTACTCACTGTTGATACTCTCGCGCGGCTCCAAAACTATGTCAACCGGCACATAACGCGCTTCGATCTCAATAGTCGAAGTCTTCCTTTGATCTTCGTCGGTAAGGGTAAAGGTCGTAGGACCGCTCTGCAACAAACGTAATGTTAGAACACATACGGTGTACACTCGCCGAGATGTATTACTTACCATAGCATCCTCAAGGAACCGCCTCGCCTCACATTTGAATTCGGCAATAATATCATCCTTGTCGCCTTCATCATTTTCATTCAAACGTAACCACACGCGGCCAAAGTCGAGTTCCTTGATGAACCCTTCGCCGACGTGATCCCACTCGGCATTGAGACTGCGTGCACGGGTTGTACTGAATGCAGGCCAGTAGCCATCGTCCAAGAGCACTTCCAGACGAGCCTTCTGGCTGAGCCTGCCCTTGCGTACGCTGAATACGATAATGCCAGATTCTTCGAACAGAAAGCACAGTCAAGGTCATATCAAGGCAAGTAGGGATGAATGGTAGACTTACGATGAGTCAGCAATTCCTCTTTCGTCATTTCAATACCAGGACTGGGCGGCACAGTATCGACAGTCTCCGACGTCTCAGCAGTAGCAGTCGTTCCGCTTGTCCTCGCAGTCTCAGCCGTCTTAGTCGTCCCAGTAGTCCTCGTACTATCAATGGATTTCGTATTCCTCGTGTGTCCTTTCTTCTCCGACTCTCTCGACTCCGTCGGACTACTAGCACCGGTGCTCTCCTCCTGCCTCTCCTCTCCCTCCTCATGCTCATGATCATAACCATTCTCAGCCACGGGTAACGACGTCGTGATCCCCTCCGGGATTTGTTCACGTTCAACATCAGAAGACGAGAAACTCGAGGTATCAGAGCCACGCCCATCGACAATCCTTTGAATCTCGTTCCCTGCAGACTCGAACGAAACTCCTTTCAGAGCGATAGCTGGGACGAACTCTGCGACGTAGTGCAGATGACCTTTATATACATTGCCGTTGTCTAAACGAATTGGGTCGGCGACTGACTTCTTGCCGGTCGATGCGTATGGGTACTTCGAGTCCTTGCTCTTTGCGACGAGGTCGCGGACTTTGAGTTCGCACGTCCCGAGTGAACGATCCTAAGATATAACTATGAGTCAATTACCCGACAAGATGGAAAGAAAAGAGAATGCCCACTTTCGTCAAGTTCTGGTAATCCATGCATTCCAGCAGCATAGTCTCTTTTACAGAGTGAACGGGGATGTAGATAATCTGATCCCACTCAGGGTTCAAATCTTCCACAAAACATCAGTTCAAAAAGCCCTCATACAAAGACGAAAAAACTCACTGTTATTGATCACCTCCGTCCTCCCCATAGTGATGTTATTCACCAACACCCTAACATATGGATCACTCTTCCCACCAAGCGCAGCCTCGACGTTCTTCACATCCGTCGCCTTCTGCATCCAAAGTCTCACAATTCCAATCGGCGGGACGTATCGATCCGCACCGTGCAAGCTACCAGCCATATTCAATGGCTTCCACTCTGCACTCATACGCATACGACCACTGCGACAGCCGCTAAGCGGCCACCAATCACGCGCAGTCTTCTTCGCCTCGAGTAAATCTTCGAGCTTGATACTAAGATAACCAAGCATTGGGTCCTTGAGGAAGTCGCGGTCATCAACGACTTTGACAGTAATGACCGATGAATGTTTGTCTGAGCACAAAAACTCTGTCGAGCTTTCCCAAACGGGGTTGAAGGTGTGCTTGACCCTGGGTGTGCTGTGAACGGGTGGAGCATTCGAGCTGAGAAAAACCTTTGCAAATGGATTGAGATCTCCGGACATGATCTTGGTGTGGTCGAGATCCTTGGCCTGGTGCAACGTGAGACGGACAATTCCGACCTCTGTAGAAAATCATAAGCAATCTGTATTTGTTGCATATCAACGTAAATGACGAACTGGTGTCAGGCAATTCCTCCTCCTTGCCACCATCAATCTTCTGCGGCTTCAAGACGGGATAGAACGACAAGTCAAAGCGAAGCTCGCCCCTTTCTTTCCCGTCCTTAAGGACCTTCGTTTCAATTCCTTCTTGCACAGCATCCTCGCCAAGCTTGCTGAGGTCAAAGGTCGCCGCACCAAGTTCTGAATCTTTACGATGTTCATTCCAGTCGAAGACAGTGAGGACGAGCTGCTCAGCTAGTGAATTAATGAGCAAGAACTTGGTCTCGTTCCATGTCGGGTTATAACTATCGGTTCCGAAAAATAGCAAAAAATAGCAGCCCACGTGAAATGACGTGATTAGTGATCCGCGCATACAGTCTAGAGAAACTCGGAAAAATACGCACGTAGACTCCTTATGTTTCGTACGCGCAAGTTCCTGTCTCGCATTGAGGCTGAAGCTGACGTACGGATCTGGGGTGCCTCCTCCAATCTTGACCCCCTTCAAGGCGCGTGCAGAGTGAACTGTGACTTGAAGCACGCCAATGGCCGTATCAATGGGAGCACCCGAGAGGAGTTGCTCAAGATTGAGGGTGAAGACTGACACGAGGCTCAGTGCAAGGTGATTATGCGGAGTTAATGACGAGCTCACCGTTGGGGTCATACATCATGGGTCCAAGAATGGAGTGCACCATGTCGCGAATGAACGCAGATAGACCGGGAATCTAAGCCATTATCCCAAATCCCAATCAGCATCTCGAACAGCAGACAGAGAGAGGCTAAAAAGTCACATACAACACCAATGTCAAAGCCAAACGTCTCACCACCAAGGGGTTTGAGTACATAATCAAAAATAGGCTTCTGCAAAAAGCTGAGGTCGACTACTTGGACGTGCGGGAACGAAGTCATTAATTTCATGCGAACGCGCAATAAGCCACTGAAGCTCATGTCTTCGAGCAAAATCGGCATAGCGGCTGAGGCAACGCCCTTGCCAACACGCACGCTAAGCACAATTTTCGGGTTGACCTTCTTGGCTGCCTCTTTCGGCGTCATGTCGCTGACATCGTTGGGTGTGAATGAAAACTTCCAATCCATCGTGACAATATCCTCCGCGGTGCGGGGCCAAGTGCGCACGCTGTCAATGCGAGGAGCCTTTGTACCAAGAGTAAATGTTGAAAGACGAAGGGAGTCTACGACTGGCGGAGTGTTCGTGCTAAGGACCTGGTCGACACTCTGGACAATGGTCTGCGAGAGTACAGGCTCGTAAATGAGCCAGAAGCGATCGAGGAAATGGTTGATCCAATCAGCCGACTCGGCTTCCGCGACAAGACGAGATTTGATGAGTTCGCGCTGAATGTCATCGCGAGCGCGACGCCGCACACGAGTCATGGAAGTCGTATAGTACGTCGCACATGTCGCAAGTACTATAAACAACCATCCCCAGCCAAAGTGGAAGACCGTAAGGAAGTGTGAGGCAAAGACCGCAAAGAATATGATAGCAGCATTGTGGTACCAAGCACCATAGTACTGTTCGCCAATAAACATCTCGAGGATGGCCTTGTCCTTCTCGGCGCCCTCTGCAAGAGGTTCATCAATGCCTCCAACAGCACGCCAGCCCACCCTATACCATTCTGGAATTAGCGGTGCGGCGCCTTCGGGGAGTGCGCCGGGGACTTGACTGGGCGGGAGGCTCTCTGGTGGTGCAACTCCATTTGGCTGCGGCTCGCGGTCTGCATCCGTAACGGTTATAGTCGGCGGCAGCGCAGGTGTTTGACCAGTCGTCACCGCGACCTCTGCAAATTTCAACAACAAAAAGAAACTAAAATTAGTAACGGACGCAAAATCACTCCAAATGGGAAAAGTGCGCAGAAGTGAAAGGGAGTTGTCCGCCCCGACTGAGGCGGGCCCGCTTCACAGCACAGAACAGAAGACGCAAAGCGAGCGGGATGGGGAAGTGCATAGATGTCAGCATGTCATGAGAGACATTAGGCTTTGTATTGGGATCCGCCGCTGCGGCGCAGCGACTTCCCTCCATGCGCGATAGCCCGCAGCAGACCTCTAAAAGTACCGGCACGCGAGACACTGACCTTTACCACTAGGCGCGTCGTCCTTGCTACTCTCAATTTGGTTGCGACCCTTCCCAGCGGCAGCAGCCTTCTGTTCGGGAGTAGCGTCTGGGTCGAATGAGTGGACTGCGACATTCTGTTTCTCTTTGTCTTGTGCGATGATGCCATTGAGCTGCGGCTGGCCGTTCGTGCCTCCGTTCGTCGCCATTGTGTGGAGCGACTAGGACGAGGGCAGGCGGGCGTGCAGAGAGGATAGTAGGTAGTATGTAGTGGAAGATGTACAAGGAAAAGAGTGGGCAGGGCGGCTGTGACGAAATAGTTATGGAGGGGGCAGACAGAGACTGCAATGAAGCGAACTAAGACGGGAGATGGCACCAAGGCACGCTAATGACGATGTTGATTACATAACACAGCTATCCTATGCTCTACTACATGCACAATTACATCTCTGCCCCACAACACTACACTGATCCCGCAGGTGGGCCTCCGCGGCCAGCTCCTCCCATAAATTGGCCTGCCCTGTTCACGTTGCACCGTCAGCCTTGCCAGTATTTAACGGACCTTGTACATACATTTCTCTCAGTGCCGGATCGGACATAATCTCCTGCATAGAAGGCATTCCACCACCAGTCTGGACCCGGTTCATCTAGCAGTTGGACATGAGAAAAAAGAAATGAGACACGCGCGGAATTATTGCACAGCCCCACATGCATGACATGACGTATACTCACCATGTTCGCAACCGAAGGATTTGACATCATCCGTTCCAGCCCGCCATTTGCCGCCATCTGCTGAGCCATTTGCATCAGCATTGGGTTCTGCATCATGCTCGCGATATCAGGCATGCCTCCGCCTCCGCCTCCGCCTCTCCCGCCTCCCATCCCGCCCAGTAGATCTGCAAGTCCACCCATGCCTGGTCCTGCGCCTGCTCCAGCACCAGCGTCAGCATCGGTGTCTGCAGCAGAGGCGCCCAGGCTTCGTGCACTAGCCTCGCTCGTCCGAGCCTCGGCATTTTGCAGACCCGACTTTAGTCCCGCATTATTCGGGTCGACATCAAGGCCTCGTCGGAATGCCGATGCAGCAGCCGAGTAGTCCCCTAGCGAGTAATGCGCGTGTCTACAATGTACATCCACCATTCATCAACCAAACTATAAAAGTGAAAATATTTCACAGACTAGAACACGCACCCAAGCCTATGGTATGCTTTTGAAAATGCTGGGTCGGCCTCGATAGCGTTCTCCGCGTCTGAAATCGCACTAGCATGATCACCCTTACTCGAGTAAGCCGCCGCTCGATTTGAATAATACACTGCATTCGTCCCGTCGCGTGCAATTGCCTGGGTATACGCGTCAATAGCCCCTGCATAGTCCTTCGCAGTCATAAGTTGGTTGCCCTTCGCCTTTAGCTTCTCTGCTTCAGCCTTGTCCCCAGCCGAAGGTCCCGCAGCAGCAGGCGGAGGCGCCGCAGTTGTAGACGCGGAAGGTGAGCCAGAAGTGTTCAAGCGATCGCGCGTCTTGAGGAAGACGTCGAATACATTCATAAGGGCTGCGGGCTTGATACTTAATCGTTTGCTCTGTTGCTCGTCATTTGGGTCAACTCCGAATGCCTCGCCAATGCATTGTACTATAGCACGTATATCTACTTCAGTACGAAATTATGTTCAGTATGAGATACGATACGAACTCGCCACTTCCAAGCTTTCCTTGTCGTCCTGCTTCACTGTACCATCTTCTATTGACTGGTTGAGAAACTCTATGATGGAGAGCACCAGTCTTTGCTGCTTTTCAGACATCGAAGAGATTGTACAACCGAAATCCCAAATGCAGAGCAGAAGTTGACGACGAGCGGCAAATGCACAGCGAGAACGAAGATTCTCGTCTCGTATGATGCATGCTCTCACTCACATGAAAGTCTGGAATATTCATTACATAATCAAGTCACGAGGACGACGGACCGATTTGTTTCGTTTCGCGTCCAAGTTGTGCTTCTTCAGACTTCGGTGACGCCAAACCTCAACAATGTCGTTTTTCTGTGCGCTATCCGGTGAACCTCCTCAGGACCCAGTCGTATCCAGCAAGAGCGGCCACCTCTATGAGCGCCGGCTCATCACCAAGTACATCGCAGACAATGGCACAGACCCCATCACGGGCGATAAACTTGAAGAGGCTGATCTCGTCTCTGTAAAAGCCAGTGCGTTCAGTCATTCTAATACCAATACTACATACCATTTTAATGCTTAATGATGTTCTTTTGTATTTTTCATGAAGGCCCGAAAGCCGTCCCACCACGCCCTCCCCAGCTCACTTCTATCCCTGCGCTTTTGCATTCTCTCCAAAACGAATGGGACGCGCTCGTCCTGGAGACGTTCGCGCTCAAACAGCAGTACAACTCTGTTCGTCAGCAGCTCTCGCACGCGCTATATGCACAAGACTCGGCAACGCGTGTCGTTGCTCGACTTATTAAAGAGAGGGATGCAGCAAGGGAGTAAGTCGTCTGCTCTTTTCATCACTTCCACTTATGAAATTTCTAATTAAAATACGTGTTTCATTCGCTAGAGCACTCGCAAACGTCCAAGCATCCATCGGCATCACTCCTTCTGGAGCAGCCGCAGGAGAAGAAGCAAGCGGCGACGTCGACATGAAAGAAGACCAACAAACCGACGACTCACCAGGCCTCCCCAAAGAAATCGTCTCCCAAATCGACGAAACCAACTCCACACTCAGCTCTCAACGTCGTAAGCGCAAACCCGCTAAAGAACACACAACAGCAGCGCAAGTCAAAACTTTCACTGCAACACATACAATCCCTTCTTTGCACGCTGCCTCCCCTGCAGGAATCACCTCGATCGCTTTGTCTAAGGAGGAAGCGGGTGTGTTCGTTACGGGTGGGAATGATAAAGTTGTACAGCTGTATGACCGTGGTGAAGATAAGGTTATTGCGAGTTTGAAGGGACATACAAAGCGCGTTAACCAGGTTGCGTTGCGTGAAGTTGCTGGAGGGCCGAGACTCGTACTCTCTGCTAGTGCAGACAAGACAGCACGTGTATGGGCGCACGATAGTGCCTCAGGCGAATATGCACCTCGACAAACGATTAAAATGCACAAGGGGGACGTAACAGGTCTCTTCGTCCACCCTACTTCCACACTTCTAGGTCTCGCATCCCTCGATCGGACTTACTCCGTACACGACCTCACCAACTTCGTGTCTATCTTCCAAAGTGCACCAGGTGACGACGCCTACACAGCAGTGAACGTCCACCCAGACGGCGTCCTCCTCGGACTCGGTACACCAGGGTCGACGATTCAGATCTATGATATCCGCTCAGGAGCACTCGCAGCGACGTTAACACCTGAGTCAGGAACACCATTCACAGTCTCCACACTCTCATTCAGCGAAAACGGATACCACCTCCTCGCACCAGACTCCACATCCTCCGTCGCAATCTGGGACCTCCGCAAACAAGCACGGGTAACTTCCATCCCCCTCGGAGACGACTTTAAAGTCAACAAAGTCACTTACGACTCTTCGGCGCTGTTCTTTGGTGTTGCGGGTAACGAAGGTGGACGTGCGTTTGCGCATAAGACGTGGGAAGAGTTGGTGAGGTTTGAGGAGGGGGGTGAGATGTCGGATATTGTGTTTGGGGAACTTGGGAAGGAGGTTTGGGGGTCTACGGGTAGGGAGGTTAGGATTTGGGGGTTGCCTGAGTAGATAGTTAGTTCGGATAGTTAGTTCTTTGAGTAAAAGAGCTTGTATGCTCCTCCATTGTTTACGTTCTGTGATATATTGAGCTGCGCTATTTTGTTCGAGATTTACTGTGAAGACGTCCAAATCATAAACTACTAGTTTTATGGACAACCTGAATCATAGTTAGCCATAATCTACTTACCAAGCTGACGAGTATCACAATCCAATGTAAAGAAAGCCTTCCCAGACTAACTTGTTAAATGTACAAAGTGCTAGTCCCCGAGAAAATTTGGATTTGATATACAAAACACATACAATTTATCCCTCGGCAAACTCATAATCCAAACAAATCAACAACCCCCTTCCTCGGGTTAATCACTCCAACGACTTTCCCTTCAAAATCAAACAAATCGCCCGACTCCGTCGCTACGAGGTCCGCATCAATATTATTACTATTGTCATTGATATCCAACCCAAGCAGTTTCTCGAGGTTCGTGGATGCAAGAGCGAGTGCTTGGGTGCGCGAGATTTCTGAGGGTGCTTCGAGGGCGGCCTACACGTAGTTAGCGTAGTGTGATAATGAATTAATTAAATAGGGAAGAGACGGGATGGCAGTGAAGGAGGACATACCCAAGCAATGTCAAATCGAGTGTTTCGTGCACTCCATGGTTCTTCAATCCCTATTCCAACCGTCACGTTATGTGCCAGCAATAGCGAAATCGCACTGTCCTTCGTTATAGGCGGTCCCGGAAGACTAAACATACGGCATCTGAATGAGCACTCTAGGGGTAAAGAGAAAATGAGGAGGTAAACCTACATCCGACGCTTCTCCCAGGTCTCAGGGAAAGGACGCGAAGGTACAACGATAACCCCAATATCTGCCTTTGCAAGTTCAGATGCAAGGAGGTGTGCCTCCGACGCTCCGGCGATAGTCAACTTCATACGTTCCCCTGTACTTTCTTCGACTTCTTTCTTCAAACTTAGCAGCGTTGCTATTACATCAGCGCTTTCAGCGTTCACTACAAGTGTCATCTTCCCCTAAAAGCAAAGCAAATAAATACTAAAGCATGGGGCGGTTTAGCATAGACGAATGACGTACGATAGCAACTGCTTTGAACCACTTTCCCGCCTCGCCTGAACCAGGTTCAAGTAACAAACGTCGGAGTGCGGCGACCTGTGTGCTAACACTCCCACTCCCAACGGAATGCCCTACTGTAACGTGTACAGCAGCAACCTCCTGCAGAAGTGCGCCTTTCTCCAGCTTGTGTGCTGTCCCAAGGCTGAAGGCCGTACTTAATCCGCTCAGGATACCATTATGTAGTGGTGAAGTGACGCCGATTGTCACTCCTGCACGATAAGCAAGACTTGATAGTAAGGCAAGGTTAGTTGAATAAATACAACATCAATCCAAGAGGAGAGACGTAAACCTACTAGGCATTCCGAGTAGCAAATTGTAGGCCATCCGCTGCATGAATGAGTGGGCCATCTCCCAGGATATTCGGGATATCCTTGTCCAATGGATCGAAGACTGTACCATCTTTAGTCGACACTTCACCTTGAATCTCTTCCAGTCCAAGTGCAGAACCGAACGAGATGAGTCCAGGAGAAATCGCGCCGCCCTTGAGATTAATTTCGACAGCGTCGCGTTGCTCCAAGAAATGCGAACATTCACTCCAGGTTCCTACACAATCGACCTTGCCAGCACAACTAACGAGAACTCCTCGTTGTGTATCTACATCCAACTCAAACGTCCTCAAAACCGGGCTTCCCCCTTGCGTCCCCCGAACAGTTATACTAGTAATATTAGTGAAAACGACAATACCAGCGATAGACCTTTGTGGTTCAAGTGGCGGTAATCCATCATACTTCAACGTCTCTTCCACCTCTTTATCGAAGCCAGGCGTCTCAGGCGACTTTTGGAAGTCCTCAGACTTCAACTCCGGCGGTGCGTACGTATCACCAAATTGCGCAATACCGTCAATGAAGACTTGGCGAGGAGTAGCTCCGAGTGCAAGTGGGTGCGAGTCCCATAATACAACATCCGCATCGTATCCGTTTTTGATGAAGCCGATGCGATGGCTCATACCCATTACGCGTGCGGGTGTCGAAGTGACTGATGCGATCGCGAGGTTGTCTGGAAGGCCATAGTAATGTGCCTGCTGGGCCTCGTATAGCAAATATCGAGAGTTGAGAACAGGATCTATAATGATATCATTATCAGTACCGTTTCTTGACAAGATTTAACGAATAGTTCTTCTACTTACGATCGCTCTAAAATAGAGTCAGTCATCTCCAGTCACCTAACGTTCAATAAACTAAGAATCTTACTTTCATGACTACGGGAAGCCCGTTATCTGCTAATATCCGTGCAGCAAACTCTGATCCACGGTACGATTCGCGCTTATAGCGCGCGTTCGTTGCGAACATGGCCGAAGCCGGTGTATTTCCTGTACAACAAGGTGAACATGTAAATGGTGAAAAAGGCTTGACTACTAACCATATGCTTGCTTAAGAAGGTCTGGAGCAAGATACGTCTCGTGTGCATGATGAAAGGCAGCAATCGGGAATTTGAACTCATTCGTAAGCTGCGTACATAAATAAATCAGACCGATATATTCCATTCTGTCTAGGCACTGACTACTTACTCGAACAATGTCGTCCAAGTCAACAGTCTCGTAGCAATGCACTTGCATCTTTACACGTCCACGAAGAGTATCAACAATGGCTTCGTACTGTAGCTCTTCTGGGAACGACCCAAGATCATCCCAGTCGTTGCTCAGTGCTTTCGAACAATATGCGTCCTGTTGTTCCTTGATCTGTCGAGCCTTGTCGTATATCTCACGAAACGCCCAGATATTATCCATACGGCTATTACCGTATACACGACGTGGATTCTCGCCGCATGCATGTCTGTGGAAACAGAAAGACAACGTCAAGCGTCTACAATTCATTTTTGTTAAAATTGGACGAAAGGAGCGTACTTCATCTGCCTCCAACGTGGTGGGCTACTCATATCAATCATATCCGTGCTATTAAGTGTAAAAGGTGGTTCAAGTAGCATGGAAGTCGGCGTTCGTTCCTTGGTTGGGCGTAACTTCATCGTGAACGCTTGTCCGCCAATATCATTTGCAGACCCTGGAAGCACGAGGGCAGTTGTGACACCTCCAGAAATAGACAGTCGATAAGCATCATCACGAGTGTTCAGACCGTCGAGTGAACGTAGCCATGGTTGAGCGATACCTTTGCGTGAATTTCCGTCGCCTGCACCAGATAATTTCGGCACAGAATTGACACCCAGATGTGAGTGCAGGTCGACAATGCTATATCATAACCAAAGTCAGTGAAAGTTCAGGCCAATATGAGCTAATAAATACCCAGGAGTAACCCATCCACCTTCCGCATCAATAGTAACAACCTCATCCAAATCCGTAATATCGATACCACTCCCAACAGCCTTAATCAACCCCTTATCAAGTAAAACATCACCCTTCACAACCTCCTTCCCATCCACATTCCCAGTCCAAATAGTCGCATTCTTTACCAACGTAGCCTTCGTACCAGGTACGAATCGTTCCGAACTCGTACGGAAATGAAACGTTCTAGGTGGACCAGGCGGTATCTTCAAGTTCTCGCATCGCGCTCGAATGAACTCTGCATCGGGTGGGAGCTTGACAACGCGTCGTCTACCTCCATGGATAAATTGCATATGCGTTCCAAGAGCGAAGATAGCTAAGATACCAAGAAATAGTATCGGCCATGGAGGACGTCGTCGTACCGTACGACTTGGGCGAGGAATGTAGGTGCCGCTGGCACGCTCGACATCTATCACTAGTTCGCCTTTCATCACGACTGAGAACAGCGAAGCCGTGTGCACATGCAGGCGACTTTAAGTATCTAGTCAGAGTTCGCACCGGACCTCATAGAAGACAGCTAGATAAGGATACAAAAGGACATGCTGGCTTCCTGAGCTCGGCCAATAGCTTCGGCATGTCTCCTCATCACCTCAATACCCAGCCAATGGCGTAATCCACCAGATATTACAGAAGTGTTGATCGCCATAATTTTTAAGATGATTTCTGGTAGACAGGTAAGCGAGCTTGAAGGGAGAAGAACAAGAAGTGAATATTCAGAATTGATCCGCGAAAGCCGTCGCCGATCACAGAAAAAGCCAATCGATTCTCAATCTTCCTCTTTTAGGATGCCGTTAATTAACTCCGGGTATAAAGCAATTTCATAATTAAAAGTCCCGTACTCTAACCCAGCAGCTCCTTCACCTTCAGCCCGAGCTCTCTATCAGTACATCTGACTTGCCATCGACAGCTACCGTCTTCTTCTTCGTGCAGTCGCAGAAGCGTACGCGATACTGGATCAAGTGGGCCTAGAGAGGACGAGTGAAGCATGATCTTCAAGTCGCCTACAAATTCAAATACATCGACCGTCAGAATCTCCGTAAGAATAATTTTACAGACCGGTTATTGAGAGCTCACCGATGAAAGGCGTATCATCCGCGGACAATACATCCATTCGCGACCCCATACTCTGTAATCGCCGGACAACGACATCCGTAGCATCCTCACACCAACCCCTTGCATTGAAAGCCTCAGGAGTTGCGGTCAACTCCGACCAGAGCTGCTCAAAGCTCTGCCCAGGCTCCGGCGAAGTATGCAGCGACGTATTTGCTGATACATATGGGCTAGGTGGTGGCGGATGAGCATCAACATCGACGAGTGGTTCAGCCAGGAAGGGTGAGTCAATCGTCAAAAGGTCCGGTGTTTTCTTTGCTGGGGTACCACTTGATGTGGCATCCCCAGACACTGGCTCAACGCCTCGCGACTTCCCTTTCTTCAGATTTTACCACATAAGATAAGCGTAAAACAAGGAGCAGAGAACAATTCTCACCTTGTCCCTGTACGTCCTTGCGAACTCGTTCCTAGATCCGGCAGCAAGTGTAAGCTCTCCAGCAGTGACCGTGCGGGACAAATCTGGCTCATCCTCATACTCGGTCATTCTTGTGCTTGATGCTCGCGAGGAAGCACGATTCGAACTTCGGCCCGAGGCTGATGACGAGTGACTACGAACTCGAGCAATCCTATTTGCAGATGTAGGAGGCGCATACGCATCGTAGCGCAGTTTGCTTTGTGATAGTCGAACTAGCTCCGATTGACTCATAGTGGGCGAAGAAACTTTAGAAGGCGGTGAGGATGGTTCTGTAGATGCGTTTCCTCGTGGTGGAGTCCTCCTAGAATCGGCTCCATCGAGCATGACAGCGAATTCTGGTAGCTAGGTTGTCGAAACTCAATCAAAAAGCCTTGGCTGAAATCGCACTGCACGTACCGATACGCCCCGGCCATTTCCTAATCGTTCTCGTATCCTGCTGGGTTCAGACAATATTTTCTCAAATTGTCTCGAGCGCTTCAGTATCATGGCCCGTTTCTGATCTTCCAGGGATGTTTCGCCTAGTTCATGGACTACCCGCCTGACATCCTCCATCTCTTGAGACGGAACCTCTGAAGTGGATAAAAGGACTGCGAGTCGCGTCATGCATAGAAGTATAGGCTCTTGCAATTGTTCTTTGGTCCTTCTCAGCATGAATTCGCTGGTAGAATAAAAGGTCCTAGCGTACCTGAAACAGTGTGTAACGTCGCCGCAAACAGACAAATCATTGGAACAACTTCGGACAGCGACTCAGCAAAAATCAAAGCGAGTTCGCAAGCCAAAGCGACCAGAATGAGGAAAAGTGTTTTATCGAGTGGCTGCCTATCGGCCTGCTCTGGAGTGTCCTCTGCCTGCAGAATCGTTAAGAGGTTTAAGATGCAAATGCGTTGATTCGAAGGCCGCTCTGTTATAACGAATCCTGAGCAAAGCACAACCGGAGATTTTACAAGGCTACGAACTCACCTCTTCGGACTCTGCTCAAAACAGATTCGATAACAGTCTTATTCACTGTGTCCTGAGCGCCAGTCGCGTTTATTACCTCCTTTAATTTCTCCACAAGGATCCGGCCTCGTTCGTCTACTCCTAGCTTTTCATTGCCCAAGGAAGTTGTGAAGGCAAATTCAACCAAACGCTGTGTTACGACGTTCCGCACTTGGTCATTCGTCGCGTTTGGAGAAGCAGCACGCAACGCGTCCAACACTCGTTGATAACAGTTTTCGACCAGGGAAGGGTCGAGTGTGATGAGGAGTCGAAGAGTCTTTCCAAATGGATTTTAGGTCCAAAAAAAAAAAAGACAAGAGGAGCGAATAAAAAATTGCTTACGAGGGCCCGAATTTGGTCATCTTCACTGTCAAGAAAACTCAATATCCGCTCCACTTCTAATTGATCCAAAACAAGTTGCATTGGGACTGATTTCTCCATTTCCGCTTCTGTTTGCTGCTCGTTAGTAGTCGAGTTCAATAAATCCTCGGACGGTTGTGTCATCCCAGCCCATAAAGAAGAGTCCAAACAAACCAAACAAGAAAGGAAGAGATAATGGTCGTTGACAGTCCGTGATGAGAGAAAATGTCGTATTCGTGCGACAGGGTGAACGAAATGCTGTCGTTGCCTGTCAGACCCTTCACTCTGTTGATCGGGTTCGGTAGGCTGTGGAGACATTTTGAGAATATACTGTGCAACGGTGTTCGTCGGAAATCGTCCCATGAGGCGGAAGCATTCTAGGATTAAGGCTAGACATATTGCGTATATTCAGTAATTTGATTTCTCGCAGGTAGAGGATGGTGGAGGACGAGGGACATACATCCTTGACCGTGTTTGACTGCACGACGGAGAATGCTGAGAAGGGACGGGAGAAGTTCATTTACAAAATCCACTCTGAAATTGAGGCTTCAGTGAGCTAGAAATTGTTAAGCTCAAGTAGCTTTACTCACTTCGACTTCAAATCGTCCCGCTCAAGCAATCTCGAGATAGTATTGAGGACGCTCAGAGTAAATGCTGAGGAATAATTTCTTGCTGTGTGCTTGTTCACAATGCGAGAAACCAAAGAAGTGCTTGAACGTAATATCTCTTCGCTTTCCAGCAAGCCACCCTTTTCCAGGCATTAGGATGAAGAGTTCCAAATACAAGAAATAGAGCCTACCGATACCATCGCAAAACCGAGCCTCAGAGCAGTCCGGACAACGCTCTCATTAGCGTCTGACAGCCGTTTCACGACAAGTTGCTTCATATTGTCATCGTTGAGTAACTCAGGCGAATATTGGGAGAGTGCGTGCAGTGCAATCATGGTCAATGCCCTTATACGCGGTCTGAAATTGGGATGAGTATCGGCAGCAAATGACTCGATTAACGAGACACCCACTGACGATGGATGTGACAGCAATTCTATGCAGCGAGTATGCACTGCTGGTATGACGTCCAATGATGGCAGGTTCACGAGTGATTCGAGCGCCAGATTTATCTTTGCCACCGATGGAGATGTTAAATCCTGGGAGTTTTGAGCACAAATCGACAACTGTTAAGCAGAGACTACATGACAAACCTTCCTGATAGTATTAACTAACATAAGCTGCAGCTCGTGCTCTCGAGGCATTACCTCCCAGCAAAACATGTATCCTTAATCAAAATCTCAGAGATTAAATCAAAAGTTTCCTGTCAAACTGCACACACCCATGCGTTTCTCGCTAACTCTTGACCCAGCCTCTGCTAGATGAGCTGCAGAAGGAAGCGCGAAAGCCAGTGTTGTACGGTTGATTGATCCAAACGAGGTATTTAGACAGTATAACAATATAATGAGATCCTTTCTGATCTCAGACTGTGCAAAACCGTCAGCCACAGAAAAGATAACAGACAAATTTACTAACGGTGCTAAGCATCTTGCTAGCAAAGTGCTTCCGTATACGCTCGACCTCCTGAACCAGGAGCTTCTCGGACTGTTGGGGTGCATTCTCGACATTTCGAACAATCTGATAATGCGCTCTACTTGACGCGCCCGACTTGTTGTACGGCACGTCCATGTCTTCGAGCGCGACGAACGCGACGAGTGCTGAGTATGGAATGACGTGCGTGTCATTGGCGGGGCGGGAAGTGATGACGCTTCGGAGCTTCCCGGGTCTGAAAATCGCGCTTAGCTCGTTGACCGCACCGCACCAGCTCAATCAACCTTTCCATCGACCTCACTCTCGCTTCTTTCTAGACGACGCTCATGGCGAGCTTGCGCCCTCTCAAAAAGGCGTTGACCTTGCCGCCTACTGTCCGCACGCTTCCCTCAGGTGTGCCATCGGCTTGCTACGTCAACTTTGCTGGTCGTGCTCTCCCCGACGAGCACGCACATGGACACGGTGAAGGACCTGCTCCCCGTTCAGACGCACCGGCGCCTTGGGCAACCAAGTTCTCGAAAACGGCGTCTAGTCTTGTCACCAAGTCGTTTACTACGGGTATGTTGTTTCTCCATCATTGAACCGACCCTTCGTAGATTTTCTAAACTATGATTTCGCAACCTATGAACTTTACTGACGTATTTTCCATCCGTCCAGTTGCACCGACCACCGGCCTGAACCAGCGATTCGTACACTCTTCCTCTGCTCCAGTGGACGATGCACCACAAGTCCCCGACTTCTCCCACTACCAAACAAACCCTCGAACAAACGCCGCCCTCTCATACTTCATGATCGGCGGAATGGGTCTCCTCTCTGCGTCCGTCGCCAAGTCCACCGTCACCGAATTCCTCGGAACAATGAGCGCTTCCGCAGACGTCCTCGCACTCGCCAAAGTAGAAGTCGAACTCGCCAGCATCCCAGAGGGCAAGAACGTCATCATCAAGTGGCGCGGAAAGCCCGTCTTCATTCGTCATCGTACCCAAAGCGAGATTGACGAAGCGCGTGCGGAGGATTGGAAGAAGCTTCGTGACCCGCAGTCTGATGAGGATAGGGTGAAGAAGCCTGAGTGGCTTGTTATGCTTGGTATCTGCACGCACTTGGGTTGTGTACCTATTGGCGAATCCGGAGACTACGGAGGATGGTAAGTATCTCTATCCCAATCAAGGTGCATTTTCTAACTGTGTTTTCCTAGGTTCTGCCCTTGTCACGGCTCTCACTACGATATCTGTACGTCACTCAACCTTTAGTTAAGAATAGTCCTGACCTTCTCTAATGGTCATTTTTAGCTGGTCGCGTTCGCAAAGGTCCTGCACCTGTAAGCCTGCGCTCTACAATCACCTACTTTACTTCCACTAACGATGAACATTTCCAGCTCAATCTTGAAGTCCCACAATACGAATTCAACGAACCAGAGGGCAAGCTCGTCGTCGGTTGAACTCTTCTAGACCAATTAAATTAGGGCATCTGCGTCATGTTAATAATGCACTAGAACTTGAAGCAGAAATTTCTGTTGTTACCCATGACTGAGTTGGTCCCTTGTGCATTAAGTCGACCATGTTCGCGGGAATTCGATAATTATCAGATGATTGAGGCACAAGTTGAGATTATTATAAAACTTTGAAAGGAGGCAATTCCCCTTCTCCCGACCTCCGCAACTTTATTATTCCTCCGCAATCGCACGAATTTCAAATATAGTACAAACAACGTACAACGTACACCGACTCAACAGTGTGACAATAGCGTAAAAAGTATAGTGACTTCAGAACAATAATTAGACAAGGGAAACAGCGAAAATAAAAACCAAGAAAGCTGGGTGTCGTAATTCGTAAGTGGTCGTGAACCATTTGCGGGAGAGAATTATATAATGCAAAAGAAACGATATTGATGTGCTTTGCAGTATACACCGAAAATGAACGATATATGTGGGCATGCATGTGCGGGTCGATAGTGACGAGTTGAATCGACTGTCAAAAGTGGGTGTACAGATGTACAGACGCGAGCATGAGTCGCCATGCAAAAAGGCCAGCTAGTGTGTGGTATAATTTAGGTAGCGTCGGAATAAGAGGGTTGTTTCGGGTGTCCCTCGTCGTACACGAGACTCCACCACAAAAGATTTCACTTCCCAGTCCGCTCCAATATCCTCCCTAAAGTACTCTTCCTCCGTTCACCACCGTCCTTCGACGATGGGACAGTTGTCGACTCATCCGAACCCTTTGAACCACCGCGCATCAACTTCCTCCAACGGCTCTCTTTCGATGACGTTCGTGCCGGCGAAAGTCCTCTCGAACTTGGAGATTGCGAAGGAGGTGGAGTTGATGATGGGGTTGTATCAATGGTGGTAGTGGTCATCTTGGAACTAGACAACCCCGAGGCACTCGCAATACGCTTCAGCGAAGATAGCGAGCTGAGATTGGTCCGGTCCAAGGTGGATGCTGGTGAAGAACCACGACGTAGAGTAGGACTATGCGGAGTTTCTACACCTTCCCGCGAAGTCGGCTTGATGGGCTTGCTATTTGACCGGTTTCGGGTGGATACAGGCGTTGGTTTGCCAGTAGTTTGCATACTTAGAACAATAGGTTTCTTCTCCTGTTGCATTTGCATGTCCAGAGCTGTCGCTGGCGAACAGCTCAACGGCGTAGTAGCCACAGACGAGTTATCCATCGAGGTCGGCACTAATTCCGGTGTCGTCGGATCCGACTCTTCTTCTGCCTCATCCAGATCAAAAACAGAACTTTCCACCTCCACGGACGACCGTTCGTCGTCTCCATCATGCAGTTCAGAAGAGATACGTTCCCGCTGGGCTGCCCTATGCCGTTCGAGCGCATCAACGCATTGGTTCTCATCCAAATCGTCCAATCGGGACGTATCAGGATGAATAAGGGTATGATGATTTGAGTGATGAGAATGCTGAGGAAAAGTTGAACTAAAATAAGTGGAATGCGCTGAGTTGAGTGATGTTCGAATATGCGCGCTCGGTGTGTGTGGGAGTTCAACAGAAAAATCCCAGGACGACATCGAGTTTCGACTCGCGGCCGTCAAGGGACTCGATGTTTTTGCACGCCGCTCTTGACGGTGGATGAGGGGCGGTAAATCCTCTATAAGCAAGAAAGATCATCGGTACCGTAAGTAATAAGTCACGAGCGGGATGTGGCGTACGCACTAAGAATGGCATTTACGAGATAATTTTTACGTTTTGCACCTTTGAAAAAGGGGGTATCCAAGAGCTCGGCAGCGCTTGGCCGTCGAGAAGGATCCTTGGCGAGGCACGCCTCCACAATCTCCTTAAAGGCCTTGGAAAACTTATGGTTACCACTTTCTCGAGCAAATTCTGGAGGAGCATCTTGCACGCTATTTATAAATGAGATCAGAAATCAGACGAGAATTTGAATTTTCCCACTACGCACGTTTTCAAAAGCACTCGAGCAGGCGTTTCTCGAGAGCGTGGAGCACGGCCTTGAGTCAGTTCGATGGCGGTGATCCCGAAGGACCAGATGTCTGCTTTCGCGTCGTATTGTTTCCCCGAAATGAGCTCTGGTGCCATCCAACACGGCTATGCGCGGGCAAAGTTGTGTAAGACGAGATGTAAGCCGCCGTCAAATGAATCGCATCAGTAAGCAAGCATTGAATTGCAATTGGGATTAAGATCTGATCAGTCAAGCGTCCGACAGGAGAGGTTTGTCATGCAAGACTCACTGTGCCAACGAAGGACTTGCGTTTGCCGAGCTTTTTTGAAGGTGCCTGCGTTGGAAGGCGGGAGTTGTCAGCGCTCGAAGTGCCGTCAAAGTTCATTTTCTGGCCTGAGCCAGACGGGATTGGGATGGGCTCTTCATCACAGAGTGACGCTGCTACACCCAAGTCCCCCAGAAGTACGGTACCATCATCATCGATAAGGAGATTTGCAGCTTTGATGTCGCGATGAATGAACCCATTGATGTGTAAATAACTGCATCAAACATACGTAAGAACGACGACAATGCAAGAATAGATATGAGAATACTCACTTGAGCCCTTCAAGCGCTTGCTTGAGGATGCACTTGACGACGTCCTCTTCCATACCACCAGGCCATCCGTAGCGCATCACATCGGCGGCGCTACCGGCATTCATAAGACGGAGAGCGATGTGCAAATGGTGGCCGGTAGTCCATGATCCCCGAACACGGAGAAGATTGGGGTGTTTCGACAAACTCATGAGCTGTGTTTCGCGACGTAGGAGACGCAAGGACTGAAGAGGGAGCTTGTCGAGGTTCACGACCTTGAGGGCACACGGAACGGGAGTCGATTCGTCCTTGGGTACATAGCGTGAAGCATATACAATCGAGGTAGCGCCGAACCCGATGGGAAGACCGATCTCGTAGTCGTCAGGGTTATCGCTGAGTGGGTGTTGATGTTGCGGATAAGGAGAAGAGTCATGAGGGAAGATTCTCGAGAGAACTAACCTGAACATCTGCCATTCATCGTCCACAGCGCCAATGAACCTGCGCAGAGCGGGCGAAGGCGACGACGGCATGGCAAAGGCAACGCTTAACGCGTTCAAAGCTATTTCTTATATACTATCGGTAAGGATGCTTGCCGGACGGCCGATTTGCTGAGAAAAGGAAGAGAGCAAAGAGAGACAAGAGTGGGGGAACGAAAGCAAAGATACCAGGAGAGGGGGAATCCACCAGGTACATCCAAATTAGCAGCAGCAATGCACGTGATTCGATCTTGGCCCCAATCACTGGATCAAATTCGAAGCTCCTTGTTCTAATCTGGCAAGGCTATGGGATGCCGCCCATACAAACATCACATTCTCTCTCGCTTGGCCCGTACAATTCACCAGGCAGTATATTCTGTGTTGCGAGATTGAGAACCAAGACGAGATGGCAACTAGGAACGGACACAAAGGACCGTAGTAATCATATCCGATCAAAGTTCACGGAGGACGCGCATCCAATGGTAATTACACCATAAGAACCAGAAACCAATGCTTCATGCCAAAGCGCATTAGGAATCTATCTAAATTTATATGGTATGGAACTAGGGAACCAGCAACTTTCGGCGTCATACATTCCCGCAATAACCATCCTACCCTGGAACGTTGCCACTCTTGCACCACAATCAGCGAGTATCCGTACTAACAATAGTATCCTGAGCACTGTAAGCAGCTCTATCATCCAATCCTATGAGCGGGTAGCGCATTTTATATTGCAGATGTCCTTCCCAGACCCAGACAAACGGAGGTACGTAACGCGGAAAAAAAAGAGTGCTATCAGATCAGGTTCTGGAGTTTGCGGAACTAGAATCTCAAGTACTACCCCGCGGACTCATAGACTACCGCAGAAGACTGACCAGAACAAGCGGACGTCTAGGAAACTCGCACAGCCGACGAGTGTTGTAGGCATTAGAAATCGATACATGCTAATTCATATCCGACAAAACTGCGAACGGTACTGATCAATAGCATGTTCTAGTGGTGCGGTGCCAAGCCCGACAGCGACGAATCCGGTAGAGTAGTAAAATAGCAGTCAAAGTTCAGTTCATCAGGCCTTGTTGCGCTAAACGCGAAAAGCTATCCCAGAAAACGAAGAACTTCGCAGTTCAGTTGACCAAAATAAATTCCGGTAAAATTGGATCAGTGGTCCAGGGATAGAAAGCTCTATTTTGAGAACAAGCCTTGACTAACAACGGACGTATTAGAAGTCCAAACGGGAGGGAGAAAAGGTAAACTGTGGCCAATTGGAACCGCGGATCAGCAATAAGATGTTCTTCTGCTATATCAGTTCATCTAGTTTCGGGTCGGCTAAGTAGAGTCGTGTGAGTGCAATTAAGTCGGTGATATGCCATAAACTAAAATCCATGAAGCTTGAAGATGGCTGACTGAGCCAGAAAACATGACACGGAGTTGACGTCGCCAGCGGACCTTCGAGCTTATTGCACACAAGTCAAGTAGAGCATAAAGGTGGCTGACCCTTTGATGAGAATATTCGATAGTGTAGAATGAGCGGGTGAGAAAGATTTGTCTGGTGAATTTAAAAAAAAAAAATTATTAAAGGGCCAAGGGCAAAAGAAGAGTATGATAAAAGGTACCCATACTCTGGATATAGTGAGCAACCCAGACAACAAGCCGAGATAAGATGCATGAGAAAACATACGTAATATTGTAAAAGATACGAAATCTTCCATCATCCAAACTTCCAAAGTCTACCGCGTGTTGACTATAATTAAGCGGAGTTGTTTCTCTCTGAAGGGGGTGTCGTTACTCTCCCATCTGAAGAACCAGAAGTCTCGTTGCCGACCTTGCCGAGTCCGAGATTATGCCAGTCATCGCGCTCCATGAGGCCCCTGCAAATTCTCCAGATGTGAGCAAGTCATGCAGAGTAGGGCATGACGTCTTACTTCGACATCCGGCATTCCAGATAATTCTTGTTCATCGCACGGCACGGTGTAGATGTAGCACCGTTCTTCTGTAGACAGGCAAGGTACGCCTTCATATGCTCTTTGCATTCCCCTATGACCCAATGACAAATGAATCGGAATTCGACCAGTATTCAAGTATAGTAATTATTCCCGTGACTACGGTATTCTCAGAACACCACTGCTGCAGGCAGCAGCACGCTGGATATTTCGGCATCTCGCCCGTCCTGAGACGTTTTACCACAGGATTCGAATGGGGAGCAAAAGAGAGGGCAAGAGGCTCAATGGGCGACGTACCATAATGATCCAGAGGGAACGAACCTCTATCTGGAGGCGTGTTTACCAAATCCGAGAAAGACTGTGGCCTTCCAAATGACATATTATTTCACTCGCACGAAACGATGTCAGGACTCAGCAAGTCAGCAAGGTCAATGTTCCAGTCTAAATCGCTCACGCGATGATGACGACGATCGCACGTGCGCAGAGATTACACTTCCCAAAAGCGGCGATCGTTTCCAAATTGCAGGGTAGACGCTCAGAAAATGAGATGAAGATGACGAATGTGCCGAGCTCCAAGCCATGTCTGAGCTATGTTTAACTCGTTCCGGATGCAAACGAACATGGTGATGAGGACACATCGATGAGTAGCACGTTCGTCACCAAGGATCCAACCACGGTGGTCCAATCCGCGCACATGTTCGACTTGTTCCACGATGGGCTCGCATTTGGCCACAAGCCGTGATATTAGACAGATGAGACTACCGAGGCGTTCCGCTCTGACCGCACCTACAAGAGCAGAGCGTCTTGGGCGCTGCTTCTTCGCCCCCGTTGAGCTTTCGCTAGGCCATGACGTTTCTTCGATACCTCACATTTTTCCTTTCTGCGCATGATACATTCGCTCCTCCAGCACAGGAAGTGCTAGTACCTAAGGTACCAGCAAGAAACAAATATTTCGACATTCAGGTCTGTCTCAAGTTGGAAGATTTGAGAGCACTTCATGAATACGAGCCGTCCAGGCGCACCGCGGTGGTCGAGGAAATACAGTAGAAAATACTCTCCCCAGCTTTGCGTGGTGAGCGAGACAGTCATCAAAATTTAGTATAGATTTTAATCGTGATTTTTCAGGGGACTAATTCATGGCTCTACAACACTTGAGCTTGACAACGGGATCACGAAAGTGCGACTTCTGAATAAATTAGACATAATTCATTATTGATCCAAACCATTCAATGCAGGATGGAACAGTCGCAGTCTGGCACGATGAAGAGATAATTGCAGGAAAATGTCAGGATACAGTACCTGCGGTGAGTAAAATCATTGTCGGCTCTCAATCTAGAGAATAATACATATGATCAGTTTCCGGGTGATCCCGATTTCCCGTATGGATTCTGGCTTTCCTGGTTAAATCCGAGAGCACGCACTGATAAGGTTTTAACTATAGATACGTGGGGAAATATATTGCGAATCTTACGCTTGCCCAACTCAAAACGTTAGATTGTGGATCTCGAAGGCAGAATGATTACCGTACGTGTTCCAATCATTCTCTGTTCTACCCAAGCTTGTTTCTTATTTCTGAGTAGCCTTTCAATTAACATACCCTGGAACGCGGATATCGACTTTGCAGGAAGTGTTCGATTTCGTCTCATGTACGGATCCTGATAGACAGATCCTCTGGAACATTGAGAGTAAAGTCGATGCGCGCTTTCCGAATCGAACGAAGAGCGTCCGTGAATTCGTACAGAGGCAGCACAAGTTATTTGAAAATAGCGGGTATAAGAACTCAATCACAGTGAGGCTTATGACTATCATGACTAGATGAGTGTTCTCATATCAAGAAATCCAGTACCAGAGCTTCGATTGGAGAACGCTGTCGGAGATGAAGGTGAGATTTCAACTCTTGCGAAGCGGTATATCTCTAGAGCTAACGAGCTGTATTCTAATTAACCATAGAAACTTGACCCGACAGTGATAACTTCTGCCCTTATAGACGAGTGAGTATATTACTCAAAGTCTATCATTCTGTTTCTTATTAGAATAACACCCGTAGTGAAACTGCACACAACCATGCCAATGCATCCCTTCCTTCACCATGGCTTGCCGGGCTGGACCTGCATAGCTTTCCTGGTCCTTCAATAGGCGAAAAGATATCTCAAGCAGCACATGCTCTGGGAGCAGATTTCCTTTCGCCATCTGCTGAGTCATACGTGACCCCCAAGCCTGATCCAGCTATGGAAGGATACGTACCTTTTACGACACGAGAGATGGTTAAGGAGGCACAGAGGCTGGGGCTGGAGGTGAAGGTATGGACGGTACGTGCTTAATTCAATTATTTGTCCATCTATTGCTATAATCTTGGTACGTTCCAGGTCAATAGGCTGAACATCGTAGAAGAGATCATGGAATGGGGCATTGACGGCATTATCACCGATCGTGAGTCGTGATCGCATTATTTAATAAGTACACTCTCAAACATTCAATTTATTCTCGTGACTTAGATCCCGACGTCGTTCGGCGATGGGCACAACAGGCATCAATCCCGGTTGCTCCAAAGTATCCGAAGCAGCGCGTTCTATCATGTTTAGCGAAGCACTTGGCTCTTCAACGTGGCGAATCTTGAAAAGCAAATATCCATAGACTTAGAAACGCATCGTTCTTTAGTATGATTATTGCATATCCTGTATAAGTGGCCTAGTTACGAAGTCCTGTTTAGATTGACATTGTGGCAGAGTTGGATAACAAGCGAAACATGAGCCGTCGAGAGCTGAATTGTATGAATCTTTAGCACCGTAGGGTACGCGGAGATAACTCCCCGACGCCACATTCTTTTTCCAAAGTGGGTAAGTGTTTAAAACTTGTTATAACGAGCTACGCACGTAGCTATTTCGCGCTCAATCCTTTTATAAAAAAACTAAGTAGGCATTTCCGCGAAGCTAAACATAGTGCTAAATTCGGTAACATAAATAAGTCTACATATCTCCTTAGACTTAACCCTCTTTGTATTCTCAACTAGTGTAACTACAGTAATTTCGAGCATTGAATTGACGTGTTGATGACCTAATACTGACTAAACGTGAAATGATCAGCAGTTGTATATCACTTTCGGCGAATACCGAGTGAAAACTCGCGCCTCATAATTTGTTCGTTCAAGAGCGTCCTTAGCGCAGTTCTCCTTATTCCTTTTCCTTGTTCTCAGTCAGAAAATTGTTCCTGGTTCCTGCTCCTACTCATTCTTCACTTGATTCCAAGACTTAGTAGAAGAAAAGACGCTCAAGATGAGTACGGTTGCAAGTGGAAAGAAGCGCCCTGCGTCGCCTCCGACGAAGGATATGTTCGACGTTGAAATTCCGGATGATGTGCATAAGAAGCTGAATGGGATAAGTAAGGATATCTTGCGTGTTGAGGTTGCGAACGGTGTGTACTCCGTGGCTCTCATTTCATCTCGCTGTTACTGACCGTAATATCATGCTCCTGTCTGCCTTCCACCTTGCATTTCATTTATCTTCGTGTGCTGTGCGAAATGGAAAACTTCACCAATTGCATATGCAATAACAGAGTTCGCGGCAACCAAGAGGCTTGAACCTGTATTTAAAAGCCGCCGCGAGTTTTTGAAGTCGGTCCCCAAGTTCTGGCCCGTTACGTTGATGAACCACTCTACATTTGTTGCACATTGTCAGCATGCAGACGACCAAAAAGCGCTCATCGCTCTCGAGGATCTCTGGGTCCAGCGTGATGAGACTGAGCGTCGTGCCTTCAAAATCGAATTTGTGAGTTGTTCCTCCTCTTTGACACATTGTCCAGGAGTGGTGCTGAGACATGGATGCTGTATTTGTTGCATTTAGCACTTTGGCGAGAACCCATATTTCAGCGACAAGGTGCTCGTGAAGGAGTACAAGTATATTCCTCCGCCCGGGGCGAAGGACGAAAAGCCAGATGAGAATGGCGTCACGGACTCTCAGGCCGAGTTTGACTGGGAACGGGACGTTGCTCCTCAGGTTCGTTGTTCAGCTATTTCTTTTTTGAGATAGATAAATGAGAAGACTGACCTGCTGATATGCGTTGGTGCAGAAATTTGAAATTCAATGGAAGAGCGACGCAGTGAAGTTGACGAAGTTGAACCCGCGCGTGATGGATGACGGTGAGGTTGTTGAAGCGGGCAGCTTTTTCAATCTGTTCGAGGAGGAGAAAGATGAATTTGATGTGCGTGTATTTCTTTTCAATTTCGCCCTGTGTAGTCAACTAGCAGTACCCCGTTTCATGGCTACGGATCGATGATCGCCGTTGCGCGATGTACATGATGCTGACATATGTTGAATTGTGTTTTATTTTTAGATTGGTTTGACGATCGCAAATGAAGTGTTCCCGGACGCGATTGAATATTTCACGGGCAAAATGGACCTGTCGCTGACAGACGACGACGACAGCGAGGAGGATGAGGAGGACGACGATGACGACGCAGACGAGATTGACCTGGAGAAACCTGAGCCGAAAAAGCAGAGAAAGCACTGAAGACGAAAAATTCTTACTTAGTTCACCGCACGGTTGCCATTCGCCGCAAGCATGCGCCGACGACGCACTTCTGATGCGATGATATTGTTTATTGCAGTTAATTTTAGCCAGTTATATTTGTGTCCCCCTGTTCAGTGTTCCAGCGTGCAAGTTATTTCGCTGCCGAAACTAAGATCTAATAATAGAGATGCCGAGAAGACGTATGTAAGCGGATCATCGTGGGTATAAACAAGTCCGGGTTCAGTGCAGCCCTCGTGAGAGCCTCGAACCTCAGGGCATCTTTTCCTCCAACCAACACCTCTCTCCCCGCAATGAAGCTCGCTCTCCTCGCCGCCGCCTCTGTCTCTCTCATTCAGCTCCCCAATCTCGCAGGTGCCTGCGCAGACCATGCAGCATATGCAGCCCATGTAGCCCGCAATAATTATGCACGTCAGGCAACTTCTACGCCTCCCGCATCTGGATCGACATCTGCTCCACCTGGGACGTCTACGGCCTCGGGTACCGCCGCGACAACTTCGTCCGTCAATGGCACCGCGACGGGAAACGCGACCTCATCCGCGACTCAGATCTCTGTCTCGTTGATATCGACGAACCCTACAGCCATACCCTTAGCGAATATCACAGCGTCGCAGGTCTCGTCCCCTACGATTGCTCTACCGACGACTTTTGCTGCCGGTGCTACTCCCTCGGCCATTTCCAACGCGCCACCGTTGCCAGACAGTATGTTCAGTTCCCTGATACTCCAAAGTCTGTTTTCAATATGATAGGAGTTCTGACGTATATGTTCTATTCTAGTCTCTGGGCTAAATCCCGCGAACTATCCCCCAATGGACAAACCGCCTCCTACTGACTCACCAGAGGTCCAGGGGTGGATAAATGATGTTATGAACAGCGGATTTTCGTAAGTCGCCTCGGCACAGTTCGGACCTCACATTCATTGATGTTTTACTGCGGAAAAGAATCCCCAATATTAGCCAGACGACTGGTACCGCAGCATGCGCTGCAAATCCGGAAGCGGCTGCCGATCAGTCTCGTTGCTGGTGGACATGCGGTGGCTGCACGCGTGATACGGACATCACAGCGTGCCCTGACCAGTTGACTTGGGGCCTTACTCATGACGATGGACCCGGATTCTACACACCGAACCTCTTGCAGGTTGGTTTTCATTCCCGCGCCCTTCTCCGGCCAAATGAAGTCGACTAACCCGATTTGTCATTTTTCAGTATCTAGACGAGAAACAGCTGAAGACCACGTTCTTTACCATTGGTTCTAGAATTCTAGAAGAACCGCATACCCTTCAGACGGAATACATGAGTGGACACCAGATTGGTGTTCACACTTGGAGTCACCCGCCACTTACAACGTTGTCGAACGAGGAGATCATTGCGGAGTTCGGATGGACGAAAAAGATAACAAAGGACATACTTGGTGTGACGCCGAACACGTTCCGTCCTCCGTTTGGCGACATAGAGTAAGTCCTGAGAACGTGGATCATGTTCTCCCAGCCTCACACTGATTTGCTCCCTTGTTCTGGTATAGTGACCGAGTTCGTGCCATCGCCCTGGCAATGGATCTCACTCCGATAATCTGGACACGTATCAGTCCGAGTGCAACTTTCGATACCGGGGACTTTAGCATCCCTGCTGGCACGATCTCTTCGTCCCAGGTCATTCAGAATTTCAATCAGATTATGGGCAACGCGACCACCATAAACACCGGGTTCATTGTTCTTGAGCATGATCTATTCGAACAGACTGTCGAGCTTGCGACGGGATACATTCTGCCAGAGGCCCTTGCACATCAGCCTCCATTCAAGATTGAGCCCGTTATTACATGCTTGGGCAAATCTTTGAGCGACGCATACGTGGAGACGAACGATAACTCAACGAACCCGCCCCCGTCAGGAAGTGAGTTCCGGTTATCTGCTGCTGATCTTGTGTTTTATTTCTAACGATTCATCTTCTGCAGGTCTACAAACAGGTCAATCACAATCTACAAGTGGAGCTGCAAGCGATGCTGTCGGCGTCCTCCCACCCAGCTTTATCTCTGCTCAAAGTCTTCTCGGGTCGGGTATCGTTGGTACTCTCATCGGCGTCGGCTCTCTTTTCCTATGAGAGAAGACCGAGTTAGAAATGCTAACTTCAGAACGATTTTTCCAATTTTTCTCCCCACGTTCGCAGTTCTAAAAGTTTCCGATTGTGATTGACTGAACTTGCTTCCGCGATACATCGGTTCCTTCCTTCTGTGTATCTATCTTTTACTCATCCCTGTCTTTACCCCGCGCGACGCGTGTCTCCTTGCGAACATCATTAACCTAGCTAAAACTATCAGCTTCTTTGTTGTTGTTCTTCCGCTTTATATCCCCTCCCCTCTTACATATCACCATATCACAACATATATTGTCTGATGCTTCCTTCTTCCTTGATGACATTCATGCCGGACCGTACACTATTAAAGTAGGTATACCCTCACTTTCACCATTGCCAGCCCCTATTCTGTTTGTTTCGCCGTTGCTGCGTTTGTTGTTGCGTTTGTTGTGGGAGGTCTGTCTGTGCCGAATGTGAGTCACTCTTTTTGTTTCATCCTTTCAATTGTATATATACTTTAGTAGCAGTACTAGTGTTTGTTCGGAGACTTGTCTTTCTCTTCTCACAATCACACTGGTTTGTGAACAGAACGCTATTTTTAGATTGTCCAAGAGATCTGAAGAATTGAGGGCGGAGATTGAGCAGTTCCGCAACAGTTAATACACAGCATTGCTTGTGAAAAACGGAACAAAGTGACCATACGTATTTCCCCAGCGATCCGGGTGTTGCACTGTATTCATCAATATCTGTTGTCACTGATACTCACTCAGGATCTTGTCTACGTATGTAAACACGGACAAGGTCACAAGGACCCACAGTCGATCCACACTATAAATAAAAATAAAAGTAAAATCAAAAATGCTCTCGTCCCGTCCTTGGCCCTTGGCACAATGGAGGCAAAAGTAAAAACTCTGACTTGCCGAGGATCTTGTCCTCGCGCTAACATCTCACTGTTCAGTCTAGATCTCGTCTCCTTAGCACTTACGCCTTAGCCTTGAAGCTTTGTTCAACTCAACTCAACTTTATCCCTATCCCTAGTTGCTTGAGTGTCATACGTGACGTTAGGTATAGCACATATGTCATAGGGACAAAGTGTTAATTGATTATATGAGGAATCATACAATAGACGAATCAGCTTCATAATAATAAAATAAAACTGTTTCTTGTCCTGTCCTTGGCACAAGGTATAGCATTGGCAGGCCAATCAGGGGGCAAAATCTGACTTGCCCAGACTCTTGCCCTCAAGAACGTTTCTCTGCTCGTTCTTGTCTCTTTAGGCCTTCTTGGCTCACCACGACTCAACTCAACACAACTCCTAGCACTCGAGCGTCATACATGACGTTAACATGAGCACAAATGTATTTGCATGCATAGACGTAATTTTGGTATATAATTCTAAAAAAAGAAGGCCATCCGATTGACGAATCCGCGAAGCTACTAGTAAGTGACGTTGACGGCACCTCAGAATTTTAGGTTTAGGTAGTCTATTCACCACTTTGAGTAATGTGATAGGTCCAAGGCGTGCAAAAGAAGTACAAGAATACTATAGATGTCCTCATATCCTAACTTCTATTACCTTTGAGTACACGTCAGTACTGACTGGATAGATGTCATTAACGAGTCATGACTCTATATAAACCTATACTCAAACTTGAGCTGGTCAACAAGAAATCTCTGTCACAAGACTAGAAAAAGTGTTCAATTATATCAAAAGGAAAAAACAAAATGAAGAAGCAAAATTCGCTCAATCCGATCTGATCACTAAAAATAATTCTACAAAAAAAAATTTTAACAGCGCAAAATCTTCCCCGCTAAATTCAATCAATTTTCCATTCCGATTCACTAAAGCCGGCTCCAACAGAGATCGGCTGATAAATTATTCATCATCCTTACAATCAAATCAATCGATCTCACCCAAATCGGCAAAGCAGACCATTCAACCAAACACGCAGAACGAAAAGAGAAAAAGGAAAAGAAAAGAAAGGTAATGCATTAACGTCCGTCAACCGCAGTCTGTACACTACGAACCCTACCTATATACCTAAAAACGAATTCGCTTGTCAAAGCAGAAAAAGACCTAAAAGGAGAAAGAAAAGAAAAAATAAGGGAAAAAAAGGGACGAGGACAGAGTCGAAAGAAAAGGCATAAAAAGAGCCCTTTAACGAAATGCGAAACATAACGGTAAGAGAGATTCTGCGGAAAGGGTGAAAGGGTAGGTAGTAAACCTGCGTCTAGAGAGAGGCTACGTCGTACACATGTCGAGACGGAAGGAGACGAGACAGGAGACTGGGACGAGACGACGAAGAGGAAAAGGCATAGCTACAGGCTGCTACGATGATAAATGGGAAAAGGGACAGGGAGAATAAAATTTAATATGGAAGTCGGCCGTATAAACACTACGAATGAGAAAACAAAGGGTCGCAGACAAGCGAAACAAAATGTAGTTAAAAAGAGGATGTTACAACAAAACATAAGAATTGCGGAATAATGGGAAGAAAACGAACATGTGTAAGAAACCCGGAAAATAATATAAATGGGTGCATGAACGTAACAACAAATGGACCAGAGAATAGGGTGGATGTGTGGATATGTACGTCCCCGAGTTATAACGAAAATACGAATGGGGAGGAGAGAACATCAAGTATGACCATACAAAGAGAAGTGTTGAAACTCGATGACGCGCTGGCCTGAAAGGATATGACAAGATGGTGGAGTTGCGAGAATGAATCTGCAGGAGGGCAAAAGGATGGAAGAGAGTCTAGGTAGTATAATATATAGTTGAGCATGGATGAGAAGTAGGACTAGTGTCTAGGGTAGGAGATGAGTGCTGAGTCTAAGACGTGGTGGCAGTGAGTAGATGAAATTGCGTAGTTGATAAAATAAAGAAGTAGTCGAAGAAGTGATCAAAGGACGAGGTGGAAAAAACGACAGATATGGCGGAGGAGGTTCATAGGCATACACCCTCCTCCGCCTCATCCACTGAGTCGAGCCAAGAGTGATCAACCATGTCACTTGCACGTGCTCGAGCACGGAAGTCAACGCGCAGCATTGGTTCCAGGAAATCGCAGAGGCCTTGAGCGTCACGGTGTGTGAAAAGGTATTTCTCCATCATCACGCGCTTTAGCGGCCATGGCTTGAGTGTCTTGATGTATCGTAAAGTACCTTGTGAGTCAAAGATTTCACGACTGTACTTTCCGCCCATCTTCGCGTCCAGTGCAAAATCGCCGAGTAGTTCAATGATCTGTGCCATGTGGTCATCATCCTTGCTGAAAAGTGCGCCTTGCGACTGAGGATCAAACAGATACTCTGCTGTCAGCAATTCGAAGATCACACAAGCTGCGCTCCAGATATCAGCCGTGTGATCCCAATCTGAACGACCCAAAATCGCCTCCGGTGCACGATACTGCCGCGTCTGGATATCTTCGGTATAATGCACACGAGACGGAGTAGCATTGCCCATATCCGCGATCTTGATCTCAATGGCAGGTTCCGAATACGCTGGCGGTGGAGTCGGACATCTTACAGTTTCATCTGAAGACGAAGCAGCGGTTCCTTTAAGGTCGGCAGGTGCAGTCTGCGTTAATAGAGAAGGTCCATTATTCTGCTTTGGAACAGGTAATTCCTTTGGAGTAATGAGCAGGCTGGAAGGGATAGCCTTCTCGGCACCTTCTGCATCGGCAGGTGCTTCTATCTTAGACGTCACACTTCCTAATGACGTCGGCGGGGTAGACGATACGAGCGAAGCCGACACAACAGAGCTCGCAACTGACGTAGTGTTGGAATCGATACCGGAGAGCGGCGCGGAACCGACAAGTCCCTTTCCGTCCGATGCGGCACTGATAGGGCTCGTGATTGTTGACATTCGGAGGCCGCCGCGGTTACCTGGACTGCTCGATCTGCTCGAATTGCCCGACGTAGGGCTCGGGAGAGGTTGAGAACTGAAGATCTGGACATGACGGTCTCGGCCCTTCTTAGGGATCAGTACAGTTCCCGTCCGCGATTTCCCGGGAGGCACACCGACTCGCCGACTCGTTGGCGAAGGTGACGTAGAAAGTTCTGCAAGGATGAGAGCCTCGACATCTGGTATCGATATCACTGGGAAGTAAACGAAGCGAATTAGTCATACCGCTTGGCGGTGCTATTTTAAGGGTAGGCATTACTCACTGATGTTCTCGGGCTTAATATCGGTGTGCACGAGGTCGCACTCGTCATGGAGATACTGAAGACCAAGGAGCATCTGTCTTGAGATGGTCTTGACCAAAGAGCGTGGGACACCCTTGGCTTTGTTGCGTTCAATGAGGGCAAGCAGATTCTCTCCCAGGGGCTCGAAGACAATACAGACATGCTGCTCCTCGGGACCCTGATGCATGAACGAGTCAAGGAACGAGACGACGAAGTTGCGGCCAGGGTGCTGGGGGTTAGCAGCCATAACCTTGCGGAGAAGCTTGATCTCATCGCGGGCAGTCTCGGCGTATCGACTCGCCGACTTAACGACCTTAAGCGCCGAATGTCGATTTAGCCTGATCGAAGAATGTCAGTAAGGCGACAGCGCCCAATGAAGGCTCGTGGCGTACTCGGTGTCCTTGATCAGCCAGACGGTGGAGAAGTGACCCCATCTGTGTGTAGAATAAAATCAATTTCAAAATCGAAAAACCGGAGGTAATCTTGCCACGCACCCGAGTTTACGCTGAACGACATAGCGGCCGTCCTTGAAGGTGTCCTTGACCTTGACGGCGAGATAACCTCCCGAGTTGTAGTCCGCCGCAGACTCCTCGTCCCTACATTCGACCTCTGCCGGGACTGGCACGATCTTCGGGCCGGCAGAGGTGACGACGTACTGATACTTGGCGCACTGTTGTTGCTGTTGGTACTGAGTCGTCTGAGTTGTTTCAAGTGTGGGAGCCATCAACGAGTTTGAATCGACGTTAACGAGCGGTTGGCAGCGAACGGCTGCAGGCACAGGGTGGAGATTGGACGTGTCGCACGAGTCGATGGGGGCGGACAAACTCGAGGGGCGAGAGAGTGGAGGTGGAGGATGAAGAGGGACGGACGGTAGAAGTATTATTTACGACGGACCGGATTGGTCCTTCTTTCGCCCGTGTTTTCGCTTGTTTGTCGCGATCCGGCGTTTCCCGCGCGTCCTTCGGTCTCGTCCCTTTAGCCCGTCCCTGCGGTCTCCTGTTACTTTGCCTCAATCATCAGCAGTCACTCAGGCTTGCTTTGCGCTTTGCCTGCCGACGACTCCTTTGGAAATTGATCTGCCTATTCCCCTGCACCATCCCTTGCCCTTTCTACATCAGACACTCTTTGTTGGCCTGAGCAATGGGACACGTACCCCTCTACTTCTCCTGAAAGATGTCTGGATAAAGGAAAAGACCTGAAAAAACTGGTCCTTGATCCCGGCTCTTCGATCAACTACTTGGCCCGCGGAACTTGTAGACGGGCCCAATGCAGCAATTCAGCTACTATATTGCCCCCTAAATTACTCCGTTTCTCCATCCTCATCGACCGCACCCACGCACATGTGAGGAAACTGTACAATCACAAGCCGTTAGCCCAAAGGAAGCCCGCGAACGCCATGTTCCGTGCCTGAGCTGCGCGCTTTCCGTTACGTCCGCCCGAAGTACTTCCAGCACCTCGCGGACATGATCGATTCTGCGGAAGCCTTGATATTATGCAGCCCCTCAGCCAGCAAAGCGCTCCGGATATAACATATCGGAGCTGTGCATTAGTATTTCCGTTCAATTCGGCGCCTGTTCAAATAGATTCCGAAGTAAAAGGTGCTTCGCTACTAGTTCCCTCATTTGTCTGTCTGACTTTGCCTCCGATGGGTGAATGTCCCGCAGTATACTTGAAAACTATTATTATTACACCGAGGAGTAAAACCGCTGTTCTTCGCACTTGCCTTCTCCATCCTTGAATGGCAGTCCTTGTAGGTGAAAGAACCTAAACTCCTAAAGCTATTCCAGCAATTTAAAGTTGACTCATCCCCAGGATTTCACAAGCAGACATCTGTTTTCCACTCCACCTGTGCATTTATATTAGAAATCCATGAAAAGAACAGAACTCCAAGAGCAAAGAACGATGTGAAGAAAGCAGAATCCAAACCAGTCCGCAGCCTCCTATCTGTCCTAATCGACCCTCTTCTTCGCAAACGTCCCCAATCCGATCTCCTGCGCATGCACACGCTTTTTCGTGAACTGCGACTGTCGCAATCCAGGCGCAGCGACCAGCCCTAGACCGCGACCATGTCTCTTGCCTTTGAATCCAGGTCCGTTGTACTCTATCAGGTCCGTCATCGGGTTCAGCCGAGGCCAAGAGACATACGCCACTCCGTGTGCCAAAACAAAGCCGATAGCAAGAACGAATAGGGACATCCATAAAGCAAACCAGTAGGAAAGGGAATAGTCTAATGATATGGGTGTCTGAGTGGCTGAAAGCGGCGGATCATGGAGGAACCCACCAGAAGATCGTGGAAGCGTCAGACCAGCGCAGATCATGAACAAGGAGAGGGACACGAGCGTCGGAATCTATATGTCACGGCCCGATGAGGGAGGGAATGTCCTCTCAGAATCCCCCCGGTTGAACGTGAATGAGAGGAGTACGTACAGCTCGAATAAAAAGTGGCCGTGTGTCCAGGCAGAGGTTGCCCAAAGCAGAGCGGCCCCGTTGTGGCGTCCATCCACCAGTGAAGAGGTCGAAGCCGTCCTGAACAGGGCACAAATGGCATGCGATTAATTATAGGAAGGATGAGAACGCGAGAAGTCAGCGAACAGAGGCGTAATCATCTGCGTGCTGCGCGCAATACTGACCTGTCTCGGGCCGTCCAAGAAATTGTTCTTCAGATAGCGCATGACGGAGTTCAGACCGTCTTCGAGGAGACCATTATTTGTCCGTTTACCGGTTCTCGTATAGTCAGTCTTGAGAGCTCCAGTACCGCTGTACGCTTTTGAAATTAAGTCTGCATGATCTGCCCACACTAGCCGACAAGAACATGAGCCATTAGCCGAGTTTTATCAGCTTGCGGAGTATTGACGAACTGTTTCGGAAATGGTGCATGAAATCATCATACGTGTCCACACTTTCATGCTCTTTGAGTATACCGATATCGCGCAACTGCCTGTTCAGCATCCACTTCGCAATAGCAGATTGCGCGACATTGGTCCGATCAAGATTGTCCATACAATTTGTCCGGATAACACCTTGCTGCAGCTTCGTCGCGTGTGGTCGTTCAGAATCTTCATAGAAATACCTAACGGAAAGTTAGCCCCCATCGATTCGTGTAAGCTCCAACGTACCCATCCCGAAGCAAGTCGCCCTTTAATTTATCGATTAGGAGACTTATTCGGTCCCAACGCATCTTGCTGCACTCAGCATGGAAGTCGAAATACTCATATCTTACTTTAGGTAAGTTCAGCTGAGCAAAGTTTCGCACTCAGTTCGTGTGAAGACTTTGGACACGAACAACCGACCTTCTGGATGTACCTTTCAAATGCCTCCTTGAGCGGTAGTTCGTGGCCCTTCTGGTTAACAAGACTGACAAGAGCCGACTCTCCGTATATACTGACGAGTTCTTGTAAATGGACACGCATAGCAGTTTCCTGCCCAAGTCAGCACAGAGATCTATGTCGAAACTGGGAGTCTTAACTCACTGTATCTGGTAACTCCATGATCTGTAACTCGGGTTTATACCGAAGATTATTGATTTCGGCCCAGTGGAGTGGGACGCTTCCTCGGACCTGGACGAAGCTGAGACGTGTTCCAGGTTCGCCTAAGCCCTTGCCGTTCTTGTCGACAAGTAAGATTTGCTCCGTTTCATTGAAGTTCGCGACATGGCCATCGCGGTCCATGCCGCGACGGAAGTAACGCGTCCCGGCGCGGTATCGCGAACGTCGGCTGATCAGGCAAAGACGCATCGAATAGCCATTTAAAGTCGTTGGCCGAATATCGAAGGCTTTAAAACAGGATCTGAGTTTGCTTCCGGAAGTAATATAAAGAACTGGGCATCTTACTGCCAAATAGGAGAGGCAAAATAAAGGGGCCAATCTTTGTTTTTACTTTAGTAGAGTAAGCCGAATCCCAAAATGTTGTTCCATACCTTCCGCTCCGGATCCGCAACCGCGGCGTCTATAAACCGAGATTGCAAGAACCTAGCAGGGACATTAAGTAACTAGAAACGTACATAGCATTGAATCTCACTTATTCCAAAAGAATCTATCATCTGCCTAGAAAGTGGAAATTACTCTTAATAAATAGTAAACATTACAAAGTGGGATCAATTACTCACAACCTCCCATAGGAACTTGCCATCACTATTATCATTCCACTGCGCCTGCAAGCGACGCGTCAAGTCCCAAGTATAGCTAAACCAAAACAGTCCAGTCTCAAGGTGATTTCGTAGTAATCCCATTAAATAATTTTCAGCTGGGTATAATTCTGGCTCGACGTCCGGATTCATGGGTAGCATTTCGAACTTGGTGGCACGGAAGACTTCGTGGCCAAGTAGTTCGCCCTTGAACTCGAGACCAGTCATTACGACAATGTAGTCGGCTACAAATAATTGGGATGAGAAAAGATTTACAGAGTAGGAAGATGCTGAACTCACTGATAGCTAACGAAATTATTCCAATTATTCCGAAAATATCGGAGCTCTTAAGGTCGACATTATTTACACTAGTCTGGAAATTGGCTAGCAGACATTTCAGGAAAGTAGTAGCAGCTCCAGAGGTTCAGCTCAGACTTACATCCAACTTGAATCTCCCCAGACGTCCTATTTACCGTAAGACTACGGTCCCCACCATCTGCTGGAACGAACGTGTACGTTTCGCGGGTAGTATACCTGAAGACCCTGTCAGAATAAAATATGCATATAATATATCGTACCCACAGATTAAGGCGTCTATATGCAGGATTGGGTGCCATCTTTTTGAAAGTTAGACAAAGAGAGCGTGTGGAGGGAGAAGCACAGTGCAGTACCGTGAAGAGGCGTCAGTTGGACACGTCTAGCAAACTCAGCACGTGATGCGAGAAATTCATTGGCGACATGCATGATCCCTGCAGGCTTTCCGTTTCATTTCATTTCTTACTCCAAAATCTCGCTCGTTCGTCATCATCGTCGTTCGCGATGAAGCTGACCCCAGAGCTCATTGGCCAGTCGCCATCGTTCCTGAATCCGATAAAGGAGCGGCAGCTCGATCTGCGCGGTGTGTTCTTTTCAACAATCGAAAAACACGCGATCTCATCTCTCTTTCTTGTCTGGATTCCTCTTCTTTCAATATAAAGGACATAAAATACCTGCGATCGAAAATCTTGGTGTAACCAGAGTGCGTCTCTCATCTTATCCCCTATGTGAAATTGATGTATATGAATCGGGCTGAACGCGTTGTTTGATTGCACAATACACAGGACCAACATGATGCAATTGACTTTACCGACAACTCCATCGTCGCGCTCGCCAACTTCCCCCTCCTGCGACGTCTACGAACTCTCCTCCTCGCAAACAACCGAATATCCTCAATCTCCTCCGGCTTACATCTCTCAGTACCCAACCTCACCTCACTCATACTCACCAACAACAATATAACGGAACTCGGAGACCTCGAACCACTAAGGGAGCTCAAGTCACTTCAATACCTCTCACTCATGGGTAACCCCGTCAAGGAGAAAAAGTGGTATCGAGAATGGATCATATTTAGAATACCATCACTCAGAGTACTTGATTTCCAGAGAATTAGGGATAAGGTCTGTCGTTGTATACGTCTATCTATTAAAAGCCGAGTCGTCACTGACTTTTCCTTGTCGTGTGATCTCAAACCCAACAGGAACGACAAGCCGCACAAACACTATTCGTCACTCCCGACGGCCTCTTAACCGCCCTCGCAACAACACTCTCCACAACAGTTTCATCAAACGCACCCAAAGCGCCCGTGCACGTCGACGAACTGAAAGCCGCTGCTGCTACTGCCGCAACAACAACAACGCAACAATTTAAAGCAGGGCGTCTCATGACGAAAGAAGAAGCAGCCCGAGTAAGGGCTGCGATCGCTGCTGCGACGAACGCAGAGGAGATCCAGAAACTTGAGCGGAGTCTACGGGAGGGGTGGATACCTAATAACCCTGTTGGTGCTTAACACTTGATGTGCGTGTATTAAAATATGACCCCCCCACCCCCCTTCCTTGTGTGTCTGTTTTTACTGTGCGTTTTTGTCTTGTTGCGTTCGTAGCATTAACCAAAAAAGGCTTCCTACTCACCCCTATATCATATGGGGCTAGTCCGAGACGATTTCACTGAAAGAGTATTAAGGACAAAAACGGGAAATATAATGCAGTATTCGACTATTGACTAGACACAGCGAAACAAAGCAGAAGGGACAAGGCACTTAACAAACACACTTTCAATGTTTCATCATCAACCAACAAACCCACGTCATCGCAGGCCGTTTACGGTCTAGCGCGCACAGAATATCATGTTTACAACCCTCCAAGTCCATACTTCCCAATCCACAACCCATGAAAGATCAACGCAATGACCGAATCCAAATTGAACATCGAAGACCATCCATGAGCCTGTGTGAATCGTCTATTCAACGTCTTCATCTCCTGAGAAACACCTTCGTCGTTGTACGCCTTTCCTTCCTCCTTTTCGAGTTTGTGTCTCTGGAACATGAGTCTATACAGCATCAAGCAAAGAATATCAATTAGTTAAAAAAAATCCAAATTACGAAAGTCATGAGGAGGATTAAACGAAACGAAACAATATCCCGCCCTGTGAATAGGGAATACTATGAAGGGAAAGACCAACCTGCTCGTATAAGGCCCAACAACAAAATGATTCGCCCCCTGCAAAAGCACAACAGCAAGGAGCGTATACGCCTGAATAACATCAACCTGGCGGAACGCCATCGGGTTCGCTCGCACAGCCGGGTGTCCCCAATTCCACAATCCTAGCAAAGCGGAAGCAAGTGCGATGCTGAGTTTGAAGTAAACTGGGAAGGTGCGGTGTTGGAGGGCACCGAATTGTTGTCTCGCTGGGGAATTAGAATAGGAGGATTTAGATTTAAAGAATAAGTTAAACGAATGGGTGAATGGGTAGTAGATTATAGGGAAGCACGAACGCAGGGCTCGGTATGCGATCACACCTGTTCATTCAATGATACAAACGTTAGTTTATCTTGCCTACATCATTCTGAGATAAGATAAGGCTAGAATTACCTCCAAAGAACGTCACCCAAAGAGCTACCAACAAGAAACATAAACGCGTCAGCATCCGTAACAACCCGAACAACTCCTAGACAGCGTCTCAAGGATACTCACACATCCCAAAAAGCCAAGCATACCCAACGAGATACGCTCCCTTCAAGTCAATCAAGTCTTTCACAGTCGAGAACGTAAGTACTTCAGGTTGGCCCATCGTTTCAATGTCGCTATCAACAAGTCTAAGTGTGCTGTAACGTGGTGGTTCAGGTTCAAGAGACGACACAAGCGAACCTCAGTAATCCTGGTGGGAATAACGGGTCCGAAGCATCTTAAACGCCCGTTCCCCGAAGAGGATCGTCAGCTCCTATGACTCAATATCCGCTTGCATTTATCAAAGCCAAGCGAATTCTCAGAAGCGCTTCCTAGTGTTCGTGTACAACGTCGTATATTCATACGTACGCTTAATCTACTTATTACTACCTTTAATGCAAGCGGTCCCAGTCTCCCATCATCCCAAGACCCATCGGCCCTCGTCCTCCAATCCCGCGCCGTTTTAGCATCCCACCGGGCATTCTGTCGTCACGACCTGGACCGGAGTTGAGGACGTTATGTTTGTCAACGATCTGTATATAATCAGGTTGGATGATCAGTGAGGACTTGCGTGAGTAGAGAAATAAATAGAACGCACGTCGTTCAAGGCATTTGCGGAACTTGTTAATGCAGATAAGAACGCTGTAAGTTGTACATCTTCGTATTCCTATTAACGGTGATACATTAGAGCTCGAATCAAACTTGAGGAACTTTGATCAACTCACCTTATCAAACTCTTCTCGGAAGTTGGGATGTTCGGACGCAGGCAGCGAGGCAATGAGAGCAGATAACGAGCGAAGAGCTGTATGATCCACTTTTATTGTTCCTAACATATTATCGTTAGCAACAATAAAGAAACCGTCTGTATGTACGTTTGCTGACCTGCCACAACTCCAGCGACGTATTGTATCAAGAGCTGTATGCGATCATGTAACATCTTCACAGCAGCACGTTGTGTCTGCAAATGCGACTCCACTGGATAGCAATTGAATCATGTCAAAGGCCAACCACAACGAACGTGCTATTGACTCACAACTCGTTCCTCCTTCCCCTCCCTTTGCAGTCCAGTCCACAGCTATTCGTTCCGCTTCTCCCGTCTGGACATTAAAGCTAGCTTCAACAAACACATTCCTCGTCACCCTATCGCGAATCTCAACAGTTGGCTCATAAGCCTTTATCGGTAACGAATGGCCGCCTTCTGGTCCTGTTTCACTCGTGGGTTGGAGTATCAATAGGATAGGGGTGCTCGTGTATTCGACGAACTGGATAGAGAGTGAAGAGTAAAGAGTTAACGAGGTCAACGTCAATGTGGCGTACACACAAGATACATGCGTTAGGGACGTACCTGCTCGTGTAGTGCGATATGTTGGGCTGCTGCTTCTTGTGCGACTGTGTACCATCCTATAAGCTCTAACGATGGGAAGACTTGTTTATCTAAATAGTGGCGATATAAGTTCGGACGCCTCGTGTACTCGGGGCTGTATGGAGCTACTTACATTGATCCCTGCGCGATACTAGAAAGCCATGATCGACTCTGAGTGACGACTCGTCGTCCATTGCGAGTTCGAACGTGTTGACTATCTCCACTTCTCGACCATTTTGAGTGCCCAGTAAAGCTCCGATAACTAGGATGGGTGTGAGCATGGCGACAAGACATTCGTGTATACACGGCGTACCGAATGGATTATTCGTGTTATTTTGAAGCTTAAGTCGTGTTAAATGTTCTGAGATATTTAGAATGGGTAAGGGATGTCTGACGATGCACGATGACGCCCAGAGGGTTAGTAGTGAACACATTCATTGAGGGTAGATGCATATAGAGAACTTACAGAGACAAGGAGAGAGTAGAGGTGGTGGATGATGGAAGAACCACAGGCAGGTCGTCAGTATCCATTTTGCTCATCTTGACTGTGCGCCGATGCGACGAACGTTAAGACAGGCGAGATGGCGTAGGTGTTTAAGATGCTAAATGGCCCGCGATGGTGGCAGTTACGCGTCGATCTCAAGCTCAAGTCCGGCGCGCGCCAGACGCGTGACGTGTCTCTATTCTCTCGTACCAACTCTTACTCGAAGGACTGCCTCTGGAAGACATGTCCAATGCAGTGCACTACGCTTTATTCTGTGCAGCCAGCGTTATCCTCTTGAAAGAGATAAATAGCTCTATCACAGAACCGTACATGGTGCGTGCATGACCTTGCTTTCGATTAAGGTGCTAACAATAACTGATGCATTGTGCAGGATGAACCATTCCATGTACCACAAGCACAAGCATATTGTCGCGGAGAATGGTCGACTTGGGATCCAAAGCTAACAACTCCTCCTGGACTGTAAGCGTACCATCAACCCCAGCATTGCACAATTACTCATTCATCCCGCTACTTTAGATACATCCTAAGCGTAGTGCTCAGTAAATTATTCCTCTTCAAGTGCACTCTCCCCATATTACGCTTGACTCCTCTCCTTTTCCTGGTGTCCCTACCCATAATATATACACGCTTGTTGAGCCTTCAACGGCGTGTACGCCCGCCAAATGAACTCCTCTCACCAACTGCCGATGCACTTGCGTTGTCTCTCTTCCCGATTGCTTGGTTCTATGGCTTTCTGTACTACACGGACGTTCCGAGTCTGGCGTTCGTACTTGGCTCTGTCGTAGCTGCTTTTCAGGATTATCACACTCTTGCTGCTTTGGTGCGTTAAATTATTTATATTCAGGTCTATTCAAATTTAATTGTTGATCCGAAATAGCTAGGGCTCATAAGCTGTACATTCAGACAAACGAATATAATCTGGGTATTATACGCATTTGCGTACAGTCAGCTAAGAGTACTGCGCTATCAGCGTAAATCTGCGGATCCCGAGTCCAAATCAGCTACACTCTATGACCCACCAGCTTTGGAAGCCAAACCATGTATGCAGAGATTTACATTTTATCTTTGATTTCTTACTTACAATCACGAATTAGCGGACTTGCCGAAAATCCTACTTAGCTTGCCTCATGCCCTTCCACAAGTTTTACCTCGCGCGATACCTTATGTCATAGATGCTATTATATTCGCCGCTTTCGTATATTGGAACGGCGGAATAGTTTTGGGTAAGTGGATTTACCAAGTCATCCAAAATTTAAAAATGAGACTAAAATCGACAATATTTGAAGGTGATAAATCCAATCACATACCAGCACTTCATATTCCGCAATTGTATTATTTTGTTGGCTTCACGATAGTGTTTGGCTGGCCAGCACTTGTCGGTGGACCTTTAGGCGTAATCGGGTTGTTGAAGGAAGTGAAGACACGAATGTTTGGGAGCAAGGCGTGAGTATGCTTTCTTCATCCTTCTGACATATGCTCATTCGGTTGTAGACGTGCTGTGGTTAGTGTCTTGACAACGTTAGCCGTAGCCATAACTATCCATTTCTTCACGTAAGTTACTTATCAGAATATTCCGCGTCTGCAGAAGTTAACCAGTCTGCTTAGGATACACCATCCTTTCTTGCTTTCGGATAATCGACACTTCACCTTCTATGTATGGCGACGTGTCTTCCGGTATCATCCTGTGGTTCCGTACCTCTTCTCTCCAGGATACGTAGCTTGCGCATGGGCCTGGTATATTCGCCTTGGTAAGAGCCTTTTCCAAGCTCGCCGCTATCGTCAATTTTACTTAACTTGTTCTCAGGCTCAGACCAGACGTTCCTCCAAACCATCGCCCTCCCATTATTCGCCATACCTACATTGGTAATGACACCTCTCCTGGAACCACGATACTTTATAATACCCTATGTGTTACTAAGAGCGCAGATTGTCGACATGCCCAACTGGGTAGTCTGGGGCGAAGCGGCGTGGTATGCTCTAATAAACTGGGGTGCGATGTATATTTTCTTGTACATGGAACGGGAGGGAGTCGGACGCTTTATGTGGTAACAGAGCGTACTCTAATATTAATATTAATATTAATAGTGCCTTTGTATTGTGCTAAAAAGATAATCCAATCCAAGAATGCGGACGCAGATTAGCATATTCTGACTCCGTGGTGCAGATCATTAGATGCACGTGCGCGACACGGCTAAAATAGAGTTTGAGTGCCGTGGGAACAGAACCCCTACGCGTTCAACGTTGGTTTCAGCTGCTTTGGCGCGCGTAAACACACACACAACTCTCCTCAACAACACCAGGCGGCCTAACAACACAAAGTGAACTTTTTTGCACTCACACACAACACATAAAAGCTGACATATTTTCTGTGGCTCTAGCTTACGATGACATTGAAGACGGCCGCTCCGCCTCCAGCAGAGGCGGCGAAGCCCGCCAAACGAACCACACGCAGCTCTATTCGACACTCACTTAACCTCGCCTCCGTCGGCAAGGCACTCGCAGATGTCATGAACAAGGAAAAAGATGGAAAAGACACAGACCGCAAGAAAGACTCCACACGCAGACAGTCTACATCGTCGTTGAGCTCAAAGGAGACAGCGGCGCGCCGAACAAGCACCATAAATGTCTCAAAGAGTGGAAACACCCTCGAATCCGTACCCGAAGGTCAGGCAAAGGGTGTTAACTCCAGTGGCAGCACGCCTGACCAGAAGACTGTGACGGCTACAAGGCGGATAAGCTCCTCGTTGCAAAGGGCTGGAAGGTCATCTGTTGACGAGACTGGCGTGAAAGTCACGAGTGCTACTATACCTTCGCAATCGGCCACGGTCAATAACCGCACTACAACCACATTGCGTCCACGCAAACCTGCCGCTTCTGCTACTAATGTTGCTGGTGCTGCTGGTAACTCGGCTCTCCCTAAATACAGACCAAAGTCCGTGATTGTGGAGGGCTCACCCAAAGAGACCCTATCTGCCATTCGCGTTGGTACGCGACGGAAACACAGTGTCTCTGAAGAGGACAAGGATAAGGACGATAAAGACAGCACTAGTCTAGAAACGAGCAGCTTGAACGGTGCCTCTACCGAGATGGATAAAGCGGCGCGTCCGATAAGCCCTATTCCGCGTCGAGCTTCAAAGTCTAGTGGCTCGCGTTCAGCTAGCATTGATTGCGGTAGACGATCGCTTTCACGAGATGCGAGGAGTTCGCTGGACCGAACTCCAACTACATCTACGCCTCCTCGTCCGAAGAAGACGCAAAGACCGTCTTCCTCACCTGTACTCAAGAAATCCGGCCTACCATCTGGCTTACCACGTCCTTCACCTCGCGGGGACACCTCGTCAGCATCCGGAAGCCCACACACACCTAGTTCAGCTAAGAAACTCGTATCTCGCTATTTACCCGGAAGTTCCAGCAGCGGGCGCGACAGCCCGAGTCCTTTGCGTACCTCGGCGACTGCAAACACCCATGCGCGACGAAGCACTATTACGAGTATCAAGAAGGATTCGATTACCTCATCATCGGACTCGAACCAGAACACGCCTACTGCTCCCGTACAGTTGAGCTCCAGCACACAGAAGGAAGTAGGCAATGACAGTATAGACGATATTGAGATGATGCTTCCGGCAGTTACTTCACCATCTGCACCTACACCCTCTATTCCGAGGATCGGGTCCGTCTATCAGGCACCTGAACCTCCAGACCTCGCTCGTCACCCCTCTTCCATTTTGGATTTATCATTGAGCTTGTCAACACCGCAAAGCGAGAGGCTATCACTCCCACCTTCGCGGCGAACGACACCCAATCGACGACCCGCAGCCGACAGGAACTCCACCGTTGCTTGGCAAGCGTTAGCAGACCTGTCACTTGAGATTAACGCAGACCAACTGCAGGGAGGGTTAATCACTGAATTGGACTTACCTTCTACTCCTCTCGGGCTTATTTCTCCTAGTCCGAGTATGATGAGGCTGGATTCTGAGGATGGGCATGAGAGGTGTCCTACTCCTCTGAATCTGGGTTCACCGAGTAAATACGCTTCGATCTCGCAGTTGCTACTGTCGAATGGGAGTGCGGGGTACCCAAGTGCCGCTCCCCATCTCCTTCCCCCCAACAACAACAAAACCAGAAACAACTTGAATAGGAAGAAGAGCACCGAAAGTGACGCAGCAGCAACCGAATCCGCCGTCATCACACTCCTCAAACTCCAACTCGCATCAATGGAGAACCTCGCCAAGGAACGACTCACACAAATCTCGAAATTGGAAGAACAAATGCATGTATTGAAAGAGTCAAGGAAGAGAGACGAGAGAGAGTTGTTGACGCATGTGAATGAGCTTGAGGAGAGGTTACATGAGACGCTTGTTGCTCAACACGAACAACAGCGGTCACGATCGCGTGCGGCGAGTGTTTGTTCTATGCGGAGTACTAATACGAGTTCATCTGCGCGAGGGGGTGATGTGGAAGACTCGTCGAGTTCACATGAAGCTTGTCAATCCCTCCTTGAATCTCGTATCCGCGAACTAGAAGATACCCATGCACACTCCCTTACAGAAGCACTCTCCTCCCTTGCCCAACGCGAACGCGCAGAACGGACTCGCCTCCTCACACACCTAGACACTAAACAGCGACTCACTCTCACTGCGCGCGACGCTCAACAAACCTGGCGAGGTGTGCACGAGATAGCGGAGTGCGAGTTGGAAGCGATAAGTGCGAATCGCGAGACGTTGGATGTGTTGAGAGCGGGACTTGATTTGTTTGAGAGGCAGATGAGGAGTGGTTGTGGTGGGAATGGGAAGATCCCGGTGGGCGCTGCTGCGCGATTTCATCTTGCTTAAGACTATTTTTCCATTTATATCATTTTATCCTCTGCTTTTCGTTTCTTTCCTTTTTCTTTCCTCTACTTTCTTGAACTGTTTGTTACATGCACGTCCTACCCTGAACACGCACATGCACCTCCACTTCGTCCTTCCATGTCTATATAATGTATCTTATAATATTGCTTCCACCATCTTGTCAATCCTTTCCTTAACTAAATCCTTATTTCATCTTTTCTTGACGCTTACGTCTCATCACGATTCCAAATGACATCCATGAATATTCTTAATACACTAGCTGTATCAATAGTTATGCACTGTGATGATGATGATGATGGGCAAGAGTGTAAAATACAGTTTCTATCACATCGATGTAAATGTACTGTACAAAACAAAGGATGTACATAATTCTACTTGATATAGGATAGGGAAAGCATACCACAGCATAACCAAGAAAGCATAGAAAAATAAAAGAATTGGCACGACTTATTCGAAGCGTTGTGCTGCTTCAACACAAGAATCAAGGAGACACGCGTGGTTGTTCTCGATAGATGCTTCGGACAGTCGTTGTAGGACGGCACTGCGCATGTCTTCCGAGCTAGATATACTCGTTAGTGGTACGGTCTTCCGAGAGGAAAACTGAAAACGAACTTAATCTTTCCATAAGCTGTCTTCACCTCAACTTGAAGTTTTCGAATCGAGAACGGCCAGCTCGAAAGCACCTCCGGATTAAACATAAACCCTACGAGTAGCTTCGTCTTGTGCTTATGTATCAGAATCGACGCAACGGCTTTAAGCCCTATGGGCGTTCCATCGTCGTCCTGCGGTGCAAGAGGTTCGAGCGTGAGTGGGTACTTGATCCCTAGGAACGTAAGTTGCGTCCGAATTTGCATGCAGGACGTCCAGAAGTCGCTCATAGCTTCGACGATCTGCATGAATGTTAATAAATGAATGAATGAATAGAGTTAATCCTTTTTTAGCCAATACACATTCAACGCACCTTTTTAATGGACTTAGTCGATAAACTCCGCGCGAACGCTTCGCCCTGACTAACTGCGAGATCGCTGAGAAGCGGGAACGGATCTGGCCTCTTCTTAGCGTATTTAAGCTCTTCGCTTCGATCAACGCGGGAGACGGTTATTCTTGGAATGGCGGGCCGGAATTTTGTGCACGGAATTGAAACAAGGTACAGATCGGTGAACATCAGTTCGACCAACGACTCTGACGCCCTTGATACGCGCCATGAATGAAGGACTTGCAAGCATTCAAGCTCGTCTGCGTAAATATACAAAACGTCAACATTATTGGCCTGAAGATAAGTGACGGAAGATAAAATAGCCTTACCTTTGAGGCGGAACACTTCTGCGCGTGTACTGGACTTGTTATACGATATTCGTCGTTCTGCCGCCTCGATTGCCTGGACATTCTCAAGTCTCTGTGCCTCGAGCTCCTCGAGTTTACCCTCAAGTCGCTCTATCTTTGCACTTCCTTCAGTGACATCCGTTTTGTATACTTCAAGCAATTGGCTAGACAACAAATATCATCAATATTGTTATATAAATGCAGAGACCCAACATACTTTTGTTCCTCAATGGCGATCTTAAGCTCTTCAAGATAGTTCGGATCACTATTCTCGACTTCTTCAATATCAGTGCGCTCCCTTTCGAGCTGAGCTTGTGCCTGTGCATGCTGTTGTCGCAAAGCAGGCAGTAGAACCTGTGCTTGGCTGATTATGCTCTCTAGAGCATCTCGGTCCTGTGAGAGGGATATAGTTAGAATGTGTTCGACTACATCACTTGATTCTTTACCTTCTCGAGCTCGGAGAATCCACGATCAACGTTCTCCTGCAGACCCTGGATCCAGCGACTCCTGACATCATACCATCTATCTTTTGCAGCAATTAGCCTGTTCGCCTTGATAAGCTTAAGTTGATGCTTTTTGATATCACTCAGTTTAATGCAACATAATTCAACAGCAAATGCCACCATACCAGAAGTTCTTCCCGGCCTTCTTCGTTTGCTTGCGCAAACTCCCGGAAAAGTACGGGTGTCAGCTTCCCTACTTCATCCTCTGCCTCGCGGTAGATCTTCTCGCTGTTGTCGATGAATGCTTGAAGATCCTTCGTAACTAACCGATACAACTCGAGCTGTGGAACATGCACTATCATTGCTGTGAGGTAGTCGGACATTGACGGCGGAATGGTCGAGTCTAGATAGGAAGGGGAACGGCATTAGTGTGTTTACTGCGGATCAAGTGAGTCGTCTTACCTCGGCGAGCGCCTTGTAGTTGGGACGGATGTATCGTAGACCGGCGGGGAATAGTATATTCGTGGAACTTCACCCCAGTCATCAAGAAGAATTCTTTAATGGATATCGAAGGCTGGAAAACATTTTATAAGGGTCATCGAGCAATAGAATGCGAACGTTGCGACTCACGACATCATCGAACTCTTCTGCAAATTGTTGAGTATCAGAGGAAACCAGCGATCTCCGTTGCACGGTCATTTCCTGCTTGCCGCTGTCCACATTCATTGCATCAGGCTCGGCATCTTTCTCTCCTGCATCGTCAGGCGTGACGATGACAGTCGGAGGAGACAATAATGGGGTAGAGGTAGGGATGGTACTGTTGGTCGTAGGCGCATTTTCATTAGGGACATGTGCAGGCGCTGGTGCAGATGCATTGAACCGTGGATCCTTCGATCCTGATACATTTGGCCGGCCGCTATGTGAGGGGGAAGGCAATCTAGAGACGTTTGCGACACCAGGCGTAAGGCTAAGTCGTTGTGCAAAGTAGTCTGGTGGACGTCGAATGCCTCCCAGACTTTCTCTAGGCACGGGACGGGTAGGTAACGGAGCAGCCAAGGGTACTGCGGGTTCGGTGCGCTCTGCAGGCTCTGGTTGGGCGGGAGCCGGGGACGGATTCCGGGACGGCTGATTCACAATAGTCGAATTCTCAAGAAGTCGTTTCTTCGCAGGACTAGGCTGTGGTGCATCGGTAGCTGTATCGTGTGCAGGCGCCGGACGCTTTTTCGTAGGAGATACAACTTCGAACACCCGGGTTTTTGAAGGAGACAAAGGACGAGGAATTCTCGACGGCGTTGTAGAGGGTGCGGAGAATACAGAAGAAGAGAACACTGATTTGGATTGCAAGGGTGGACGGGATGGATCGGGTGCATTCCTTGCTCCTGGGGATGGGGATCTTTGCGCAGCCGGCCTCTCGTTCTCAGAGCCCGCTGGCACAGAGGGAGCTGGGGCAGTAGAGAACACACTACTAGGAAACGCATTTGATGGCGCTGCCTGAACGGGCGCATTTTCTTTCCTCTGGATATTAAGCGGCGCAGTAGTCTCTGTTCGGATAGGTCGTGCAAAGTCCTCATCTTCCATAGTTCCACTATCCCTTCCAGAGTCGGCCGAGAGTTCAATGTTCGAGACTCTACCCATGAGGCTTGTGACGTTAAGTGTCTGATCCCCGACATCTAGAGATTCTTCCATGCTCGACTCGGTTGCCGTAAAACTGTCGTCAGTAGCGAAGCCGTTCTCAGCACCCAAGCCATCCGCATCCTGGTCTTGGTCATTGATATCAAGTGATGAGCGTGCAGTCTGAAGCCTTGAGAGAGCGCTAGAGAGCTCAATCTCATCATCGAAATCATCTGCTGCTGCTTCCTCATTATCGTCATTTGAGCTTCCACCTTGCATGGCTAAGAGAGCTAGCCATGATTTGCTTGGCGGCTTGGGCTTTTTCAAGGGCTCGCCAACTGCAATAGTGAACTCCATCGGTGCCTCACTTTCCTGCGTGGCCTGGGTATTCGTAGTCAAATCTTCTTCGTTCTTGTCATCCTCGTCTCCTCCATCTTCGGTTGTTTTGTTTTCTGTGGCAGGTGGGGGCTTTATTGATGAACGTCTCCGGGAGGCAAGCGATGAAAGGGATGAGCGTCTGGCCATCTCGTGCTGTTGCGCTACTGAGAGCGAGCGTTTACGATCAATGTTCAATGCAATCGCCTCTGTAATTTCCATGTCCTCATCGTCCTCGTCATCCTCGCCGTCGTCATTATCTGTACCGTCATGAAAGTCTTCGTCTGTTGGAGGAGGCTCGTAGTCCGAACCTGCATTAGCAGCTTCTTGGAAAAAGACAGGATCGGTGGGTGGTTCCGAGATATCGTCGCTATCTTGGTCCATATCCAATGACATGGACCTCTCGCCATATTCCGTGGCGGTGGAGACACGCCTAATAGGCCCAGTGTTACTCCGCCGGCCTGGGTAGTCATTCTCATTGCTGAGCTGGATAGGTGGTAGGGGACGAATAGGGGAGGGTGATGCTTCGGATTCTGGTGGAGAAGCGGGTGTTGGTGACGAGCTTGGTACACCCGAGCTATTGGTATTGTCATTTGACTCAAATATTCTAGGATATACATATTTTAGGGGTCAGTTCATAGTCATACACGATGGTAACTGCTGCTTACCGAAAGCTGGCTAGTGGTGCGAAACTGACGCGACGTCCTAAACTCTTGCGAGTAGTATTGTCAGAAATTTCAGCTGCGTAGTCAATCCCATCTGCCTGTCCGTCCTGTCCTGCTATCTGGCTTTGAGCATTTTGCACTGGTGGCTCGTTCTCTTGTTGGTCGGAAGGGCCGACGCTTGCGCCAAATGTGAATGGTGTAGACTTGAGTATGCTTTTCCGTGGAACGAGTTGTTGGTTTGCCCCGCTAGGTTCCATGCTCTGTGCCCTCTTCCTACCCAGCACCTGGCGGGACGTATTAGTGGATGTTGTCGGTGCCAGAGACTGACGTCGTTGCGGTGGCATTGTGGCCAGCAATGATGTGGGTGTATAAATTGAGTGAACAGGACGCGACTAACCATGGTCAAGACGCGGCTCGCGATCACGTGGTCGACGTTGCAAAGGCACGCGCATGCCACACTGCAGCAGCTCATGTTCACCCAGCCGAGGTCTTCACTTTCTTCACATCACTAACGACTGCTCGACGATGGCAACACGCAAGAAAACAACGACTCGTGGTAATGCCCCAAATGTTGAGGCAGGAGGACCCACTAGGGCTACTCGTGCTGCGGCTGCCACCCGAGTCCCATCGACTATTGAAGCTCCCAAGGCACCGTCGTCGAAGGCTAAGGCGAGAAAGCCAATTACAAGCAGGGATAATGCTCCTCCTCCATCTCAGAAGAGTGGAAGAGCAAAGTCACCGGTAAAGCACATACCAGATGATAACGACAGGGAACCTATAAGGGTACGCTTGACAACTGGTGATCATTAATGCACGAGAGTGCATCTAATAAAGAATTTCGAAGGCTTTCCTGCGCATTCGTCCTAATACTGAAACCAATGAAGATTCCAACACACCTTACCTCAAGCCTTTGTCCGATATGACTGTGCAGATGACTGACTTCTCGGGGAGCAATCGCATCCGAATGCATCCACAAGCACAAGTCTATACATTTAATCACGTTTTTCCGCCTGAAACAGCCCAGCCCGAATTCTTCACCAGAACCACTCTCCCACTTGTTCGGGATGTCCTTCAAGGACAAAATGGTTTAATTTTCGCGTATGGAGTAACTAATTCAGGGAAGACGTATACAATTCAAGGAGGGGCAGAACGAAACGCTGCAGGTCTTTTACCAAGAACTCTCGATGTTGTCTTCAACAGCCTTGAAGGTCTCCACAGCAATGCTCCTGTAGGTCTACTCCTTTCCATAACCCCATTCATCAGCGGTCTTAACCTACTTCTTAGTATCGTCCCATACGCATGTCTGGGGTGGAACGTATCGCAGATGATGATACACAATTCACTTTCCCGGATATTCCAGACGAACAGGCTATCGCGAAAGCTTTCGGAGAAATCTGCTTACAAGGAGTGGACCCAACAACTGTTAAAGTTGATAAAAATTACGAATATTCAATTTGGATTTCGTATGCAGAGGTGTACAACGAGAAGGTGTATGACCTGCTATCGAACAACTCGTCGGAAGAGGACGGCAGCACCCATGTAACACCCCAGAGATCCAGTGGAGTTTCGCGATCCGGAAATGCGAAGCGGCCGCCACGCTCAACAACAACATGGTCACATCTCGCCTCAATGGCATCATGTCCATCTTCTAACGATATTCTTCTTGTCAAGAGGAAAGCTCTTTCACTTAAGAAGGATCCAGAAGGAGGAGGCAAATACGTCGCTGGTCTGAAATGTGTTCGTGTATGCTCTGCAGAAGATGCGAAGCGTGTCTTCCGCGCTGGCAACATCAACCGTCGCGTATTTGGTACGCTCACAAACGCCGTATCGTCACGCAGTCATGGTATATTCACATTGCGGGTCGTCCGAGTGCATCGCGGAGACCCAACGGATGTTACCGTATCGCGACTTTCCATTGTCGACCTTGCTGGTTCAGAACGTACTAAGAACACACAGACCACAGGTGATCGCTTGAAGGAGGCGGGAAGCATCAACAAGTCACTTATGGTGCTTGGTCAGTGTATGGAGGCCATGAGGAGCAACCAACGAAGACTAGCCGCGATGCTTGCAGCACCCGGGCGTGGTGGTCTTGATCTCGCCAATCCCGGTCCGGGTGTAAAACTTGCGATCATTCCTTTCCGTCATAGTAAGTTAACCGAATTATTCCAAGACTTCTTCACGGGAGAGCAAGGAGGACGTGCTGTAATGATCGTCAACGTCAATCCATACGATACTGGCTTTGATGAAAACAGTCACGTAATGCGTTTTGCAGCCCTAGCAAGGGAGGTAACAACCGCGCCTTCTACCGTTCCGAAAGCCAATGTCCGGCAGACTCCTAATCCCGTTGAGCGCGTGTTTTCGGGAAGTAGAGCTCCAGTTCCACACAGGAGGAACGTTACGATACCTACAGGTGGCGCAGGAACGAGGAAACAAAGTGAAGCACACGTGGAGATTATTGAAGGTGGTTTACTTTATGTTTCTCCTTCGTTTTGGGTTACCCTTCTCTGACGAGGTGATATTGACTACAGAGGATGCGGAGTCGGATGATGGCGAGCCTGTTGACCTCTTGGTCGACGCATTGTTCGGGGAGCTGGAAGACTTACGTATTAAGGTGAAGCATTTCATTCCACATTTATATATTATCTGCATGCTAATATTCGACCGTGCAGCTCTACGAGTCAGAAATGCGCTGTGCCGTCATAGAAACCGAAACACGGGAAGAAGTGATGCAAGAAATGGAAGCTCGAATGTTGGATATGGAACGTGTGTTTGCCAGACGTCTTAAGCAAGCTGTTAGTGTCGCATTCGTTCCACCCCTTCAGTCCTCTAATGTCGTTGTTCGTGCTTTCTAGGTTGAGCAAAGCGAAGTCAAGACAGATGCGAAGATTGACATGCTTCAGCAATTCGGTGCTTTCAAATCAAACTCGCGGGTCACGAGAAAGTCAAAAGCTGCAGATACCAGTTTAGATTCCTTTGCGACCGCAAAAACGCACGAGACTGGCGTAACATATGATGTCAGTAATGTTGACAGAATTTAGGTTCTTCGCATACTAACAATACTTCATGACTTAGACCGAAAGTGATGAAGATGCCGACGAAGAACTCTCAGATGACCCATTAAGCAAGTTTAGCGAGTTAGGTGATGCAGAGAGCACGTATGAAGAATCACTCGCTCAATCACCCCTGGCGCACAAAAAGATCTCCAAGACAGGGAAGGATAAACGTCCATCAGAACCGTCCGTTATCGGTTTGCGCGACGAGGACATGGGCATTGATGAATTAGACGCTGACGAGACTATTACTGCTGGTAACTCGACCGATGGGGACGAAGAGAGCGAAGAAGGTACAGAGACGGAAGAAGATGAAGATGAAGATGAAGATGAAGATGAAGATGAAGATGAAGATGAAGATGAAGATGAAGACGGTGTAGATGAGGATGAGTGGCTGCCTGATGCAGAGCCAAAGTCGACACCAAAGGCAGAAATTGAATCAAAGGTCCGGGGTTCGACTGCTAAACCGAGGTCAACTGGGGGTGTCACCAAGCTGCAGAAAACGATGAAAGACATGTCTCTGTATGCTGATGACGATGAAGAGGACGAGGACAATAAGGAAAATAGTCCCGAGCCCAAATCAAAGAGGTGAGTGCTAACAATCGCAGTGGCGACAATTCATTAAAAGCTAACACGGATGTTATAGACGCCTTCCGAAAATTGAGCCCAGCAAAGGTGTACGACGGTCGACAAGGCGCACCAACAATTAATAGATATCCACATACCCATGCAATCCATTTTTTACAATTTAGTGGAACTTTGTATATCATGTGCATTTGTTCTGTTCGATCTCTTGTGTTTTGTAATGTAAAGAGGCGTTTTACGTCATACTTGATCGACGTGATCGGCGCCTAACTTCTCAATAACTCTTCGCTTTTCGCCTTCAACTATACTTCGAACTCTGAATGCTGCCTACACCAGACCTTAGTCACTTGACGCGTCAGGACTACGAACGTGTTTATGAACCTGCTGGTCCGTCTGCAAGTATGTTTCGTGTGAAAAGTCATGATGAACCTACTTTTGTCTATCTTTGTTCACAAATCCGCACAAAAATGAAGAGGACACTTTCATTCTGCTTGATGCACTCGAGAAAGATGCAGAGGAGTTGCGTAATGCGAAACCTAGACTTTGTCTTGAGATAGGGTACGAATAGTTCCTCACTGATCTAAATGCTAAGCTCACGTCTTGTACTAATCGGTCTGGTTACTAGCTCTGGTTCAGGTTGCGTATCAATCTTTGTTGGTCGAATGCTAGGACCGTCCGAATGCCGTACGTCTTCCCATACTTGTTGCAGCGAACTTTGTATCTCAAGAGCTTGACTTTACTTGCATACTTTGATTAAGTCTACCTCTGCAGTGATATAAATGAGCATGCATCACAGTGTACACTTCGAACAGGCCAGAAAAACAATGTAAGTAGATAATCTAGATGTCTATCGCTGAAGTTTGTCTTAACTAGACTAAACTATATGCATAGGTATCCTTAGATCCTGTCGTAACCTCTCTGTCAGATGCATTCAACCAACGTTTGCGAACTTGCAGCGGAGTCGACCTCCTCATATTCAATCCTCCTTATGTACCAACATTTAACGAAGAAGCCGCTGATGCTCAAGAGGGTCGAGACATTTCTGGATCTTGGGCAGGTGGTGCCTTTGGAATGGATATTACGGATAGAGTTCTTGATAACTTGAAGGCATGCGATGTATTAGATCGAAATATTGAAAGTGAGAAACTGAAATCCAACTTTCGTGTTAGAACATCCTATCTCAAACAGGACGCTTCTACCTCGTAGCCGTTAAACAGAACGACATTCCGTCAATCCGTCAGCGTATGCAGGAAACCCAGGGACTTGAAAGTGAGGTGAGGAAAGATACCCTTAAAAACCCACTCATCGTAGACTCCATACGAAGTTTCAAACTGAAATTTACTGTCTTCCCTTTTAAAATAGATCGTCCTGGAACGTCGTGCCGGAAGGGAATACCTCTACGTACTCAAATTCTTTCGGACACCGGACCTCCTGTGCTGAAATGGAAAGGACAAGTTGAATGAATTCACATCACGACGGACACGGGTGTGCCTGGATCGCTTATACATCATACATTCTGGCTTACTGAACTGAAAACGCATGCAGGTACGGATGAAGCACGACATGAGGAACACGACGGATTCGTACATAGATATGTATGAAGGCACGCACGGACCCATGCACATGCTACCCCGTTATCGCACAGGAATCAGCAATGGAGAAAAGGCAAATTAATCTACAGACACGTAAATTACCGTGCGCATAACACCCTGTGCAAAGTGAGAGCAAGTCTGGGGTTCTCCTTCTTGGTGTGCCTGTGCCGTTTCTTTTATCCACGCCCCTCAATCCCTTCCTCGACTTCTTTTTATTCAATGCTTGAAGTGCATGCATACACTTTGCTTCGCTTTCATTCTTGTAGGAGAGCGGGAGGGAAGTGAGGCGGTGCGAAGACTTGGCGAAGAGGGGAACCTTCCAATCTCCACTTATCTTCTTCCATCACCTTCTTTGCCTTCCTTTCCTCAGAGAGACCTGCCACCCGTTTGAGAGTGTCCGACAATGAATAGAAAAAGATTCGTACCTGGTACTTTGCAACCGTCTCCCATTTTTCATCACTGGAAACAACTGTAACAGGAATGAAACGACGCCATTTGTTCCTCTGACCGATAACAGGAGGATTCCCTTCATGCATCTACCAGAATGGCTCGGATCCCAGTATAGTCTTAACTCATTCTAAACTACATCTTTCCCGTGTAATGTTTCAGGATATACTCATGACTTTCAAACCGAGATGTCACCAGATGATGTAGACGCCTGATTTCATAGCCCCTACAATGTTGCAACTTTGAATTACAAATGGGTGATCAAGAATAACCGGGGCAAAGAATCCAGCACAGCACACATGACCTTTTTTCCTATTCCCTCATTGCAATAACAGTACACATTCGCATTGCAGCGTGAAGAAATTGATACAAGCATCAAACAAGTACGAAGAAAGAGGATGGAGTTACAATACTTATCTACACAAGTGAAAGTACGATAAATTTGGAGGAAGCATAACACGCTTCGGCGGTGACACTTCCTCCGCCAGTAAATAAAAAAAGGTAGCAGCAATCCACGTAATCGATATAGACGACGTCCGTAGCGTAGAGAACGTTAAACAAAAGAGAACGACATTCCGAGACCCATAAATTTGAAAAGCGATAGAGACGAGGGTGTTACAGATAATTGCGTGATGCAAGCACGTGGGCGGTTGGACGTTTGGATCAGAGGTTGATGGACTGATTAGAACGGCGGCATAATGTTCTCTTGACCATGAAAAGCCATGGTTCGACGGGATAATAGAGGAATTGTCCAGCAAACACGGAGTTAGCGGTTGGACAGTCAATAATTATCTGTAGTCACTCAAGTCAGAGGCGGACAAGTGAGCAGGCTGTGGGAGAAAATCTTACATCGGCTAGGGAAGAGACGAGAAAACGAAAGACTAGGCACGGCCTTCACTGAGTTTGCTCGCAGACAGCTACCAGGAGTGTGTGCCAGCCTTTGCGTCGCGCTTCCAGTCAGGCGTTCTTGGGTCGCGTTTCCAGTCAATGGAACCGGGCTCAGCATCAGCATCAGCCTCGCGCTTTCGCTCGTTTCCTGCATCACGGCGCCAGTCTGGCGAACCTGGTCCACGCTTCCAGGACGGTGCACCAAGCCTGGCATCTGCATGCGGCGCAGGCATGGCTCCGACAACAGCGCAAGCCACGAAGGCGACGACGACGGATGTTACGCGCATAGGGGTTGTTGGCACGATAAAGTCTGGTTCGATTCACCTGCGCATGATTCGCGTCGGTTAAGTACCATTCCCCCAAGGAAATACACGCAGACATACCAAAAGATGAGGTGATCACAGACGACAAGAGTCTCGAGAACGAGGTATATAAGGAGCTGGGCGGGCGACGGTCGTGGTTGTTGAGGGAAGGGTGTTGAATGCAAAAGCGGCTTGGAATCATTTAAAGCATTTTCCTGCACGGGGACATGTCAAGGTGCCTGGTGATTAGGTGATTAGCTGTGTCCGCGTGCCTGGACCTGGGAATAGAAACCGCGAGTGAGCTAATCCTGATCGGGCGGCAAAGCCGGCTAGCTCGAGCGCTCATTGGTCAAGAACCGATCGGGATCGGCTCCCATTGCCCTAAATCACTGCGGCCGAACCAAGGCTGGCGGGCGTCGATACGGTTCCTATGCCCGACACGGCGTGCTTCTCCCATCGTCTTCATCCGAGACGGATGCCTAGCCACCCGCCACCCAATGACAGCTGGAAGGATCTAGGAGCAGTGCCCGGCGCAACGAAAAATCACGAAAAAATACAGGTTAAATGAAGGAGACAGGTCCAGCCATGCGAACATCGGACTGTCAGGGTCGCAAAATGGCGCATATTGACAATGTGAGCATCCCTTGTAGGATATGCTACTTGCCTCCAGGTGCATGTGGTAAGCTTGAGCTTGACATTGGTCCCGACCTTTCTCCTTCTGGTACCTACACTCGAGTCTCGTTCGTCTTGAACTTGATTCTTGTCGACGTCGGGCACCGTACACCATTCTCGCAAGAAGTGATCCAATAAGTGTCCAGGTGGGCGTAGCGCCCATTCGCACATGGCGCCATTACACACATTTAACCCCTGCCGCGCCGTCATTTATCCCCTGAGGATCGTTGCCGTACCTCTACTAACGTGATGCAGGACAACCCCAGTCGTAAACCTCAGGCAACTTGTCTTGTCATCCAATCCTAAGATTTGCTTGGGTTCCTGCTGGGAGAGAGGACAGAGGATTGTCAGTGTCGGTTCGGATCCAGTAGTTGCTACCTTTTCACCAAGCGTCTGGGCTTGATTTTGACGCCGTCGCTGGCCCTTATCTACGCAACAAAATCGTCAAGCACGGCCGGGACTTGAGATGATCTGCAGAAGCCTGGATTGCGTTCATAGGCGTGGTGCCTTACTGTGACTGCCTTGAATTGACAATTCATTTTTCAACCCCACCTTTGAAGCCATGCAAGGGGGACCAGAAAGCACCGTCATGACCATGCGCTGATGACTGATGCGTTCATCAGAGCCGTCGGTATTTCCGCAATCCGGACTGACCCGATTACCAATTTACGACAAACAACAGGAAATAAAATCTCGGCATCTCGGCGATAATAATACCCTCCGGCTAACTCTAACAGGGAACGTTCTCATCAGCGCCACCGTCGATCACTTCAGTTTGTCTTCTTCTAGCGCGAGATGTGGATAGCGAGGGGCTGGACAAAGATCAACGGAAAACAGACATTGACATTCAACAGCTGACGCTAGCGTGTGCATGTGTTTAGGTATTGTCATCCCGTGTCATCATCATCATCATCATCATCATCTCTACCAAGGATGCGAAGCATATGTCGGGACAGGCTGAACATCTGAACAAGGCACATTGGTATGTGTCCTCATGGAGCATCACGGTTCTAAGAAAGGTGTGTCTTCCTTTCAGACAAGTTCACAGGCGTGTGTACCTAATAATCTATATCTATGCCATCCGGTCATGATACCATACATTCCTATATATCCATACGGATTCAGTCACGGTGTATTTATGGCTGTCTTGTGCCTCGCTGGCATGTTCTAATTGCCTCATTCAAATGGGCGTAACTGTAACCTTCATATGGCTCGGCCGACTTCGGCAAAATGCAGGATCTCCACGGCCCTCACGGGTGAAGGGACAAGTATAGAGACTCTGAGAGAGAGGAAGATAACTCAATCTGACTTTTGGGCTATACTTGCCTCACAGGAGTATAGTTATTTATCAATCATCGAGCCAGGATTTAGGCTGCACGGTATAGTTTTAACCCAGCCTTTATTATTATTCCTTCAGCCTCCATTTCTTCTCTTCTTTATTATATGCGCGGCAGAAGATGGACGCAGGCGGACATGTCCGATTGCAGAATACAGGACGCATACGGATCGCAAACACAGAAGTCAATGGAATAGAATCGAACCATGGACGCCACCTCCTCTCACTCTCCGAGGTAAGTCGACTCCGTCACGTCGTCTGACTCTAGCTATCAAAGTCGCTTGGTTTTCCACATCCTACTCGCCCTTTCTCTGGGGTATCAGGCTTGATGCTGCGGATGAGCAAGTTCTAAAACAAGTGCTGAGGAAGGAAGCTAACTGTAGCATACAGTACAAACTTACAAACTAGATCTACGCACGGCTTGCTCCACTATATACAATAGCAGTACTAGTACCAGCACTTGCCGAGTCGTGCGGCGTCAGTATCAAGTTAAGCTCTAGTCTGAGCTTTATGAGATTGACCACACTTGAGCCTCGTTTTTTAATAGCAACGTTCTTGCCGGTGCTGCGGAGGGGTTCAAAGAAGCGCGACACCAAAACAGACATTCGGATGTCTATGTGTCTCTTTATCTATCCACATATCCAAGAAAAACTTGAGCATAGTTAGGAAAAAGAAGCAAGACAAAAGGAAAATCGTCAAAAGACAAAGCGGAGCAAGCGAGAAAACAGACACGCCAAGTCTACGGAGCGTCCTCCATCGAGTGAACGAGTGATCCACATCGGATCGCAACCTGGATTTGCTACAATAGGGCCAACAAAGGCCTGGTAACGCCGTACCCAAACATGGCGTCTAGCAAGTGGTATTTATACTACACTTGGGAAACTTCGTCCCTCAAGCGCTCACTCAGTGCGAAGGCAACGGAGGTTTTTTCCCTTCATGATCAGTTTTCTTTTCTCCCTTTCATTATTTGCCGTCTTGCTTTAAAGTCACATCCCTTCCTTTTCGTTTTAGTTTCCCTTGAGTCTTCTTTAACCCCTTCTTCCCTTCCCAGATCAACGAGTTGATCATGATCAGTTAATCTGTGCAATCGATCGGATCGTTTCACCGCGCCGAGTAGTCAGTCCGTTCTGGACATGAATAGCACAATGTAGCGTTTAGTTCTGTCCAACTGTTGTTGTGTATAAAATTTGTTGTTCGACGACAGGCGCTCGACGGAAGCAAATTTGTCTCTTCTACTCATTGACAGTCTCACGTGGAGTCTCGATCATTATGATGCTGAAGTACAGACACTAGTGTGAGATCTGGATGGTTAGAACGACGTCGTGTACAACAGTAATATCTAGGACAAATGCAGTGTGAAAGATAAATGGGAGTACATTGCAGTAAGTTAAACGAGTGACAGTAATTTACTAATTACCTTGCAGAAAAAAGTCAAAACAAGGCAGTGCTCAACACATTGTTACACAGCAATGCAGATAAAGACGACAGGCGTGTGCAAGAGAAATCAGCCCGCAGCACACCCAAGCCTCTGGGCCTGAGAAATTTCTACATTGTCTAGTGAAGGGAGCTACTGCACAAAATCGGAACTTTGATCGAAAAAAAAAGTTTAAAAAGAATAAAGATCCGAAGTTCGGAGCAGGACAGAACGAAGCAGGTTGGGAACAGGAAAGTTTGAAAGTGATAACATACAAATCAAACATTAACGCCTTTGACATAATGTGGCATCATGCTGGTCGAAATGATGATTTACTTGACTTCGCAGACGACAGTCTTAGAAGAACAAGAAAATGATGGATTCAGAATTGAGACATTCCGTAAAGACCGTAAGCGTCCGAAGACGAAATTGTATTGACGAAGAGGGAAGTGTATTACGTGCGGGACAAAGTCCAGAAGAAAGACGACCATTTTTAAAAAAGGAGAAACTGCGAAAACGCAACAGCACATTGACTGATAACTTGCAGTCAAATGAAGAAAATGTAAAGTAAAGTGGGAAAGTACTACGAAACACAGAGAAATTTGGCATTGTTAGAAATAATGAGAGCAGACGACAGTGGGAGATATAGCACAACAACAATGCAACTAAGATGTACAAATCTAAAGTAGATATACGTCAGTTCAGTCTTACCAAGTGATGGTCAGAGCCAAAGTACACCCACCCACACAGAATCCCAACTAATCCATAAGCGCGAATCCCAAAGAATGACGATAACTTGACTGGCTTGAAAGGATCCTCATGAAAGCAGTGCGATCACCAATCCTTAACAATGAGGTCAATTCAGCTATTGGGCCAAAATAACATGATTATATTGGCTCACCTTTGATGATCCACCCATGCCGTTCTGTGGGGTACGTTTCCAGTCCTTCAGACGATAATTATTTTCATGTCCATAGACTGCAAATTCGTTTGCTAACTCACCTTTGATGATCCACCCATGCCATTCTGTGGTTCACGCTTCCAGTCCTTTGACGATCCACCCATACCATTCTGCGGCTCGCGCTTCCAGTCTTTGTTAAAGCCACCAAATCCACCTTGCTGGAGAGCCAAGTCTGTTTCAGCGACAGTCCAGTTATGACCCATCAAAGCCACTCACGGGTTCGGCAGCTCGTTCAAGAAGATTCTCGATTGGGACCACCTTGCAGATGCACTCGTGTCAGTCAGCGGATAAATCTCGGTTGATGTGGACATACGGGTGCGGCGGAGACTAGGGCAAAGAGAACAAAGATACAGGAGAAGAACAGTAGGAGCCGTGCAGAAATCATTGTATTGGACCAGTAATGAATAGACAATGTTCAGTGGGGTGTCTGTCCTATGCAACTCCCTGATCTGCGACTAAAGCGGTGGAGACGACTATTAAGATCTGTTGATGAGGCGCAGGCGTAGGCGCTGAGGGTCGTGGGGATGTTAGAGGGGAGATAGAGGCAGAATATCAAAGGGCAAAGAGCCTGATATCAGGGGAAGGAGCGTGTCTGGGAGGGCGGACAGCGGGGTGTGGGAGAGGGCCTTATATAGAGGGAGCGAGTGAGGAGTTGTGGGTATAATAAGTGCGAGGGTGGGAGGGAAGAGGCCGTAAGCCGTGGCATTTGTAGCTGATTCCTTCCGTGCCGGGCAAACCGCGTGCTTCACGACATCTGGGACCTGAACCTTCCGTCAGGCGTGACTGTCGCTGTTCCCCCCTCCCCAATTATGCCTCTTATTTCCCAATGCAGGTTTCCATCTCTCCTTATGGCTCACAATTGAGTTGAAGTGGTGACGAAAGACAAAATCCGACCCTGAGGCAACTTTGTGATTGTCCCGGTGATCGCCACGCCACTTTAGGCTCTTGCCATTATGCAAGCGCGTCTAGCTGTCCGATGTAAATCAGGTCGCTTACCTTTTTCTTCCGTCAACGCCGTTGTCTCGACGGATGGCAGATGTCGTTCTCCCCGAGATATGATGCTATGCGGACACCAAAAACACCACATACGCACGTATGCACTTGCATGCAATTGCTGTCTGTGTTGAGGACCGGCCGGACAAACCCGCGGATATTGTGTGCGCTCCGAAGGCCCCGTCTCCGACATCCGCCATTCATTCATTTACAATTATAGCCCGTGTACGAAATCATCAGCATCGCACACTCGCATTGGCCTGCGCCCATTTAGAGTTTTTTTGTCGCATTCCTTCGCTCAATCTTCACCCCCCCCCCTTCCCGGCGCAATTGTCCTCCCCCGCGCCCCAGTCGCCCTGATTGTCCCTCTCGTGTCGAGTAAGTCCCGTCCTCATAGGTCGCCCGCCCGTCCTTCTCGGCTTCTCGCCAGGAACAGCGGCGTGCTCAGCGACATGCGTTGAAACATGCCGAAGCACCAAATTGGTTTAGTAAATATCGCTGGAGATCAGTTGCAGTCTCGACAACGACAACCAACAGAACACCACCATCGCCGGTCCAGCCAGAGCCATGCGCGCCTGTCAGCTTCCGTCGTCACTATTCTTTTAATTCTCCTCATGGATCGTCTCTCTTCACTACCGTCTCCCTCTCCTGTGCTCTTATCCACTGTATTGTGCACTTCCGCTCGTCTATTCTCGTCCATCAAAGCTTGAACTTGTAAGGCCGTCCACTCTCGGACTGCGCATCCGCAATTGAGGAAGCGCCACAACACTTGGAATAATTGTCCGTGCAACCCGTTTTATAATAGATCAATGATCTTTATGAATTTAGGTCGCCGAACGTGACTTTGTCCCTGCCGAACCGGCCGCATTCTACAGAAAATGACAGTACGACGCAATAACAGAGGCAGCCGTCAAATTATATAACATCATCCGCAGTATGCTTCCCGCACTAAGGGAGATGCGCACGGTGTCATCTCTCCGAGCTGTCTCATGAAACACGCATCATGACTACGTCCTCGATTTCGAGCCATGCCGTATGGTAGGGCATGTAATCGTTTGCATCAGTGATATGCTGTTCTTGTTCGTCATGCTCAAGAGCACATAACATGCGAGGTATGCGCTACCATGGCGTTCTACGAGCCATCTCGGGTGACTGTGATTCGGACCTTCATGAATTGAACGAGGGTTTTATTTCAAATGGTATTCTAGAGACCGTCCTTTTGCATGGGCCTATGCATAATCTTATCATTTCTATTTTTTTTACCCCAGAGCCGTGTTATCACCTCGAACTGTCACGCCCCCACCTGCGGCGGGAGCCGCAACTTTCCGTGCTCCGACAGTGAAACTCCAAGCCCTGTCTAGCTGCTGGTCTACACATCCATTTGCACTCACAATCAAGGATCAAAGATACTCTTCATCCGGTTCAATTCACACCACGCTTCATGCGCACGCAGGCCGGTATAGTCTTCTAGCTCTAGCTTCATAGTTGTGTTTCCTCGGTGCCTCCCCTAGAACCTGTATTGTGCTTTCATCGCATTTCATCTGATACCGGCACTATGCGCCGCATCTCACTTCACCGGTCTCTTCTTCCTAATTCGCATCTTTCGATGCTCGTTTCACCTGGCAGATGATTCAAGCAACTGACGTGATCTTCGCGGTGCCTGTTCGAGCCCACCAGTCTCTCGGCACCTTTCATATTGGTTTTCGACTAGAAGACCACTGCAGAAGACGGCGCTGTTTTATAATAACCCTGAAATGGTGCCATAATAACGTATACACCCAGCTGGACCCTTGGAAGGAACTCAGGATTGGCATTCCAATGGCCATCGGAGGGATAGGCGCAATTGTTTTTTTTTTAGTCCAGTTCAGGCGAACCCACTCTAGGGATGTAACTTTTCTCTTATCTACGAGGGAGCAGCTCTCCATTCGCCCATCTTCTCTAATTTTCTATGCTCAAGCTTCTGATTCTCTATTGCCCTGCCCAGTTTCATTATACCCTGAAAAGTGGCACATGCGCCCTCCGTATCCGACTCCGAGTCTCCTTCCCGACTTCGTTCAACCCGCACTACCGCTCCCGTCCCGGTTCCGAAATCCGGGACTCCTTTTACCTACGAAAGTCAAATTTGAATCCTATCCCCATTCAACTCTGTAGCCCTCTCACGGGTGAGTTTGCATCGCAGAAGTAAATTTCCTGTGCAAGTATGCTTCCGAGGTTGAAGTCTCTTTGGCGTCTTCGGAGCGGAGACGTGGGCTAAACTCTAATATGAAAGAATCGTCCTGGCTCTTCGCCTTGGTCTCCATAACGCTGAGCTTGGGAGCAAGTACATTCCATCTGTCATGCTCTCTTTGCCCTGAGTGTCAGAATGCACCATCGACACTGCAGTATGAATTATATGGCTTTGTGTACGATGGCACATGGATTACTTGGCTGGCGGGGCGCGGCCCAACTACGCACGGACCTGCATAGCCTCCTACATTCAAATCCAAGCTGTCGTTCACCCAATGCGTGAGAAGCTATATGCGCCAAGTGGTGCGTCCCGTCGGCGAAACCCTCAATTTCGATTTCGGCATAATTCCTGTCATCTGCTGCGCTTCAGGTGATGCTTCTAGATAAGGCTCAGGCTTTCAATAACTGGATGGTGAGCGAAGACGCGGATGTAGACGGGACGGGATAATTGGTCTGCTGAATGTATGCATGACAGTATGGTTCCCTGATTTGAGGGAGTGCACCTGGCTGTGGAATGTATGGTGTGCTGGCAGATTAAACTAGGCGGTGACATGGGACGTCCATATCCGCGTGCTCTTTATTCAACGATGACAGGCATGGGCAACTCGGTCCGGTGATTCTCTGTGTATTCCGCTGGCTGTTGCTCAATGCCTCCGGGTCGTTCATTGGCTTACTATGGGCATTGTAAGGGTTATTTAGCATACAGAGACCGCTAGTCACCCACTTCGAGGGCTTCTTGTTGGTATTGTATCGTGTTGCCTACTGGTGCAGCTATAGGAACCGGTTGCTCTGAGACCCTGTGCTACGAGGTTCTACGTTCTGCTCATGCGCAAGCGCTCCACAATATACAGTATGTTCTTCGGTTCCAGCTATTCCTCGCCTGTAAAGACAGTCATGTTCATTTCGCTACTTGTATCAAGCACGCAGTCGCATCCTGCAATGCTACTGGCCTTTAAAGGCTGCGTCGCATAAGAATAGTTATGCGACTGTTCTTCATTGTATCGTTGCTTCGTCACATGAACTCTATCCGAATTCCAGGTGTATACGTGTGATGTCATATGGGTTTGATCTGCTAACCCCCCTGCATGTTTTGTATGCATTGCATAGATCTAAGGATTATCCGTATAGTAATCACTTCTAAGATCCGGAAGTCGTTAAACACGGAACATGGAGTGAGTATGAACCAGCGCCCTATATTAGATTTATCCACCCCCATTACTATCTAGATTGTACTTGAGCACACTTTACGGATTCATATGATGCTTGCTTGAATGCCGCTTTACAGATGCCATTGGAACTTGTATTCTGGCGAGCGACGGCTTCCATTCTGTCCTCAACTTGGTTCAACTCGGAGGATTGGTAACGGCTCAGCATTAGACTTGATTTGGAGAAGATGAAATGTAACACTATTATTATCTCTGTAGTTAGCCAATCTGATAATGACTATTTATGCACAGATGCTGGATAATTGTAAAACAGTTGTTGTAGATACATGGCGTGGAAGCTTCTGGGATATGCAACATGCAATAGCTGCCCGAGCAAATTGGAGACGTGTGAGTTGCCCTTAAAATTCGAAATAATCTGCCAGCTCACGTCGTGCTTTAGCATGTGCTTGTAGCCCGGAATGCCCGAAAGATGAGCGAGTTTGCGATCAATATTAAGGCGATTATTGGCTATTCCGCTACTATACATGCATACTGTTCCCCTTGTTCTTTTCCCGAGAGCGACGGCCCCGCTAGTAACATTCGTATACTAAATCATATCTTAATTATATTAATGCAGTGCAGGCATATCTGTTTCACAGAACAGTGCAGACGGACATAGATATCCATCTCAGTTCGGAAGATGGATTGTTATGATATTAGTTACAAATAACAAAGACTGGGATGGTAGCACCGTCCTCCTCGGGCGTTGGCGCTTCACACTTCTCGCTTCGGACAACACCTAATTCCTTGACTAGTGACGAGAATGGTTAGACGCTTGCCTTTCCAGACAAAGTCTGTTTTGTTGGTCCTTGACGGCGCCGTCGATCACCATAGGTACCCGTCGTGGCGTTGCTATGTTCTTCAACCTTCCAGAAGAGGAAGCAGGTTTTTTGAACTTCCGTAGATGCGTATTGATACTTAAACTTGTATAAAATGGTTACAAATGGCTGTCAAGTTGCTTCTGTGACATGAAAACTACCGGAAATACTGTGGATGTACTTATATGTTCTGCTTCCCAATAAGGATAACGATGCAATAATGAAAATTGTGTCAACTCGAATTAGCCATGGACTCTATACCGAGCTCTTTTGCGATCCGAGGCGGCACGGCACTCAACTGCGCCGGCATGTCCTTCGGATGGCCCTACCAGGTTTGTCATGATTAAGTATGGGCTAATTTTGCCCTTGCAAATCCAGGGGACTCACGTGTAATAGATGATATCTTAGGCCACTCAGCTGTTTGTACTCTTTCACACACCCAGGGTGGGGACATTTATGCACTCGCTTCGTAGTAATGGACGAGTTTCCATCAGGCGAATCCGTGCCGGTAGCGTCGCTTCCAGGGATATGGTCTGCCGACTGTTGTCTACTTGCGGTTGTACGAGAATAAACATCTTGGTAATGAACCTTGGAGCTGAAACAAGTGGCGTATTAGGAATAAGGCATAATAATAGATTGCAAAAGAATCCTCTAACACTTGGAGATGGTACTGCAGTCCATTAATACTCTGCGTCGTGTGATTGGTGCACCGTTTCATGAAAAGGGAAGAGCTGTACTGACCTTCCATCTTTTGTTGCATCCTCTTAAACCGCATCGGAACGGTGCCTCGTCACCGGCACCTGCGTCACTCATGTGTTCGTCCTTGAAGTGACTTAAAAGTTCAGCAGCTGTGGGGAAGCTTAGGCTACTAGCTGCACTACTTGATGACAGGCAGGTAGAATGACCGCAGGCATACGCCAGAATGGAAGGGCTTACAAAAATCGTCGGTAAACACATAATGTTACGAACAAGGAAAGGTACACGTACTCATCCGCAACAGGAAGTGACGATGATAATTTCGGTGCTGCTTTTTCATTCCCAACAAGACCGGAGATGACATGCATACTGCCGATACCAGGGCAGTTTGTTGCAGTGCGCCGTCGTTTCCGCGGAGGCACAACTAAGTCATGGATGGTGTGCTGAGCCAACCTCGGTGCGGGAACGGCACACGGTGAAGGAGATAGAGTGGAAGCAGCATGGGCCAATGTCCCCAATGAACTGAGACTGAGATTATCCGTTTCATTTATGATAGCACTTTCTGTTAATGGAGAATCCCTAGAGTCTTCCTGTGCACAGGGCATCTCCTCAGACGTTCTCCGTCGTTCAATATTATCTCCGTTTGGAGGAGAATTCTGCGTGATTTCGTCATAGAATCGGAACGCATCGTCATTCTGCTGCGCATTACAATCGATATCATCAGGAACATGCATCGAAAGTGGATAATGAGTTACTTCTACATCGTTGGAACACGACATATTCGAAATCTGATTATCGACGACTCGATTAGTCGGTTCTGGTAGTTGCGAATCCGGCCCGAGTTCATCAGAAGACGAGGAATATGCTATCGCTCTCACGGAAGCGACATTAGAAAAACCCGTTCCTTCTGCCGTCGCATTGGGACCTGTAGTTTGCACAATACTCGCACGAGATCCGATTGATCCAGATTGAGTGGAATTTGAGTGAACCGGAGAATCTTCCAACTGTTCCTCACTGATGCCCGCGAGAGCTATCTCCCTTTCGGAATGAGGATACTGCAGTTCACGGAAGCTGACATCAACGGGGTCGATAGCAGCAGCCGCCCAGTATGAAGGGTCACCATCGGTGAACAACGACCAATCGTCCGTCGAAAACTCAGGAAACGCATTTTCGTTGACCGGCGAAGCCTGGGTCGTAGTATTCTGTCGGGCAGCAGCATTCCTCTTGCGCTGGATCAGCCTCCATCTGTTACGACACCCTAGACCGCTACGGCGAAGTTCCTGGCCGATGAGTCCCCATTTCGGATTTGTCGGTCCACCTTGGCGTGCTAGGGCGTCTAAAAGCCGTGTGTCCTCCTCGTCCGTCCATTCATCCTTCTTGAGGTTAGGGTCCAATGCCTCTCTGTACCTCTTTGAACATGCGTCATCTGTCCGCCCAGGAATTTCGCGAGCGATCTGGGACCACTTATTGGGGAGCTTCTCGAAGAGCGACAGAAGAAGCTGATCTTCCTCCGCAGTCCAAGCGCTCTTTTTCACGGACGGCGAGAGTGAGTGCAGCCAACGCTACGTCAAATTGCATGAGGAGTTTACGGGACAAGCACGACGTGAAAGCACACCTTTCTGCACGCTTTGTTCGTCCTTCCAGGGACTGAACGTGCGATCGTCTTCCACTTCTCCGTGTTATCGCCATAAATGCGAACAGCAGTCCTGAGAAGGTCATCTTCGTAGGGTGTCCATGGCCGACCACAATTGCCGTGCTTGCCCATCTACATCGGTCATGAATGCACGAGAAAGAGAGACACTAGAACCACAGAAGCCTGTGTACACGAAAATCACTTGCCTTTTTAGGCTCCACTTAGTGCTTAAGCACACTACGTGATACTCAACACACTTACGTCCATCCTCATTTCACAATCGTAAGAATGATGAGTTAAAACACCCCATTATGACACGATTATTGTCGCGAATCTTTCGTGTGTGAGAGTATAGACACGAAACATTCCTCAAGGTTAGAATAGAAGCACACCCGTGCCCTGAATATGATAACAGTACGAACACCTCTTCTCCCAGTGTTCTTGATTGAGTGAAGACTCAAGAATGAACTTTCTAAACTAACGAAGAGTTTTGGCGGCTAACGTTAAAAAGACCGTCTCACAAGAATGCTGGCCCATATGCACGAATCCTCCGTGGATGCGAAGCCGGTAAATGAAGGGAAATAACGGCCAGGAGTTCCTCTCTAGTATGAAGATCCACTCGATATGGACATTTCTGACTGTGTTCTGCGTAATACGCTGTTTAGCCGCCGCAAGAAGGTTCATAAAGGAAGCGACATGCGCTGTGAAGAGCATGACTATGATGAGGAATCCCTGGAGAATTTCCGCCGACCGACCCCCATTGGCACATAGCAATTGGTTTCATGACGGAAGAAGACGATCTACCCCATATAAAATTGAGGATCGTCGCTTTCAGAGCATGATGGGGATAACTTAAATTTTGAGTAAAACTTTTCCTCGATAGTTATACATAATACCAAAACTTGAGAGCATATGTCGATGAAGCAGATTCAAGCTAAGGTACGAGCTGATGTATTCCGCGGTTGTAGAAAGTAGGAAACATGATGCCGCACTATGAGCATCAAATCCTTGTTGTAGCAAAAGTAAAAGGACGGAAGGGGTCGATCTGGTCACCAAGCGAAGGCACTTCGTTGGGCGTCTCCGTTCAAGAAGCCAGTCCGAAGCTGAAATCATTTCCGCGCAAATGGAACGAGAATACGAGAGCGCGTATTGAACTACCGAGAAGTACGGGGCGATAAGTGCTCTAGATCTTCAGTGGGTACAGAATTTGTCTCAAGCACTAGTACAGTGGACAAAAATCTCTGGGCCTCGATCATCTTGGCACCAGTCAGTTCTTCCTCAAGTAACTGCAAATGAAAGCGTCCTAGTGTGCTTCCACTAATGTCATCCAGCCTCAGCCTCAGCGTGAATATAGAGTGGTTCACTGGGTTCATGTCCAGCCCGAGATCATTGACTATTGCTGAGTTACTGAGTCAGTCTGGCTTCCATCTTGATATTTATCGAAGGGAGTAACTTTGTATTTGAGTCTATGCCGATTAGTGATAACGTGAGCTATCATCTTAATACTTGTAGGAGGAAGAGATTTGTCCATGCATATTCTAGGGATGTTGCTGGTGAAGGAGATCCAGGCTTATAGTAAGTGAGTTGTAAAGAGTTTACGAGAAATCGGGGAACGATGTTGCTACTTGCTTTGCCTCTAAGTCGGATCACGTGATAAAGTTACCTTTTCAGGATAGTATGATCGGCGGCTCGCAAGTCACCGTCTTCGTTGGGACATTTCGTGGACTCGTATTCTGCTGCTTAACGCACGGTATCTCTTGCTCCGGAAAACATACTTTCTGTTTCCCACACATATTCGAGGTGAAGCTATGTCGCTTGTTCAAGGCTACTCGTCAGACGAAGACGACGCTACCATGTCAGCGTCTCGGGACGCTTTCGGCATCTCAGCATTACCTTCTGCAAAGAAACCGCGTATGGAAGGCACTCGAGAGGAAGAGAATGTAGAAAACGTTGAAACTAGTGCACCGGATGTCCTCGCAGAGGTGAGAAAGCTCGTAGGTAATCTATGCAAATGATTCTGATGCATTTGGAACCAGGACCCTTTGAAGCAAACCTCACTAGTAACGCGACCAACCGACACGCAGATGAATGTCAACATCCCGTATAATGACATGACCCTCCCAGAACAAGGACCGGAAAATCCGTTTAGTGAGCGCAACCGATTCAAATACCAAAATGCACTGGCGGGTCATGTGGAGGAACAAGCAATGTCAGACCACGCTTTTCGACAACAACACCTAACATACAATATCCTTGGCTATTCTGCAAATCCGTCCGTTGATCCAAATGCTCCTGCTGTCCTAGGCTATGTAGATAAGGCTCAAGCAAATGGACATGCGACCTTGGACACTCTACGCATTAGCCGTTCCCAGAAGAAGGAATTGAAACGAAAACGAAAAGCGACAGGCGATGTTGACGTTGTGGATGGAGATGGAGCATACGTGGGTCCATGGGCTGGCTGGGAAGGAGAAGAGGAGTCCAGAGACTTACCCGAAGCAGCGTTTGAAGCAGGTGAGGACGAGGAAGAAGAATCGGAGGAGGAGACAGCAATGACAAACAGGGCCAGGAGGGCGAAGGGAAAGCGCGGGACCGCTGGACAGGAATCATCTACTTTCCATGGCAAGTCGTTGGCAGACTACCAAGGCCGGACGTACATGCACCCACCACTTGCAGAAGCTCCTCACCTCACCTCGGAGCCAGGTTCGCAGGAGTGCTTCATACCAAAAGTCTGCATACACACGTACACTGGCCACACTCAAGGCGTATCTGTTATAAAACTCCTGCCACAAACGTCGCATTTATTCCTCAGTGGCTCAATGGATACTAAAATCAAAGTTCGTATCAGAACTCTGGTATATTTACTCCTGGCTGACTGTTCATTAGTTATGGGACGTTTATACCTCAGGGAACTGCCTCCGTACGTTTATGGGCCACACTAAAGCCGTAAAAGATCTCTGTTTCTCCAATGATGGTCGCCGCTTCCTTTCTTGCGGCTACGATCGTCAAATGAAGCTTTGGGACACCGAGACTGGGCAATGCATCAAGCGATTTAGTAATGGCAAAATACCATACTGCATCAAGTTCCACCCAGATGATGATAAGCAAAACATCTTCTTGGCGGGCATGTCCGATAAGAAGATTATTCAGGTGAGTCGAGTGCTCAGTAAAATTGTGAAACATTACTCATGAGACCAAACGCGACTGCAGTACGACATAGACTCCGGCGAGATCACGCAGGAGTATGATCAACATCTCGGACCTGTGAACACCATCACCTTTGTTGACGAAAACCGACGCTTCGTGACGACCTCTGACGACAAAACTATTCGTGCATGGGATTTCGACATTCCGGTTGTAATTAAATATATTGCAGAGCCCTTCATGCACTCCATGCCTGCTGTCACGCTTCATCCATCCAGTACGTATATTTCATTATTCTTTGATGTGAGCTACTAACGAGAGTCATTACCCTCCGTTAGAAAAATACTTCGCCGCACAGTCGCTCGACAATCAAATTCTCATTTATAGCACAGATAATTTCCGTCAGAATCGCAAGAAACGATTTGCTGGGCACACAGTCGCAGGTTATGCTTGCCAGGTTGGATTCTCTCCGGACGGGAAGTGGATCAGCAGTGGCGACAGTTCGGGTAATGTTGTGTTCTGGGACTGGAAAACTGGCCGGATAAAGTCAAGATTACACGCTCATCAGAAGGTCGTTATAGCTCACGAGTGGCTACCGCATGAGACGGTGAGTCTTCTTTTACCGGTAATGAATATTTTGCACTGATACATGTGATCGAATTAGTCGAAGGTATTGACTGCATCCTGGGACGGGTTAATTAAACTTTGGGTGAGTTCATTGGCAGTGGTCATCATTCACTGATTCGTTCTAACCATGTTTCGGACAGGATTGATTTTGACCTCCTGATATGCTGTACTTATCATGTATTGTCGTTTAATCTGCAATTCGATCATTTCGACCAATGGCCTTTCCGTTTGACATAAAAAGTGAGGTTGTGACCACTCCAGCTTGAAATGCTCACATGAGGTCGGTGAACATACAGCAGAGTCATTATATAAGTAGGCGATCTGCAGAGAACAGCATCGGAGAGAGACATCGGAAGGTAGTTCTGATTCTACAATATGGCATTTTGTTATGCCAGAGCCTTGATTACTTCAAAGTTCAAAGGATGATTGTCTAGCTCATTTCTACTAGTGCATTAACATCTAAGACAGTAAATCATGCAACAACCCTTCAATATATATTTGTACCAAATACTCCACGAAGCTCACTAAAACATTTTTTCTTGGCCAGAGATGAGTGCTATCATTTAACTTTAAGTAAGACGCCAGTTAGTGCACCCATGTCACGTGACCCCGTTAGCTGGAATCGCCACTGTTAAGCTAACTAACGATCCGTCCTCCTCCTATTCATTATTACTTGGAACTAGTACCACCTGATAGTGATGCCTTCAGACCAGAGTACATGGCTGATATCAGCACCTCATGACGGTGACTCAGAGGATATCCTACAGGAGTTGACAGGCAAGATTCAGCAGCAAAGCCGTTCATTTCCACCTAGGAATATCTCTGAGTTCGGAATCCCGTCATTCAAGGTTTGTGCTTCATGTGTTGCATGGTATTCGTGATTAATTTCTTCTATGATTATAGACAGGCACGCTCGATCTTCTTGTGACTCTGTCTGAGGACCTTCCGAAGCAGGACACGTACTTTACATCGGTTGTGGCGAAGATCGTCGACACGCTCCGGAATCTCTTAAACAACGATCCTCAGAAGCTGAGCCAGCACACGCTTGTAGACGAGCGCCCTGTGGAGAGCTACATACTTCAGGATTGGAGGTGGAATGAGGGTCGGTACAGTGCACAGAAGAGTGCAAAGGAGATCGCCGACACCCTGAGTAAGGTGAGAACGTCCTTACTGAAGAATTGCAAGAAGATGAGTATATGCCATTCGATTACAGGAGCTGTCGTCAATAGACAACGTCATGAAGGCGAAGCTGAATAACTATAACTTGGCGAAGGGCCAATTGGTACAATTACAGAGGAAGCGAACGTATGCACACCCCTTTTACTCCGTATTCGTCTGTACTCTAACTTACCCATCTTCAGAGGAAATTTATCTGTGCGCTCACTTGTAGACATTGTCTCAAAGGACGATATAATTGAGGGTTCCGAATTCTTGGAAACAGTATTTGTCGCGATTCCAAAGTATGTCTGTTGTTCTGGGTCGTGGACACGCAGTTAACTAACCACGGATCTAGAGCACTTGTAAAAGATTGGAAGTTGAAATACGAACGTATTTCACCTATGGTCGTCCCGCGATCTGCGAAGTGTGTTATATTCACATTTGCATGTTGCTTTCTCTGAACTAGTCCCTGTCTTAATAGTCTAATTGACTCAGACGATGAATACTCCTTGTTCGGTGTCGTAATATTCAAGCGTGTACGGGATGAATTCTCGCAGAAGTGCAGAGAGAACAAGTAAGCAAGTGATCTGACTTCCCTGGTCGTAATAGCTCACGAATTGCATCCATTAGGTTCATCGTACGAGACTTCGTATACACGGACGAACTTGCCGCCAAACACCAACAAGAACTCGACCTCGCCGGAACGACAGAGAAAGAACTATGGGTCCGTTCGATTCACTTCATACATCTACTGCATTGGCTTACCAAAATACCAGACTGAGCTTTTGCGTATCTCGCGAACAAACTTCTCCGAGGCCTTCAAGTTGCTTGTACACTTGAAGGTTCTCCGACTATTCGTGGAGAGCGTCCTTCGTTATGGTCTTCCAGCGAGTTACATCGGGATTGCAATTCTGGTAAGAAGACGTCTTACCCAATCACCCTGCAAGGAATCTGATTATTGATAAAATTTGTCTTGAACGTTATTAGCCTGAACCAAAATCGCAAAAGAAGATCCTCCAAGTACTAAATGGGCACTTCGCATATCTTGCACCTCGTTCAAACAGCGCACGGACGAAGGTTAAGGCAGGTACAGGGGGTGAAGAGTTCTTAGGAGAATATCAGACCCTCATGGAACAAGAATTCTTGGACTATGTTATCTTTGATGTGCCATGGATTGTAAACTAAACTCTACTGCCCTTTTTTCTTTGATGCATATATTATATAACATTGTATTTTAAATGAAGCTTCCGTTGAAATAGTTGGAACTGAAACCACAGAGACAATCTTATACGATTGAGGATAAGGATACTGAGACTTAGAGGCAGACATTGATACCGACATCCCGTGTCATATCGCATTGAAAATATGTACATACATACATCTTTATAGAGCGTTGACATGCTAACACATAGTAAAAAAGAAACTAGAGAAGAGGATGAAAAAGGACATTGCTATATGTAGCTGTTGTTGCAAATTGGGAGCAGACGGTCTAGCATTGAACAATGACATATCCCTGACACAAAACGACACGCAGAACACAGAACACAGAACACAGGAAAAGAAAAGAGACGATTAAAAAGAATAGTAACGATTTCTCTTTAGGTGGAAACGAAAGCACGCAGCAGGCAGACAGATAGTGGAGTTTGGGCGTAGGTAAACAAAACACAAGGGGGAGATTGGAGTATAGATTGCAGAGAGATATAGCAGAAGAGATATAAAAAGGAAACAATATATGAAGATAGGTGTCCAGTGTCCCATCGAGGTCAGTAACCCAGTGCACTGTCTCGACCCATTTTTAGAATTTGAAGAACATGATGGGTGGGTGGGTTTTAGGGTTTAGAATTCCAGAAAAATGCTATCCGTCAGTAGACCTTTTGTTTGCTTACAATCCGAGATTGGAGATGACACGAGCGACTTCATCGACGCTTTCTTCGTCAAGTATGCGAGCTGCACGAGCGGGTTGTAGGGAGTTTGCACGCAGCGGTGTGTGCTGCAAACCAGCGTTACCAGATCCGGGGGGACCATATACGCTCGGGAAGCTCGGGACAGTCGCAGAAGTTGGACGCGAGGTGTCCTCATCTGGGATAGATGTTGTCGGCGACTCTGGCATCACCGTGCCAGCTTCCGTAATCCGTGCGAGTGAGTATGTGAGGTCGAGAGACTGCGCGCGGTTTTGCATAGAACGAGGCTTGTTGAGCTTATCCTTGATTTTCTCCTGCAGGAGTGAATCCGAGCCACGCTTGAGTGACTCTTCCGATTGATGTGTCCGCACCAGTGGCTGCTGTGCACCCTATGGAAGACGCATTAGTATTTCGAGCTAGCTAAGTCGTGTTATAAGACTACTCACAATAATAGGAAGTGGAGTCCAATAGTCAGCAGAAGGTGAGTCATAAACGGAATCGGTCTCCGTGTTGTCCTCCTGCTCGATGTTGTACAAGAAAGTAGGCGGTTGTTGCGCAGAATGGCTGTGAACATGTCCACGGCTGTGGCTATCAAACAATGCCTTCACGTCTGGAGAAGAGCTAGCCATCCTGAGACGTCTGTCCACGGACGCCTCAGGTGGAGTAGCTGCAGGGATGTTCGACGTCAGTCGCCGAGACGGGAGGCTGAAAGATGCAGATTTGTTACTGTGCGCGGCAGAAAGGAGCTTGCTGTCGAAGTGAGGAAGTGACTCCGCGAACGAGTCAGCGCGCCTGTGAGTTCTGAATGTCGGATAGAAAGGTACATTCTGAGAAACGAAGAACTGCTCGAGGTGTTCACGCGCGGTAGCAAGGAAGTCACTGTTGCTGCGCTGACAGATAAACTTGATCGAGCACTCTCCGGGTGAGACAGACGGAGAGTTATTCGCCTTACTCTTAATGTTCGGAACTATGGAGACCTGGAAATCGCGCTTAATGCGCTCTGTGAACGCAAGGAATTCAGGTGAACTGCAGACTCGTCCGATGTCAGCGCTTGGAGGAAGGCTTAGCTCCGCCTCGAAGGGAACATGACCCTTGAGCTAAAGTTAGATTTCGACATTTACAATATTACACACGAAGAAGCACGCACCAGAAGCATCGTGGCTGCAATGTGTACTTGCGACTCCGGTCCAAAAATAGAAATGACGTCTGAGGCTGTCTCCTTGTCCGGGAACCGGAACTTGCAGTTTGTCTTGCTCTCGATGTCGTGAATGAAGATGCTCTTCTCACCAAGTAAGGTGCGATGATACCTGCGCGGGATAGCAATTTTCTCGGTCATGTAGTCTCGCTCCTGTAAATACCCTTTAACTATCTCCTCGCCCTGAGACTATACTTAGAACATACCTTCGGATTCACTAGCTCCGTGACTGCCGCTTTCAAATTCTCCAGATTCATCGCATTCTTCGCGGGTGTACGTGCTACTACGTTATCCTCGTTGTCCAGATATCCTCCGAGAGCCGCGAACTCATCCGCATTAGAAAATTTAACATAGACACCCCACTTTTTCATAATGCGTTGAATACTCTTGCCACCGACACCAATTATACGCTTGTGATATGCTTCCGGAACATGGAACGAAACCTCTGCTGGAAGTTCCTCTTGCAGAAGGCTAAGACCTTGCAGGGCTCCAGCGTCGTTGCTTGCAATGTCTATAAGAAAATTGTGGTCGTTGAATGTCTCAAATTTAATTTTGACATTGGACGTTTGCATAATTTTGTTGATCTTGCCGTTCTTCTTTCCACTGATGAATTCCCGGTGTTCGTTGGCAAGCTCTATCTGGAAGCGAATCTCATGCTGGAAGGCCTGGCAAGGAAAAGTAACTGGTAAGACGCCGAAGAAGAAAAATTCGAAGATTACCCACTTTGATGGCGTCGAGCTCCAAGAGCATAGAAATCGCTGCTCGCACTTCATGCTCAAGGCCGTGCATCTCAAAGCACATACTTTTGAACACGACTTCTGCACCAGACATATCTGAAATCTGCTTTAGGACATTCGTCATCTGCGCTGGGTTGAGCGTAGAGGGAGGGAGAAGGACATTGAACTGAACGGGTAGAAGCCAGAGTGAGGTTACGTAGAATTGACATGCGAGTTGCATAATGGAACGAATAGTTCGCTGTATGTTGACCTTATTATCGCCGTAGACGGTGATTAAGCTAGTTGAGCTGCCAATAGCAGGGAAATTAATGAAAGTCGCGTTGTCGTTCATGATAGTCTTCAGATCGTCCATGCGATCCGTGAGCATCCAATCCAGTTTCCGTGGCAGGATTGCAGCATCTCGCGGCAATAGTTGTTTGCTCTGTAACGTAAGTTAGGGGATTAAAAGAGAAAGGATGCAGGTTGAAGATGGCTTACTTTCTGGGCGGAAAGTTTAACCAGCATGTCCCGAGCCCGCTGGACTCCGAAAAACTCTCCCGTGATCCAGATAACGTTGTTTCCAATGTTATTCGCGTTGTTCTGACGTGGGGTACCGATGGGCTGTTGTACTTGGCCGACTTCCGGACCAACGAGACCTTGCAAGGGAGAAGGGAAATAAATATTCGTGCCGGTTTCCTCTTGGATAGATTGAATAGTGCAGCGTCGGCGGCCAGCAATAATGGCGTGCAGTTTGTGGTCGATCTCGCACATTTCTGAGTGAAGCCCATTCAACTCATCGAGCATGACGAGCAAACGAACACGTGCGACATCCACACAGTCGACGCTGTTGCCCGAAATTGCAAGCTCGCATACGCGTTCAGTCTCTAGACCAATCCAGCTGCCATCTACAGCGACTCCGTCTGGCGGTGCAAGAGACACCGACTGTGGACTGTTAACAACGGCGATGCGCACATTGGTCTGCGCAGCAATATCGTCGAGGCGAGCTCGTACCTCCGGCTTGACCACGGGGTTAGTTGAGGGAAGATCAAGGATCTCAGAGCGTGTCAGCTTAATCGATGCACGATGCTATTTTTTTTTCGTAAGGGATATGTGAGACATAAAGAAGCAAGAAAATGTACCTGAGTGGGACACTCGCGCAATATCATTCCGCGAGCAGCCATGACCTGCTGGTAAGACCCTGACAAATGGAAGTTCCAGCCCCTGCCATGGGCAGCCTTGGTGAACGATGCAAGACAGCCGTGGGTTGCTGATGCCGATAAGACAACCTTCTGAACCGCATCCGCATCGACTGCGAAGGCATTCGCGGCCTGAGAGTCATTGGCAAACGAGTTCAGACCATATGGCGACGGAAAATCGAGAGCAGAGGGCGGAAGGGAGGTTGGTGAGGCACGAGGATAGGTGAATGATGTTGTGTAAATATCCATGACGAAGAGACGTAAAGGTAATCGGTGTCAGTGGTGCTGGCTGGGAGAGTTTGTACTGCAACGGGGGGTATTGATGACAAGGGGTATAGCGAAGAGGATATAGAGCTGCCGCCTCCAAGCTTTAAAATACCGACGCCCCCAAGACGAGAGCGCTATGAAGAAGAAAAGGGAAAGAAAGAGAAAGGCGGATAGGAGGACTCCCAATACCGCCAAGGACAGAGACGGTCGTAGGAAATGAAAGAGACAGAGCAGAGCAGAGCCGGTCCATCGTCCTCCCGTAGTCGACATTGCACACGTGACAGTCCGAGACACACAAGCTTCGTAAACATCACAGTCAGCGTCACTCGCTCCTACTTAGGGCACTAGAACTGGTCCCTCATTATACGCTAGTGTACATTCCACCAATTACAGTCATTCCAGTGTACATATTATGTGCTAATGAATTTTCAGGCACTACAGAGCCTCGAACCCTTCCATTGCAATGGCCTGCCATCCGTCCGCCTCGGCGCTCCGGTTAATATCAAACAACTTCCCGTAGCACTCCGAGCCCTGTATAGAGAAATGAGCGTATGGATTGCTTGCTTGCAGCCTTGCTCCGCAACGGTAGCAGAAGTGTTGATTACATTTCACACACATCATCTATACAAAGTGACATATTGTCATGAGTAGTAAGACTAATATTTACGCTCTCTGACTCACATGATTGCAGCCAGTAGACTTTTCAACTGCGATATTACAGCCCGGACAGGAAGTCGTCGAGCCTTGCAGCCATTCGTTCGTTGACTTTTCGTCTTCGTACGCTTTCACAAGCCTGAGTACGACACCTTTTCCAAACTTCCGCTCCAGAGCCGCGCGTCCTGGTGAACCTTCCGGCAGACCCAGGTATTCCATGATTAGAGCATGCGTTACAGACTTCGGACATTCAGATAATGGCCCATGCCTTCAAGTATTAATGAGTGGGGAAGCCGAATACGAGCTGCGGTATACATTCAAAAGGACCTACCAAGTATTCTTGCAAAACGAGCAGAAGCTGAAACCACAAGCCGAGCATCTCCGGAACCGATCCCAACCAGAAGATGCATTGGGATCTGTCGGTGGCTTTGGCACAGCAGCCTGGCACAACGGTATTGGGCAATGTATAATACTGGGATCTAAACCAGATTCAGTACAGTCTCGCATTGCAATACGACCTTACATACCTTTCTCAATCTCTTTCTTCGTTCGTAGCCATTTCCATCTTATAACCTCTTTTTCGCTCACGACGCGCCGCACTTCTTCTTCGGAAGCCATACTTGCTTTCTTAACACAAGCAGGGTCTGCGCAGCCTACTCGTTCTACAGAACCTTCGGCTATGCAGAAGCTCCAGAACTCTTGAAGGCAGTCCCGGCAGAAAACATGCTTGCATTCGAGCTGTATGCACCGCACTCCTTTCAGGGAAGAAAAGCATATCGAACAAGGGTGAGAGGTTTGTGAGAACTCCTTGTTAGCCGCGTTTAGGTTGTACGCTTCAAGGATTTGAGTTAGTGGAGGTTGCGATGCTTTATGTGGGAGCCTAAATAGTGTATTGAGATGTTTGGTAACCCTGACCGGATATTTGACAGATACTTACTCACCGTATGGCATCGTCTCTAGCAATAGGTTGTAATAAGTTCAGAAAATCTCCACTACGCAGCATCTCAACCCAATTACACAGCACTCCTTCTCCTTCAGACCATGTCTCACGAAGAGTACTAGCTAGCAGTGCCTCACTGGGAAGCCATGAATGGGTCGCGTGTACAGAAGTTATAATGGGAGGGAGCTCAGATGGATATCCATTTGTAAACTTGACTGTAAGGAGTATAGGTGGCAGGTATGACAAATTGAGCGAAGGAATGCTCTTCGACGACCCAGCGGGTGCGTCAGCATTCAGTGCAGATTCACTTTGTGTGACGACCAAGACACGTCGAGGGGTACCAAACTCAATTGGGACTTCCAATCTGACCGTATCAACAGTAACCTCTAGGATATAATCTGGATAGATTGACTGTAAGACTTGCAACTCTTCCTCAAGCAGCAGCCGGTTATCAGTCATGAAGTGTAGGAGGTAAAGGGGACGATCGCATCCGAATTCCCGTGACCAAAGAATTTCCGCGTCGATCACTCCCAAATTCCAGATTTCACAACTTACCTTGTCTCTTGTTCCAGAGGTCTATCGTCTGTTTAATGGACGAGCTCACGTCGTCTCATGGTATAATCAAGGCATTAAAAGGCTCTGAGGACCCAGTATTTCCTGGTGGTCCTTCAAAGATTGAACTTGCTGGAGAAACTTGGCGATCGGCGACAATACATTTTCCGAATAAAGATGAAGTACTTGTAGAGTGGATTCTAAGCTCTTTCATAAAGCACAGCAAAGATGCCTCGGGGCCAGAGTGCGTATATATATCCCATATACCACTTATACTATTTTCTGACTTGAAGAAAGTGGGAAAAGTCTTGTTTTGTCTGCAGCATACTGGTCCCTTCTAACCGAAGTCTTTTCCACAAACGTGCCTCAGCAGCATGCACGCCAGATCGGGGCATGGTTAAGGTCTCTGCTGAATCGTTTATCAATTCTAAATATTGTCATTGCATTCTTCAAATGTGCATCGCATGGAGCCCTCGGCCGCGAGGAGCAAGTCATTGAACCATTCACCCGCTCAATGCATGCACTTTGGCCTTTGGCTTCCGCACGGATGAACCTTGATGGCTTGGCGGACTGCCTAAACGCAATTCTCGAATATTTGGCATCAGATACGACGCATTTGAATGGTCTAGCGTCTGCCTGCCTTTTGATTGTAAGGTCATTTCGACAAGCTGTAGGGAATGCATTGGGCAAGAAAAAGGTCTGTAAACCATCAACCATCGTTGATCCACCTGCTCAATATGAACGGCTCTAGGCATTTTCGTCGTTCATTCAACAAAGCTTCTTGCATTGGGCCAACCTAATCTGCATAGAATCTGCAGCCCCGATCACACTAAACCGCGAAGCAAAGGCCGTCAAGTCTGAAGTATACCAAACGGGCATCGAGATATTCTTCAGCGTCGACTCCCTAAAGTCTTCATCAAATCCGCTTGAAAGTATTCTCACCGATCCGAAGTTCTCCGCCTCCAATTTGGCGGGCTCGCAGCTGCAAATTATTTCGATGCTGTACAAATCATACATACATGAGATACGCAGGCACCGTCACGCTGTATTTGGGTCAGGTTCCAACCAGAATGAAGAGCAAACATTACATAACAAAGTCCGAGATGCTGGGTTGAAGACATTCGTCATTTGCTACAAGGCATTGTTGGAGTGCGGGAATGTGCTTGAGGTCTGGCAGAATATGTTGGCGTTGTTGAAGGAGCTCGAGGAAGCGAATCTTGTTGGGTATGGGCTTTCGGAGAAAACAGATGTCTTGAATCTTATCGCTGCATCCGCTGTTAAAGTGGTGTCGGGACCGAAAGGTGCGGGATATTCTCCTTCATGTATTCCAGGATAAACAGACCTGATAAGCAGACAATCTAGTTGAACATCTAGATGCAGCTATTCAGATCCTCTGTATCCTGGTGCGAATAGAATATGACCTTATCAATCCCTTCCTACTCGAGATTTTCTCGGGTCTCCTTGCAGTGAGTCATCCAACTTACAAGTTTCATTCGGAAAGGTAACTAACATTCTGTTTAGTTAAACCCTTCAACCCATGCCTCATCTCAAACCCTGCTCCGGGAAATCCTCGATTTTCACTCTAAAACGCGAACAATACCGGCTTACTTGGCCGCTTTACTTGAATGCTTAACTAACGGAAAGGCAATAGCGCGGTACTCAGACATGCGCATTGCACGTCGGGACTGCGTATCAGGTGCTCTGCTTTGTCTCGAACACGTGGAATATCTCTCGCGGTGTATCAAGTCTTTCCTCACGCCTGGTCAAACACCAGAGGTGACGTCTTCTTCCCTGGCCGTATTACAGAGGTCATGGTCGGCCTATTCTGGAGTACATCCAGTGGATGGAACGGACAGAGATGCAATGGATGTCGACGCAACAATATCGACAGAGTGTAAAGCGTTGGCTTATTCTCTAGTTGCACGTATTCTCGTAGTCATCATCCCATCACTTCCCTTTTCCTCCCTTTCCGAAAATGCTTGTGCCATGGTTCAAGAGAACATCGCGAATACATGGTCGGAACCACTTTCCAAAGCAATTCAAATAGCTTTTACCGACTTGGAGTCTCCGGATGACCGTTGGGCTGCGCAGTGCATCTCTGCTGCGACCTTGAGAGTTCGTCATGCGCTCTTGATGTGTCGGACCTTGAATCCTCTAGATTCGTTGAAGTCACCTGTCGCTTCGTCTGAAAGGATTGTAGCACTCATACGTACATCTGAGACAATGCCTGAGCTGGTTGTGGAACTGGTACGTGTTCACTGTTGTACGGAGGATCTCTGCTTAAGCATGTCCTCACGTTCCATTATTTGAAGCTTCGTGCATTCTTTGATATAGATGTTTGGAGAGCTACGCCTGATGAACGTGACATGCTTATTGAGGCCCTATTAGCATATCTCATGACAAATTTGGGGTCCTTCGACTCAATGGATAATTCTGATAATCATTCGCAGACTGTGTGGGATGCCTCAGTTGGCTCATTGGACCTTTTGGAGTCTGGGGGTCATACACGAGGTGCATTGGCGGTGTGGCATCTTCTGCTCGATAGATGGCTGCCTATCACCGAGTATGTCTTCTATTAATTTGCACGCGTTATAATACTGAATGAAATATTAGTGAGGTCGCGACTCAAGAACACCAAAGGCGGCTATCTCGTATATTCCTTTCATGGCTTGATTCCTGCAATGGCGTGTCCGTACAAAAGAGTATCTCTTTCGCATGGGTCCTGGATAGAGCCTTGCGGTCTGCAGCCTTCTGGGAGTTACCGAACCTCAGAGGTACTTATATTTGTCTGGATCATAGCGTAGTTTTGTCTGTTAATGGTTGTTACAGATGCTATGGTAGCCGAACTTGACGCCGCCACGCAATGTGCCGTATGGGACGATTTGCCAAAGACTCTGATGCACGTTCAGAGATCAATGGAGTCTATGAAACCAAGAAAAAGCTCAGCTATTACATGGGACGAGCAGCAAGTCCGTCTCGTATTGGCATCATTTAGCATGCTCCTCCGAGCTCCACGCGAATACCTCCCACGTAGCTCACGGTTAACATTCGTTCGACGTGCACTTGTGGCTGATCTTGTTATCGTTTCCATGGAACGTGACGGTGCTGAATTTCCTATTGAAGTTGGGAGGAAAACGAGAAGGATTATCCTTTCTTGGATTTTATCAATCTCGGACACAGTTAATATCGCAGAAATCGTTAATGTGAGTATCATTGCTCTTGCATTTGGGAATACGTGACTTGACTGCACGAACATAAAGGATGATGTTGTGGCATATACCGAGTATCTTATGCGCTCAGAAGGCTGGCAAAATGAAGATAATGTCGAACTGAGTACGATTACTCTTGAGTTGCTCGCGGTCTTCTTTAGGTAAGATAACTGAGCGAAGTCCAACTTCTCAAGCTGAATTTACTTTCATTTCTAGACAAATAATCCACTCTGCTCTTCATGGCAAAGGAGACCACATCAGGAGTGTATGTGTTGTGCTTCAAGAGCCCGCGTCAAATATTTCCCAACAGGGTCTAATGAAGTTTATCGAGATACTCGTTGCTGAATGCCCTAATGCTATGTCAGTCCTATTCATCTGAGCTATTATTCGCTTGGGAATTAACTGTTTTGATTAGAAAGTTACCGTCATCAAGCATTCAGGCGATCAGAGACCTACATTCGAATATGCATACAAGATACCTTTCCGCCATATCGATAATGTTACCTTCTTTGACTAATGTAACCAAAGAACAAGTGCTTCTGGTCCGTTCGTGGAGGATATGCCTTTCTCTGCAAAGATGGTTGAATATTCCAGGTACGCAAACGCAAAACTGTTTCTACAAAGATGCAACATGCTCACTCCGAGCTGGTGCTCACAGAATCCACGAGCTGCCTTGGTGTTCAACTGTTCGAAAGACTGACGGCGTCGAGCCGCAATTCATCTGCAGAAATAGCAGGAGTTCGCTCATTTTGCACGGAATCCTTCCTTCTACTTCTGGAAGAGATTCAAATTATCAAGGATGAAGAGCGAGTGCATCATTTAAAGCTGACTGCGTCCGCGTATTTGCTTCTTGGAAGGATGCGTCTTCTCGGTCAGTTACAGTCAATAACCGTTTTGGCATTCGGGAAATTTGAAACTTTCTGCTGTAGACGAGTCCGCTTGTGACGTGGAGCTGGGACGTATGTTGAAGTCCATACCACTATACGAGTACAAGTTCTTGCTTTCTCTGCTCCGTGAATGGATTAAGATCGATCTGCTTCGGATTGAAAGAGGTCTTGCTTCGGGCGACGATTCTAGAGCAGTGGTGCATCTATCTAACGTACTTCTTGGGAATGCACCGGAAGGTACGCAGTAGCCCCAACGGCATTACAAATTAGAGCTGAGCATTCTTTCCCTTTATGATAGGAGCTATGAAAGTTATACAGAATCACTTTGAAAAATGCTTGCATATCTTTTGTTCCAACTCAAAATTCGTGGCGGGAGATGTGGACCTCAGCGTCGAAGTCCTAGGCTTCGTGGGCAGGATATGCTCAGAGAAGGTGATCTTCATCCTGCATATAAAAAGTTTTATACTGAGTGCAAAGTACATTCATAGCCAGCATATCTTCAACATTTGGATGTAGGCTGGATTTGGCTTCTACTAGACAAGCTCCTCGCGGGTTCCACAACTCGCACGTCAGAGTCTCATCCCCGTATATTACATAACATATGCTCGATCGCGAGCTCGCTCATTCGCCTCCGGCGGGACCTCGTTACTCCGACACTCCCGCACTTGGGTATGGTCCTGCGATCCCTAATCCTCGCACTACAGGCACCACGACCACAACTAGGAGCACGGCAGCGTGCCCAGGTAGTCCATAGACTGCCGTGGTGGATCTCAGCCTCTTCGCCGCTTGGTATCACTGAAGCACGCGCTGTGGCTCGTCTCCTTACGGTACTACAGGCAAAAACCATACCGCGTACGTTCGCACCGCGAGATCGCTCAAATGAAGCGGAGAAGGGACGAACCGCAGAATCGTTGCTGGGCGCATTCTCTAAACATGCTGGTCCGGTTCTTGGTGCATATATAAACGCGCTGGTAGACCCACTAGTGGTGCTTGATGCTGGTATGCGTGAGGCACTCGCTCCTGGATTGTATGCGCTCTGTGAAGCGATGGGAGAACATGGCCGAGATGCACTTATGGTTAGTGGGTGTGATGCTGCTGGGAAGACGGTATTCAAAGCGCTTTGGACGGATTATGAAAAACAACGCTATGTAGGGAAGGGGTAGTCGTCCTCTACGGCAGCCGTTTCTCAATACGTCTCTCGTGATAGAACACTCAGCCTGAACACTGTTCCCCTTGTGATGATATTTAGGGTTGATTAAAGAGCCTGAAAACAGTGAAACTTCCAAACACTGGCTCATCATTTAGAGTATATTATTGTTAGAGTATTGACGCAGGCCAGAAAGTGATCGGCTGATCCGCCGGTCCCGCACATCGCACGTGGGTCCGTATCTGCCCCTGGTCCAGAGCCAAGGGTTGATAGCAACGGAATTAAACGCGTATCAAAAGCATGGCTATCTTCATCCATTTCTTCCCGCTCGCTTCCTTGCATTCTACATGTTTTCTGCCTTATCGAGTTTTTCATGCGGTCGCCCGTTGTGGGCGGGTATGGAGCTCAGGGTTCTCAGGCTTATGAAATAAATAGAGACTCACGCAAGCGTGTCGGAGGTTGGAAACATGCGAGAATTCTATATTTTACGGCAACAGGACGGGATTAGTTGTGAATAGGGCACTGAGATTGTGAAACGGTACTACTAACACTTCAACGCCCACCATTTTTCAACCGTGGAAGACGAGCAGCAGTGACGAGCAGCAGTGACTGCAGGCCATGGCAATCACTGTACCACCTACGTTGTCTGTTATCGTCTCAATATGGATGGAAACGCTATTCTATGGTACGTCTATCAATACATCGCGAAGAGGATCAGCGAACTGATTTGCTATCTATGCAACGATATGCTTCGGTGCTTAGGCATGAATATTGTGGTATACTTCCTCTGTATTTACGACCTATTGTTTGCCGGCAAGCATGCCAGCAAAACAGCAAAATACCTACTCGTTACACTGTCCACTCTTTTGTATGTTCATTGGTTTTCTTGATTGAAAGGTATCGCTATCTGCTTACTGACGTGCCTGACTAGATTCCTTGTTGCTACAGCACATGTGGCAGTCAACTGCCGACGCCTCATCGAAGGCTATGTAAATCCCCCTGATAAAACGGCAATGCTCAGGTACCTGATTGACATCACGCAACCGACCAATGTTACCAAAACGTTCCTTGTGGTCTTTGCGGTGGGTCATAAGAGAAACACGATTTCAACTCTTTCGTTGGCTAAGTCTTTTATCAGAACTTGTTCTCAGACATCCTAATTGTACGCCCGTCCGGTGAGGTCCCTTCAGCCGGGTATACTTATATTTGTTCTGCAGATATGGAGAGTTTACATGGTCTGGGAGCGGGGTTGGAAGATATGTGTACTTCCTGTCTTCTTGTGTACAGGCGTTTTTAGTAAGCCTACCCGCCGAAATACGTATTAAACTTTTCCTGACTGGAAATTGTAGTTAGTGGCATAACTGTAGGTCTTGACCTATTCACCGTCCGATTCCCTAAAATTCAATCGGCTGGTTACCTCACTTTCCTAGGCCGCAACGCTCGTCTCGCGTGTCACTCCTGGCCAAAACATATTCGCCAAACAAATCTCAACCTGGGGTAAAGCCCAATTCTCCCTCTCCCTCGCCATGAACGTCTCCGCCACGCTCCTCATCGCCGCACGGATCTGGTGGGTCACACGTCCCATCCGAGCACACAACCCCCAACGCATGAAGCCGTACTGGCGAATTATCGTTATCATCATCGAGAGCGCTGCATTCGCTGCGTTTGCGCAGACGATTGAACTTGCTTTCTATGCGTCGAACTTCCCTGGGGTGTTCTTCGTTGCGGATTCAGTTGTGCAGATCGTTGTAAGCTCTCTTTTTCACCGTTCTCTCGGCTTTTTCTCAACTTCGTGGAAATAACGAAATACCACATTTGCAGGCAATGAACCCTCTCCTTATCATCGCCTTCATCGGCCGCACCCGTTCTCAACAACACTCTCACACGTCATACCTCCCCACAAATCGCATGCTTTCCGAGGTTCGTTACGCCGAACGCGAAATCGACACTGAACTCTCTGAAATGGGTCCGGAGAAAACTCTTCGTCTTTCTCTTGGAAGCAACGAGAGAGGTGTTAAGGGACGTGGAGAGCTCGATACTGATCCGAGTATGGGATATAGTGAAAGGACGATGTTCTCCGACAACGACCGCCGTCACAGTGAAGTTTCGCGTCGCTCGTTTCATGCTATATGAAGCATTGTTGCATTGGAGTACTTCATGTAGTAGTTGAGAAAAGTCGTATTCACCTATGTATATATCCCGTAGATCTCGGTTACTTAGTATTTTGCGAAAACCTAGTGATCTAGGAGGCACAGTGAAGGACAGAGCAAGGTCACAGTCAATCTTTACCACACTCATATTCCACAAGCCGACTTTTGCCTTTAATGCCAGAAGGCAAGTGGCGCGCTTCTGATAATTCGTGTATCTACATACGACATTGCATTATTGCAGGGATGCATAAGTCTGCTCTGGAGTTGCGAAAATTGCTAAGGGAAACAAAGTTGCAATACGAAAGGAAGTTGGAGAGAGAGCTAGTGCTACAGTCAGAATAAAAAGGAAGAAATATGGTAAATTACTCTATAAAAAGCAAGGGGAGAAGTCGTCCAAGAACGGAGAAACCGGAAGAACCAGCAAGCCAAAATCCACGTTCACCCAACGGTCTTGTGCATCGCTTCTTCTTTTTGCTCTTCCTGGTTCTCGCGTGCATTAAGCAATGATAAGTACAAGTTCCAGAAAATGCCACACGTCGCCTGGAACGGGACCCGCGCTGCAAGTGGCATGTATCGGAAGTTCACAATCTGCGCGAGAGGCCATACTTGCCAGTTCGCAGCTAGCGCGCTCGGATACAAGTCAACGTATTTGCGTTTGATATGTGCGGCGTCGCGCCCTTCGAGCATGCCCATCGCCCCGATGAAGAGTGCGAGACCGATAGGTGCCATGAAGAGTTGGTCGGCTGCGACACGCTTCGCGACGGCAAGACCGCTGACTCGAGGTACTTGGCCAATCGGGACGTTCAGTGGCGCTTGCATGTGAGGTGAACGTGGACCGAATTGAACACCTGCAGAGAGCGGATTGAAGGTACCAACCCCAGGCTTTGGAGGTTCAGCGCGTAATGGGAAGCGTTTTTCTAAGAACTTGTTCCATCGACCAAGCAGTGGACCTGAGCAGAAAAGCAGGTTAATTAGAAGGTAGGTCGTATCATTTAGTAAAACGCACCCATTGCGAAACCAAACGTGAAGAAGCGAAGCGTGCGTTGCAGGTCATATCGTGGCTCATCTTCATGCTCTTGTCGCTTTGCAGTCTAAAATCGTTTCCTATCGACAAGTGGTTCCTCTGAAACTTTATTTCCAACACTTACCGCCATTTGTCCTATCTGTGCCACACAGTCTCCGACAGCACTGAGCGTGCCATTGGTGAGTGCGAGTGTCGTGTATGGACGAGTGTCAAAACTCTGCTGATAAGCACGGGCTGCAAGAGCGATGGTAGCCATGAGACGTTGGTGGAGGAAAGGAGAGAGAACGAAAGGCCCTCTATTCATTGGGGCTCTCTCTGGTATGATGCATACTTCCGTCGAACTCCAATGGCAATTGGGTCCACAGTGACGAAAGTCATTTTGCATCCGGCTATAAATGGACAATGCACTAGTCGTGGGAATATAACATTGATGCATTGATCGGCATGCGCTATTTCTTTAATTTTCTACGACTTTCGTATTTACGTTTCTCTCTTCTCGTTACGTTAGAACTTCTAATGCTTGCTGATATGTGCAACAGGAACAGTAACTATGTTCCCTCCCCACTTCTCGAGTTTGCCACTTGGCAGACTACTTGATTGGTTGGGTCAATTTTTTGAAAAATAACGCGCTCGTGGGCCGCCATGTAATGCTGGCTAAGTCATCAATTCTAATCTCGCAAAGTACCAAACCGTTATGAAGAGACTGGACCGCTTCTCACTCTTACTGGGCGTTATCGACACCGATTACGATATGCTGGGAGCAGCTCTGTAGTCGAAGCATCAATCCATGTTGGTTCCATCTCAAGTCAGACTATAATGTACAATTGAAAACCTACCTACAGAGTCGCTTGATTAGATTTCCTCTACTCGAAAGACAGTCTGTAAACGAGCCAAGACAGTGTCCACACATTCCTCTGTGCCGACCACCACAAATTAAATTACAATATTATTCAAAGGCAATCCTATGTACTCATTCCACCCAGCAAACTATCAATGGGTCAACAAATACGTCCATAAATATATCGGCCTCTGCAATCTCCTAAACCATCGATATCCTATACAACTTCCTTTACGTCGCCAGACTTTCTCTCCGGCTTCTTTTCCGAATTCGAAGAGAACATCGTCCTATTGGTATTCCCCGAGCTCTGATTGCTAACCAGCCCAAGTTGCTCGTTATGTCCTTTCTCTTGTTCAGGAAGAGAAAGGTGGAAATGTTTGTTATCATCGAAGTTCATTTCGGATTGGTCCGTCGCGGTTGTGCGTGCAGCATAGACTGGTTCGGTGAGCATGCGCTCGGTTGGCATGTAGGATGTAAACGACTGCTTCTGTGAACGCGTCCGGCCGACGAAGGCAATAATTAGAAGCGGGTTCATGGACTAGGAATATGTTCTTCGTTATCCTGTGGCATATATCATATAAGAGTGTGATACGTACGACAATCTGCACGACCGAGTCCGCGACGAAGAATACACCTGGGAAATTCGACGCATAGAACGCAAGCTCAATTGTTTGCGCCAAAACAGCAAAGGCCGCACTCTCGATAACGATGACAATGATACGCCAATAAGGCTTCATGCGGTTCGGGTCATGTATCCGCATTGGACGAGTGACCCACCAGATACGGGCGGCAATAAGCAGTGTTGCAGAGACGTTCATCGCAAGTGAGAGTGAGAACTGTCCTTTTCCCCAGGCGGCTATTTGCTTAGCGAAGATGTTTTGGCCTGGAGTGACTTGAGAGACAAGAACGGCGGCCTAGTGCAAGGGAAGCTGTGAGATTAGCGTGGAAAATATTTAAAAATTCGGAAGACGAACAGCTATACCACAAACTATGGAAAAAAAAAAGAACTTTGTCAAAAAAAATGAATGGAAACCACAATGAAATACTATACTTACTAAATACACCGGCGCAGAGAAAAGACGGCACAATGCATATCAACAAATTTCGTTCCCAGACCATGTATATTCTCCATATCTGCATTATATCTCTTCAAGACTGATTGTAGAAAAAAATATAGAAAAACGTACAATTAGAACATCAGAGAATAAGTTCTGTGGAGTAGACGTCAAAATTTGAAATGGCCAGAAAACGGTGGATGTGAAACTCACAGCCAAGACCACGAGAAACTGTTTTGTGACATTCGTCTTTTGTGTGATATCAATCAGGAATTTGAGCTGAGAAGTTTTGTCGGGCGGATTGACATAGCCCTCAATGAGACGCCGGCAGTTGACGCTAACATGCGCTGTAGCGACCGCAAATCTGAGTAGAATAAAATTTTCAGCTAAACAGGTCCGGATTAAATGGACGATTCCAGCATACAAAATAGTGGTTAATCCAACCAGCAAGCGCTTGGTAGACTTGCTAGCGTATTTGCGAACGAAGAGAAGGTCGTATATACAGAGGAAATACACCGCTACGTTGATGCCTACTCGGACGCAAATCATAGAATGCAGGGTCAGCTCGTCGGCTCACAGATCCGTTGACAGAATGATTGGCGGCGAAGTTAAACGACGTACCGTAAAACACTGTTTCCATCCATATTGAGACGATGACGGACAGGTGTTGAGAGGAAGAACTTAAGGGGGGCACGCATAGACAAGGGGTGAGGTGACGATTGACTGCTCAGTGTCTCTCGTCCTTATATTGTATGTATTCTAACTGAGACATTATGAAGTCATTGTCTCGTGGTTTGTCTGTTGATGAACTAATCATCTCATAATACTCCCCTTCAAACTCTTACTAGTCTGAGTAAACTGGTAAGATGTTTGACTTGTGGTACATGTAACACTTTAGTTAATATATCTGCTTGTTGATTGTTTGTCTGTATGTATTTCACATTTATATACTTTAACTCAATGTAGCATTTAATAAAATCTTTCTTATGATCTAAATGCTTTGTTTGTTCTGAATATTTGAGTTTGTCCAATGTAACCATTTGTATAACACTATCATTATTACAATAGATATTAATTGGTGCATTAGAGACCTACAGAATCTCTTCAGCTAAATGAGTAAGTACAATTGCTTCCTGTGTTCCTCTTGCAAGAGCTATTAATTCAGCTTCATACATTGAATTTGCCACTAGTGTTTGTCTTTTACTTGACTACAAAACTAATGAATCACTCAAGTAAAATGTATATCCTAATATTGTACAATGCCCTTCTTGCATCATACCATCAC